GGGGCAATCGCAGAGCTCGGAGGGACGGCGGCTCGTCATGTGGCCTCCATCCCGCTGGTCGGTGGTTTCTCCCCGCGGTTCTGAGTCGTCCCCTCCTCCCTCGCTCCCTCCGACAGCGAGCTATCGACGTGCGTTGGCAGTGTGCTACGAGTTAAAACTATTGTTATTATTCGCCAACGTTATTCGCATCGACATAACAACGAACGATTACGTACACTGGGCGACTTTTGGTTAAGAAGTGTAGGATAGTGATAATCACAAATCCCACGGTGCGGCCTTCTGTTGCATAGGGGATGAAGAGGCTTCACTAACAATGCTGACCAGGGTGGTGACAACGTGGGCGCGAGCTACCATGTTGAGTCATGTGAGTCACGACGACAAAGACAACACTGATGGTGACGGTGGCGGCGATGGTGACAACGATGATGATGACGATGACAATGATGATGATGATGACAATGATGATGACGATGATGATGACAATGATGATGAAATGACAATTATGATGACAATGATGATGACGACGATGATGACGATGATGATGACGATGACAACGATGTCGATGACAATAATGATTATGATGACGATGATGATGATGACAATGATGATGATGATGACAATGATGATGATGACGACGATGATGATGATGACGACAATAATGACGACGATGATGACGATGATGATAACGATGACAACGATGTCGATGACAATAATGATTATGATGACGATGATGATGATGACAATTATGATGACAATGATGATTATGATGACAATGATGATGACGACGATGATGACGATGATGATGATGATGACGACAATAATGACGACGATGATGGTGACAATAATGATTATGATGACGATGATGATGGCAATAATGATGACGATGATGAAAATGATGATGACGGCGATGATGATGACAAAAATGATGATGATGACAATAATGATTATGACGACGATGATAATGGGCTGCGGTGGGGCGGGGGGGGGTCGGGAGTGTGGGTCCGGGGGTTGACCTCGTGCTGCTCGGTGCCGGGGGGCGAGCACCGATCTCGGCACTGCTGGCGGCTGGCGAAGCTGTTGCTGTTGCCACCGCAGCCGCTGTAGATGAAGGGTCGGCACTGGCCCGACTCTCCGTGGTGGTACCAGCGCATCGTGTAGCGCGAGCAGCTGCCCTCCTCGAGGGGCAGCGAGCAGGGGCCTGACGCAATGACACAAAGATCACCCGGAACAGCCTGAGAACGACGTTTGGGACGAGTGCCGTCAGCGAGCACGGCACACGTGGGGTGGGGGGGGGGGGTCAGCATCACGCCCGGTCATCTCTATCTCCCGCGTGACGATGTTTACACGTAGCGCCAAGTACCCATTTGAGGCTGAGTCGATCTCGGAAAGGCCCAGGACCGGTTGGGAATGGCCCAGGTACAGTGACCGGTGCTGGTGGCCCTGGGCAGGAATCGAACTCGGGTCTCGTCCGGGTTCGTAGCGCAGCGAGCTAGCCGCCGCACTGCCGCTCCCCACACACGCATGCTCGTCCGTGCGTGCACCACGATTAGGATACACACACGCAGCGACAACCGCACGGTGTGAACACGTGGCCTCATGCACGCGCATATAATCGCAATGATTCACGCACAGTCGCGTACACACAGGCACATTATATCCTGTGAGTGAGCGCCTGTTAAGGCCAGCATGGCACATGAGGGATGATGGGGTGGTTAGCACCACCCCGGGTCTCCTTTGTCTACCCAGTGATGATGTTTACACAGCCACACCATATACTCATTTGAGGCTGAATCGACCTGGGGCATGCCCAGGACCAATTTTCGACGTCGTTTGCGACCGATGTTAGCGGCGCCGCAGTGCGCCGACCGCGACCACGACCGGCGCTCCCCACATCGGCCGTGACGCTCCCCACGCGGACCCAGCCACAGCACGGACGCACGCGCGCTCCCGACAAGTCAACGAGCCGGAAGCTTCGGGCGAGGGGGGCGCAGTGTCGGTCAATACTGGGCTGTGTCTCTGTGCAGGGGGCGCCTTCGCGTCCCTGCCGGGAAGCAGGCGCAGGCGAAGCGGTACATGCCGCCGCTGCAGCGTGGCGCACGTGGAAGTGGTTCCGTTGGCGTAATGTGTTTTTTTCTGACTTCTATTAATCGGAGCCACGGGCCCAGAAAAATCCCCCGGCGTGCATTCATTCACGGCCAACGTTCATCGTCGTCGTCATCGTCAGTCATGTTCAATCCACTGCTGGATGTTGTCGCCCCCCCCCCATAGCTACCACCATCTCTCACTATCACCAAGCACGCAAACTGATTTTATCGATCCATCTCCTCGGAACGGTGTTGCTACCAGACGGACGCGTTCCGATTCCTTTGGCTCCGTTATTATTCTTGACCAGAGGTCGTCATCCCCTCTAGTAGCGACGCGTCCCGGCCCAAGCCCGCTGATCATTAATCAATAATCTTTATTCATCAACGAAGCATCCTATGAGCTGTGGACATCAGGTACAACACCAAATTGCGCATGCCACAGCCAAGTCAAAGTCGAGTCGCCCAGATCAAACGAGTGCGCATCGTCGTCGTTGGAAATGTAATTTCAGGCAGAAGCCCCTTGATGATGCTGGTTGAAATCGCCAGCGAAATGTCACCGTCGAAATTGTAAACGCTGTGCGGTGGTCTACAACACACAACCGGTGTGCTGAAGTGGTCACTAATTGGTACGTTCTATTGACGTGAAAACCTTTCTAGGCGGCTGTGTCGGGTGTATGTGAGTATGCTGAACTTCTTTTGCACCGTGCTTAGTCAATCGTGCCAATCAGAGGTGCGGGTGGGGGTTGGGAAAACTTTTATCGTGAGCGTCAACTTTCGTCTGGACCAGATAACCTCTCAGCAACCCAGCCAGCCAGCCAGCCCGAACATTACCTCCTCCCACGTCGATCGACTCCCTCTTGCGTCTCCGAGGCGTCGGGGTTGTCTGGGTCTTCTTTTCCGCTTCGTAGTCTGCGGAACAATAACATTGACAGGGCGATGATGCTCGCGGATCCCTTCGCCGGTGCGGTACTCGCAAGCCAACCGGCGCAGGGGATTCGCGAGAGTTACGAGGCTTACGTGAACCGCTCTGGAAGGACAGGGGGCAGCTTCAGGTGCTGACAGGACGGGCATTTGAGTGAGACATGCGCGCGTTGCTCTACGGTTACAGACAGCTGCGCTGTAACTTAGGCCAACAACCTGAGGTGCAATAACGATAACAATAAGTAAAGATGCATTTTTGCTAAAACCGTCATTCATGCCCATTGCAGAACGCCGCAGACGCGTTTGTGGAAGCGAGTGCAGCTTCTGCACGGAAGGGCGCGGGGAAACCGCAGCCAGAACTCGCTGCCAACGATTGCCCAAGCTCCGATGTCCTATACCGAGGCGGTTGGCCAACTCCACGGGCGAATGTAAACACACGTGGGAGGAAGCCGGGGGTACCCAGAGAAAACCCACAGATTTAAAGCTTTCGTGACTGCAGGGATTCAACTTCTTGGTTCTTTCGGTAAAGTCACGTAGAATGGAAATAATAAAATAATAACAATAAAACATAATAAAATAATTCTCACGACGTTTCTGCCACAACGCAAACAGCCGTCCTCATGTGGAGAACAGGTCTGTCGAGAAGACAGTCTGAAACCAACGATTGCCCAAGCTCAGACTCTGTCTTCTCGACAGACCTGTTCTCCACCTGAGGACAGCTGCTTGCGTTGTGGCCGAAACGTCGTGAGAATGATTTTATTATGTTTCATTTTTATTATTTTATTATTTCCATTCTACGTGACTTTACCGAAAGAACCAAGAAGAAAAACCCTACAGGGTGAGGAGGGGGGCAACAACCGAATCCCCTTACAGATGACATCCAGATGAAAATGAGCCCTTGTTGCTGGCCTGCGGTCGTACCCTGGCGAGCCACGAGATGGGGACCTCAAATGCCCAGCGGCTTTGTGATTCACCAACCCAATGAGCAACGTAGATGACGTCGCCGCAGCTGAACATCGCTTCAATAATTCAGCTCGACGTCACGCGGATGTTGTAGCACGGCTGACATCTCACATCATCATAGATATGTTCTCACAGTCTCGTCATCTCCACAGTCGTCTGGCTTCATCCCTTCTTCCCCTTGTTACACAACGATCACTCACGCATGCCTTCAATGGGCTGCCGCTCTCACAGTACCACCACGACCACAACCACAACCACCGTCTGATGTCAGGCCTTCCCCTTGGGTGCTGACCTCTGACCCGCCAGTCCAGTGCCCAACTCGTTGAGCTGCTCCCCAACATCATGCACACGCGTCCCACTGAGTACAATCTGTGGCTTGGCTCTCCAACACACCGGTGTGCTGTACTAGTCACGAATTGGCACGTTCTGTTTACGTGACAACCCTTACTAGTTGGCTGTGTCGGGTGGTGAGGGGCTTAACGACACATTCATATTGACGCGATCGAACCAGAAAAACACCTCTATTATGGATGATATTTGTCGCGAAAGCCTGCTGCTACGTGGTAACTTGAATGCGTGATTTAACCCAGGGCACCGCCGCCACCGTTGTGGTTACGGTCTCATTTTGTATTAATGGGTTTTTTTTTCTTCCCTTACCTGGCGAGATAATTGTCTAATCATAAAGTTTTATTTAAAAAACAGAAAGTTGACTTCTCTCCCTCCGTCGTCTGCAATGCTTCCTCACAACGTCCTTTTGAACGGTGCCAAGGCAACTGGAAAATAAGTTTCTGGCCTTCGAGTATTGATTCATGGTACGTAAAGAGATTGCATGGCAGGGTCGGGTAAACAATTTGGAAGTGCGGAACATGGCTACACGGGGGAATCTTTGTCTTTCGTGGCGACGATAGCAGCGGTACGAGCGAGACGTGAAGCGATGATGAGACTTTGAAGAGGCCGGGTGTCGACTGTGCAACAGCTGAAGGGACCTGGCAGAGGGAAGGAGGCGACAGCGCGAGTCACGCGACAACCCACCGTAATCCATGTCCGAGTCGTCCCAGCTGTCCTCCTCGACGAGCGTGTCCTCGTAGTCCAAATGCTTGTTGTTGTTGTTCGACAAAGGGCTTATGTTGTTTGCTGTGTTGAGAGCAAAGCCACACACACACGCGCACGCGCACACAGTGTGCCATAAAGGCACGGCCGTACACATTAAATTATTCATGCATCACAATAATACATGTGTAGTGACGTCTATTGATTCACTATGGCATCTAGCGCTACCTATTGGAAGAAGGGTGGTACTGTGCATGTTCGCGTCTCTCTGGCACCGGAGTGAGCATGGCATAGAAGCGGGCCCTAGGGGGCGCGCTTCGGGTGACGGCCAGAGAGAGAGAGGGCACTTCAGGACATGACAGTCTGGGTGACCCCGAGAGGGCACGTGACCAGGAGAGGGTAGCGAGGGGGGCCAAGGGGTGGCGAGAGGGACACGTGACATGAGGCCCAGAACCTTCTAGTAGGATCTAGAAGAGGGCATGGCCGAGGGCAGAGCCAGGCCACGCTCAGGGGAATGGAACCTGCCGGATGACGTCTTTGATCTTCGTGCACGACATCGTGGGCCAGCCACGGTGTGAACTGACCTGGTCCGAGTGTGTAGTGACCCGTGGTGGTTGCTGCCATATAGAATCCCGTCGAGTGGTTATGTAGTTACGCACGGTGGTCACCACCCTATGTCGTCATCACGTGAACGTTATATATAGTTACCCAAACGTGCACCCTCTGTGGAACCCACTACACATGTTCCACTCTGCAATTATAATTGTACATGTACCGCCCTACATCCGTGAATATACATGCACCGACTTGAGCGCACAGTTATACAGGAACCGCCATGCATGATTACACACGTACCACCCTGTACTTGCAAGTCCACGTGTACAACACTGCATCCATGATTATGCAAGAATCACCGTATATGAAGCATTATGCCTGCACCACCATACGTTAACTATTATATATGCATCGCCATACAGACACGATTATATATGCAACACCATACATGGACTATCATACACGCACCACCATACATGACCGATGATACATGCAACACAACACATGACCGATTATACATGCACCACCACACATGTGCCACCATACAGGAACCACCACTTACCAATGGTGTCAATGTTGTCTCCTCGTGCAACAGCCACTGGAATAATGAGAATAATAAAACCACACACGGGCAGCATTCTCATTTGCGGCACACAACGCATAGGGCAGTGAAAAGTCGAAATGTCTCTGCGCTCAAACAAGCATTGCCAGTGCACAGCTCCATAACAACAAGTCCAGTTTGCCATGGGAGTCCAGTTTACCATGGACATCCAGTTTACCATGGAAGTCCTGTTTACTATGGACATTCAGTTTACCATGGACATCCAATTTACCAGGGAAGTCCTGTTTACCATGGACATCCAGTTTACCATGGACATCCAGTTTACCATGGACATCCAGTTTACCATGGACGTCCAGTTTACCATGGAAGTCCAGATGACCAGGGCGGCGAAGTCCAGGTTGCCCACCACTGATTTAGAGTCACGTGCCATGGGAATGGACGCCTGACACGCCAGCGTGGAAGAGTAGGCCAACATCCCCTCTGCAGGGACTCTCACGCACTCCCTCCAGCGAGTGGAGGCTCTTCTCACGGCAGCGGATTGCAAGGTAAATCGGCTCCAGTGATCAATGCAGGAGTTGCACTTTTACCTGTGCAAACGTTTACTCGGAATTTCATATTTTTTTGCCGTCAAATGTTTTGTTCGATATTGCTTTCTTTTTTAATGTTTACTGCAATGGTCCCCAAACTTGCTCGGAATTTGCTCAGAACTTATTCTCATAAAAGAAAAACCTGCACTGAGGGTTGCGTTCCGCTCACTCTCGTGCCCGCACTGAATTGACGGGAGAGTGAAATCGATCAATGACGTCAACAACAACGACATCGACATCAACAACAGCAACAAGATCAACCACCGTAGTGGAAGTCATCGCGATCGCAGCGATGACGCTCATCGTGAATTGCAGGGGGTGACGAAATGTGCTGGTGTCGATTCGTTGCGAATCGAATGGTCTGACCACAGTGGATGATCAGCCGGTTTAGTTTAAATGAAATCTATTAATCAGATGTGTTGTGTGTGTTGTGTGTGCTGTGTGTGTGGGTTGTGTGTGTGTGCTGTGTGTGTAGTGTGTGTGCTGTGTGTGCTGTGTGTGTGCTGTGTGTGTGGTGTTTGCTGTGTGTGCTGTGTGTGTGCTGTTTGTGCTGTGTGTGTGGGTTGTGTGTGTGGGTTGTGTGTGTGTGCTGTGTGAGCTGTGTGTGTGCTGTGTGTGTGCTGTGTGTGTGCTGTGTGCGCTGTGTGTGTGGGTTGTGTGTGTGGGTTGTGTGTGTGTGCTGTGTGAGCTGTGTGTGTGCTGTGTGCGCTGTGTGTGCGACAGGGGAACGGGAAGAGCGCCACTCACCTCCGCAAGCTGAAATCACAACAGAGAACAGAACAAGAAGAATGGCGTCAACATTCAGGCAGATACGGTTTGTCGCGACCACGAGTCAGAGTGAACTCGTTACTCAGACGTGCGTTGGGGCCACGCTCATCTCCTGCCAATAGCCCCGTGCCAGCGGTGGGAATTCCACATTTCCATGGTGGGGAGATTCTTTAACATAGGACAACGCCAGAAGGGTTCATGATGGTCCGAGTCAACTCCGAGATGACATCAACGGAGAAGATGGAGCGATGAGATCAGACGGTATGCGATGTGGGATTGTGACATCGTAGGATTGTGTGGGAGGCCTTCATCCAGCAGTGGATTGGCCAGTACTGACGATGATGATGATCATGATGATGACGATATGTACACAATTGGATTGAACTTGAACTTGGGTTCCACGACCGAGTGACGACGCAGCAAGCCCTGGGAAGGTCGTGTGATGCACGGATATTATATGAGAACAAATAAAAAAATCAACTCCAATGAAAACGTAGATCTATCGTTGAGCAGGAAAGGCGCTGCTGCCTTTGTGCGATAAAAGTGATGAGGAATCACACGCGGACGGAACAAGCCACAGACAGAGACACGGAGAGAGACGGCTCGCATGCTGGGAATCAAAAGGGCGTATTCACGCAATGAGCTTATTGTTTCTTGCTGATCACATTTAAATTGAAGCAATCTCCGAGTCTCTCTCGCCTTAGACGGGAGTCAGGCAACGCTCATCTCTGTTGCCGATGCGTGAAACCGGCGGTGGGAAATTCTACTTTGCTCAGTGGAAACTGCCGCTGACGATGTTCCAAACCGGTTACAAACTTTTACCAACTGCTTGGTGGGATTACGGGTGAACTTGGGGTTTTAAACGTGCTTGGTCATAGCCAACATGGCGTATTCCAGCTCAAATCGTTTTGATTTGATTTGCCGTTCGACAAACACCGCATGAAGGGCACAGAGATCATTTAGATGATTTTGATGTGATCTATCTCCACGTAATAAGCCACTTCGTTGAGCTATCTTTTGTGGCCAGGTCGCTTCTGAAAAATATGCTAATAAGCTCCGCTGGGCTTTACCTGGTAACATAAAAAATAGTTTAGTTTTATTTGTATATTTTGTGTAAGTGGTTTGTTTACCTTTCCTATACCTTTCACTCCCGTCGTGTTTGAATACAGTTTGTTGTTGTAACGTTCTGACCCTGGTGCCCCTACTGGACATCTGTGAAAAAAAGGGCTTCAGAGCTCATCGGATTCCTCCGGTCTAAATAAATATCGCGATTCTGAGAGAATGCGTTTTCACCTTCGCGTGGTGGGGACAAGAGGCCATTCTGAATTGACTTAGGGAAGCATTTCCTGATAGAATTTCTCCCCCCCCCCCATCTCCGTTTCATTACAGAGTGACGTCAGCAGCGGCGCACGGTTCACAAATAAACGTCAGCGGTGGGCCGACGGGATTTCATTAAAAAAAAGCGAAAAACGGTCGCCCGCGATGCAATCGCCGCCCATCTTGAGACCCACGGTCACCGCCGCCTCTGCTGTCTTGCGAGCGGACAAATGAATTCCGTGCGTCTGTCGACACTCACCGCAATGCTTGCCCATCTCCTGGCGAATAAAATCTCGAATTGCCAATTCCTGGGAGAAGAGAGACGAGAGAGAGAGAGAGAGAGGAGACAAGGGATTTATTATCAAATGCTGTCCGGATTCTTGAAAAAAAGGGAGGAGCTGGTGTCACGGTTTAATGTTTTGTACAATTTTGGCTTTGTTCGCATGCCCTCCTCCTACGTTTCCCATCTCGTGTCGGCGAAATGAATCCCCTTTGCTCTGTCGTTGTTACAATGGGTTTTTGTTGTTGTTTTCCTGTGGGTTTAATATCTATAAACGAAACACAGCTCAAAGCGTAAATCCCCTCCCCTTGCTCAAACGGGCTTTGGGATGGCGCTCATCTCCACGGGAGTGGGGGAGTGGTGGGGGGCACGGGGTGGCGTGGGTTACTCGGAACCTCCGGGATCGGTGTGCGGTGAGGTTCGCCACCCCGAGCGAGCGAGCCCACGCAGAGACGGTGTTACCATTCCGTCAGTGCCGTCTCGTTACGGCATGCATTCCGCGTTCGGATTTCCTGCCTCGTACACTCTCGTCCGTCTCGTTTTCACCGCCCGTCTCGTTTGTTGTACGTTGGGGCTTCTTTGGGCGTCTGACTGTGCACCAATCGATCTTCCTGTCTATGTCTGGATCGTGGATATTTATATCCGCGTCACTCGTGTCGATTTGGCTTTTGTTGGCTTCGTTGACTGGTGTCAATTTAAATTTCTGCGGCTTAGCCGCTCGCAAATGACACCCATCAAGATATCCATCCGTGCAACCCTCGGGCAACACTTCACCATAATTTGACACGTTCTCATCTACATGGCTGTGCGTACACGCTCCGCTTTAATACGCGAGGTTAATATTTTAAGGTCACGCGTCTGCAACAGAGGAGCGGAAGACATCCCGCAACTCGGACCGTCACACAAAATAAACATCTCTTTTTTTTATTGCGAGACAGCAACCTTCCACCGGATTGACGGTCAGCAGCATGCTGGACTTGCAACCCAGAAGTCGCCGGGTTCAATCTCCCGGCGTGGCAGATTAAGAGATGGCGCACACTTCTTAAAACCGCCCCCCTCACCCCTCCCGCCTCTGTCCACCCAGCGGTGTTCGCCACATGAAGTTAATCGGCACGTCACGTGTGGTGGGGGCCCCCTCTTCCAAGACATCCCTGGCCAGCGTGAAAGAGTAGGCCAAATATCCTTTCGAGGCTGGCCTCTGGAGCTCTCTCAAATAATCAGAGGCCCTTCTGCCAACTGTGCTGCGAGCAAAAAAAAAATATTGTTGGGCTGCACTTTTAACTTTACGTTGCAATCATGAAAACACATCGGCCTCGTTCAACAAACGAGGCGAACGAGCGTCAGTTATGGTGGCCATAATCCATCGGTTGAAATTCCACATTTTTTTAGCGATGGCCAGGCTCGCTGAAGGATGACCGCTGTTGACTTTCTCCAGAGTGGTGGAACTCCCATTTGATCAAGTCAAGAGGCAAGAATGATGCCTGCATGTACGTTGAACTTCTTTCGCACTGTACGTAGCCAACCGTGCTAATCTGAGGTGCGGATGGATGAAGACGATTGGCTGAGCTGAGTCGACCCAAGGCCGGGATTTGGATCTTGTGACCTTTCCATGACGAGTTGAGTGCCCTAACCGCAGAGCCACCGGGTAGAGTTTCCCCCTGTCTGGGTTGGACCCGGACAGTTGCCAGGGAATCGGCATCTTCGTTCGGGTGGCATCAGGAACTGATTTGCACCAAGATCTGCTGGCGGTATTGTTTTGCCGCACAGTTTTCGGAAAAGACTGAGTGCTGACTGAGAGACGTGTACCGGGTTTGGTTTGCGGAGAAGGTTGGCAAGCGTGGCACCAAGCCAGATGAACCACTGCTGCTAGGCCATCAACGAGCCAGCCGCACGGCGGTTCAATAAGCTTGCCAACCTTCTCGTTGGTCACAATGCTATTCAAGAATTATTATATTGTTGTGTCTGAGTTTTAGCCATCTAATTTTTATCGTTAATATATTTTTGTTCTCTCTCTATTGTTTGCACTATTTAATTGAATTCGCTCGGAACAGCTGTAATATTGGAATATAAATTTGAAAATATTTTGCACAAATTGTAAACCACTGATTCACAGGCACACGCACGACTCAATGCACGTGGTGTATGCGTAATCACGAGCTTGGCAACGTAGCTGCATTCAACCAGTTGGTGCGTCTTTGCGTGCCTCGCAATTACGACCCGGGGGAAAACTTGACACCTTGTTTCATAAACAAATACCACTGGGAGTAGTCACACAGGTCAAATTAATGTCAATGTTCGTTCATTGTCTAGCTGATTAAATATCTCCCGCGCAGGCGAAAAGGTCACCACCGGCAGTGTTAATTTATGATAAACTTTTAGTCGCGGTTTACTCAACGGCTACCTGCGGAATGTTGGACAAGTCTCGAGTCTGTGGACGAGGTCAATAGCATTTAGTCATTCTTCAGCCTACCGGTGTGTTGTGGGTTCTGTGGGTTTACTAATTGGCACGTTTGTGTTTACGTGACAAACATTACTTATTGGCGGTGTCGGGTGGTGGGGGGTTAACGACACATTTAAAATAAAAAAATCCTTTATTATGAATTACATTGGTTGCAAAAGCCTACGTGTTAAACTGACCATTTATTTATTATCAGGTTGACTCAGCCCTTCGTCCTCCCTTCAGCGTCCACATAAAGTGAGTAACACTTGTGGTGAGAAGTCAGCAGAGGGTTGGAATACGGAGGGAGACAAATCGCCCCCCCCCCCCACACAGGAATGTGAAATTTTCAAAACTGGCTCGGAACCTCCCACATTAACATAGATTTAAATGTGAAATTTTTATCATTAAAGTCTTACACCAAGTGACTTTTTACTTATTTTTACCAGGTAAGGCCCCACTGAACTCCTTTTCAGAATCGACCTGGCCACAACGAAGAGGTATTTATCATTGCGTGGGAAATTTCTAGCAGCCAAAAGCACCTTTCTAAATATGGAGGGAAAACCCAGAGGACTTGGAGAAAAATCAACATAGCTAACTTAATTGAACTATTGTATTTTACCAGGTAAGACCCACGGAGCATTATATAGCTCTTTTTCAGAAGCGACCGGGACACAAATGATAGCCCAACGAAGTGGTTTATCATATGGAAATGTACAGCAGCCAAATAATCTAAATGCATACTTCTAAATGTGGAGGTAATAACCGGAGGACCCGGAGAAACATCCATGCAACCACTGGGAGAACATGCAAACTCCCAATATGCAGCAGGCGTCAGGGTCGGGATCGAACCGACGATCTCCCGTATACCAGGCGAGGTAGTTTACGTCTCGCCACCGTGATACATTATGAAGCATTAGGCCTGAAGCCTGGGGTCTATCCTAGTTGGCAGCCCAGTCATGAGCACTCACGTTTAGCCCAGAGTCACCCTTGTCCCCCTTCGAGCCGTCCACTCCAAAATCTCCCTGCAAACGGCCACAGTTCTCAGGGTTAAAATAGTGAAGTGACGGAGTGACAAAAAACAATAGGATTTGGATTTACAAGGCAATATTACAACGCAACTTTCTAATGACCAGGTTAGGCCCCTTGAGCTATTAAGCTATTTTTCACAAGTGACCTTAGTCACAAATGATAGCTCAACAAAGTGGCCTTATCATGTGGAAACGCATAGACGCCAAATACTCTAATACTGTGGTGCGGCAGTTTGCACACCAAGCTGAGCACCTGAGTTTGACTTCCTGCAACGGCTAACCAAATATGAGAGGTGAGGGGAAATCTGAACAGGTCTTGGAATCCTCGTCGCTAACCCATGCTGGCGATCGCCACGAAGCGGTGGTGACGTCATCGCTGTGCTTGTGCCAGGCTAAGTGCACTTTGAGGCCACGTGAAGTATATTCTTGGTTCTTTCGGTAAAGTCACGTAGAAGTGTCAATGACTCGCTGACATGAGGTCAACAGACAGACCCAGGTGCTGTACGTTAACCAAGATGCCTGGCAGATGTACGAAAAGCGTGTTCCCCACTGTGCCACCTTGCTGTGTTTTAGCCGCCTAGCATTCCACCCAATATTTTCAGTATCGCCTTTCTGCCTACCACTACCAGCCTCCTACACAGTAGCCAATCTGGACACCACTGGTACCAGTCATCGGCGATTCCAATCTGCTCCAAATCCTCCTATAACACATCAGTCCATCTATATTCTGGCCTGTGCCGCACCCGTTTAGCCCCTCTACCTGGCGGGGAATGCGGGCTACAAGACCCAGGCAATGCAGCCTTGCTTGCCGGAGGAGCTCACTGATAATGGGGACTGTGTCCAGATTTTTTAAGGATATTTCAAGGCATTGGCAAGGGCAGTACTGTACGGTTAAAAAACGCCAATGACCAACATGGCATGGAGAGGTCTTCATTCAGATACGGATTTACAAAGTGCTGCAAATTATTGCTTTTATTTCCCCGAGAATTTAAAGAAAACTCAAGTCTTCTCGCTAAAGCCGCAGGTTTGTGGGTGCTATATCTAAATTCTGACATCAAGTTGGTAAAACGCATCAAGAGATCCCGTTCGCCTTCTACATCTCTCAACTCCCTAGAAGCTCCCGCTTGAGCCCCTGCAACATCTTTCACATTGTCCCTTCCTCGTCTCTTCTGCCGTCGAGACCCTTATTTATTGCTACACCACATCTCGACTCGATTGCTCTAACTGTTCCTACTGCTGCTGATGAGGACAATGATGATGACAGAAGTCATGATGACAAGGATGATGACGGTGGTGATAAGATGTTGTACTTACAGGGTCTCCCCTCTCACCAGGAACTCCAGGGACACCACGAGGGCCACTAATCCCCTGTCCAGCCGGACCCCGATCACCCTACACACACAAAGACAAAGAACACCCATATTGACAGATAGATGGTTGGGGGCAAGTGCTTTTAGCGAGCACTTGTGAAGGCCGGCACGGCACACGAGGGGGTGGTGCGGCCAATACCACGTCTCACCACCTCTGTCGATGTTTACACACCGCACCAGACACTGATTTAAGGCTGAGTTGAGCTAGGGGAGGTTCAGAACCGATGTAGATATTCCCAACTGATGTTAGTTGTGAGTAGGAATTGAGGAAGCATAAAAGCCCTAATTAATACTGGAGGTAAATGTTATAAATTTGAGAGTGAACGAAAACTGTGTGCTCTGCAAATTCGAAATGATTCTTATTAACATCAATATGTGTAAAGTTTTGGGTTCGGCCACCAAAGTAGTCTTTCACACCAAGATTCTTGTCATCTATCCCTCCACAAACCCGACAAGATTGTCACGTTTATAAAGATGTCATTTATACGCGACCAATGTGTCAGAGATTCAGTGAGGTGCATCAGCTGGCACTGCATTAGCTGACTCCTAAATACCCGCCGTGCATTTACCAGTCGGCTACTGCAGAGTCATCGGATGCAACTTCACTCGGTGTCCACCACCTGTAGAAACTCAACGCTGTTTGAGAGACAGGTAGTCGCATCGCTGGTGGCGAGATGTTAACTACCTCGCCTGGTATGCACGAGGTCGTGGATTCGATCCCGACCCTGACGCCCATATATTTTGAGTTTGCATATTCTCCCCGTGGTCGCATGGCTTTTTATCCGGGTCCTCGGGATTTTCTCCTCCACATTTAAAAACAAGTGTTTATAGTATTTGGCTGTGATACATTTCCACGTGATAAGCCACTTCGTTGAGCTATCATGTGTGGCCAGGTCGCTTCTGAAAAAGAGCTCTATAGCTCAGTGGGCCTTGAACTGGTGGTTTGGTGGTAAATCTAATCAGGAAAGTTCTTACATCACCAGCGAGGAGCATGACTTTTAAAAATTAATTCAACACCCTGGCCCACTGTGAAAAAATAACATGTTTGGAAATGTGACAATCTTTAATTTTCGATTTAAAGCTTTCGTGACTGCAGGGATTCATCTTCTTGGTTCTTTCGGTAAAGTCACGTAGAAGGGAAGTAATAAAATAATAAAAATAAAACATAATAAAATATTTTAAAAACATAATAAAACATTTTATTATGTTTTTATTTTTATTATTTTATTACTTCCCTTCTACGTGACTTTACCGAAAGAACCAAAAAGATGTGACAATCTTGTTGGGTGGTGGGCATTAAATTACCGCCACGCAGCCGAACCAAAAATTACTGCATTGTCCACAAAAACCTACATTTTTAACTACTGCCATTATTATCTCATGACATGGCGCCGACTGTATGATTGGGATAAGATTCTGGAAAAAAATGACGGTATGAAACTGGTGACTTGCTGCTGCTGATGATACTGATGTCACTGTGCGTTGGGGTTTATTACCTTCTGGCCTTGAATTCCTTCAAGGCCACGGAGCCCGGGAGGCCCAGGAGGGCCAGACGGGCCAGTTTGTCCCTCCGAACCCTTTGGCCCAGGTGCCCCGGGCATGCCGATGATACCCTGGGGATCAGAAAAAATATAACATACAAAACTAAGACAAATATCCCCCTGCATAGCCTTCAGAATGTTGGGATTAAGTGCTGTTAGTGAGCACATATGAAGGCCGGCACGGCATACGAGGGGGTGGGTGGCCAACACCACGCCCGGCCGCCTTTGTCTCCCGATAGACGACATTTACACACCGCACCAGGTACTCATTTGAGGCTGAGTCGACCTAGGGGAGGCCCAGGATCGGTTCGGATAATCGTCCCTGGTGTTAGCCGTGAGCGGGAATCAAACTCGGGTCATCGGGTTCGTAGCGCAGCACGCTAACGACTACACTACTGCTCCCCACATAACATATGCGAGCATAAACACAGCACCTTACACGCTGATGACAAAGTAACCTGGACAGGTGGCCTCTGTATAACCACTGGTTGTCATGTGGGGCAGCGGGGATAATGTGATAAGCCAAGCCCATTGCTGTACTGCACTTCTATGCTGTAACACCTATGGTCCCAACGTTCATCAGCAGGCACTGACCAGCATGGTGAAGTATGGTCAAATAAATCCTGTGATCCATGCGGCATGAGGAGGCCCTCGCCCAGAAGTAGATGGATCCTGCAGTGGACTATAGACCGGGCAAGTCACTCAGTCTCTGTAAATCTCAGTCTTTCCTGAAGGAGGATGTTTTCAAAAACGTCCAGATCTTCCTTTTCTCTGAGTGCTACTCACTGCCCCTGTCCTCCATATACGACCAAGCCTATAACAACCCCTATCACTACCTCAACCCCTATCACTACCCCAACCCACATCACTACCCCTACCCCCATCACTACCTCAACCCCTATTACTACCCCAACCCCTATCACTACCCCAACCCCTACCACTACCCCTATCACTACCCCTATCACTACCCCAACCCCCATCACTACCCCAACCCCCATCACTACCCCTACCCCCATCACTAATTCAACCTCTCCTTAACCACTCCCACCCGTTCGCGTCACCGTCACCATAGCCAAGCCAACACTGTGAATAACACGCCACTCTTTAATGTCAACCACTGTCAGCTAATGTACAATGTTATAATTATTATAAAACACCTTGAGGCGAGGTGCTTTATAAATCTATGCAAGATAGGACGAGCTCGCCCACGTGTTTTCGGGTTGCACCAAACGTAGGTGTTCGACATTTCACTCCACGAAAGACTCGGCAGAAGAAAGTTCTGTTGATATTGTTATTATTGTTAACCATGAATATTGCATTTGGTCATTTTACAGGACAGAAGATATTTACACGGTCGCCCTTTTCTCCACGATCGCCCTGCGACCCTTGTGCCCCGTCGCGGCCGCGGTCTCCCTGGGAGGCAGAAAGGAAAAACAAGTACATTCAGGAGGATTTGAGACATCGTCTTCGGGAATAGGTGAAGGTAACCAAAAGCTAGTACCCAAATGTTTCGTGTTAAATTTTTTACAACATTTTTATTTTGGCTTTAGGAAATAATATTCCAATTGTGCTGTTAGGTCATGAGGCGAAGGAAATTTAATTTGGAAATCCGCAGTGAGCAGAGCATCGCCCTGTGTTGCAGAGTGGGCATGCAATGTTGAAACTAGTCCGGAGTTTGCTTGCTTAAAACTAAATGCTGATTATTCACATGAGGGTCATGCCTTTTAATTATCTGAAAACTGTTGTTGGTCAAACTGAAATTGTTGTTAAGTTGGGATGAAAGCAAATTAAGTTGGAACAAAACAACAATAATAATATGATGTTTTTTTTTGTGGAGTCATTAGTGACCAGACTGAAAAAATCAACTTTGAGAACCTGGTTCAACCACCGGTGGCTAAAACCTGGAGTCAAACCAAGGGTCCTGTCGGTGATGATCCGTAAGCCACAATGTTTCTTTCTACGTATTATCATATTCGTATTATTCTTAGTTAGACAAATGGTCCTGTTAAAATAAACATAAAAAATGGATCTTCGGTCGGTCACCTTGTGTGGCCAAACATACTGTAAAATACGGCATTTGATTTCGCTAGATATTAAAATCGTGTCTTGTAAAATTTAAAACAGAATGTTTACCTTCGCTCCCGGCAATCCTTCCAACCCGGGCTGTCCAGAAGCTCCAGGGATTCCCGATTCCCCCTTTCCGAAAAACACAACACAAACAAATGAATGAATAAAGGAATAAAAATGTAATCAACTCGTTCATACGAACGACAATTAGGCACCTCTCCCACAGCGCCAGAAGGCGCTTGCCTTCACGCTCTGCTAAGACTCATTCACTCCACTTCAATCATCCGATACGTCTAATACACGTTTACCTTCTGACCAGGGTAAGGCCGAAATGCGGGTCCACCTACCTCATACCGATGGGCTTCCATCACCCAAGAGAGGAGGGCGCTCCTTCATGTTTTGCATAATACAGTTGCTTTGCCGAAGTCACTCATCCAATATATTTACAAATCTACTATCTCAAGGACAAATTTCATTAAAAAAAGTTATGGAGACAAAATATATAAAAAAAATTGTGCAGTCATTGATCGCTGTGAGTTGAGACCATCATCTCCCCACACTCGAGACGCCGGTTTAATCATGCGCGGCTCAATGCCAGATTCAAACCCAGCATCTCAGTGGTTCCGGCATTTCTGAGTGGTGCTTCGACACGGCCATTATGAAACCCCCGAGTCACCAGGCCATCTCAACAAAAACACTCGACATTTAATTCAGGAGATTTCACAAAACCCTCATACCCGGTCGGCACGTGGTCCAGGGAGTCCCATCCTCCCAGGAAGGCCAGAGTTGCCCTAGGAAAACAACAGAGGCGTTCAAGACCAACAGAGGGGGGTTTGTTTTATGTGCTATGCACATAACAGCCCAAAACCTCACTAATTTTATACACTTCTATTTCTACTAAGGCAGCGTTGTTCACAAGTGTTTGAAGTTGTTAACAGACGGTTTGCGTTCCTTAAAAAAAACCAGAGCCATTGAGAAAATGGAATTCCCCGAGGTGCACTGTTAATTAACGATAATAATATACTCAGTTTAATAAAGCGCCTTTCAAATTGGTAATGTCAACAAATCATTCAGCGATGCTGCTGAGTTATGGCAGTGGTGCGCAGTCACAGTGAACAAAACTCAACTCCTTCGTCAATAACACCACCTCCGTGTAATTAAGTCTCATTCTTCTTGTCGGACGGCTGCTGATGTCGCTGCAGAGCAACAGCGACAACTTCACATTCAGGTGGTCAACCCAAACAACCGCCTAAGGTGCAGCGCAGTGCAGCTATGCCGTGACGTCTCCTTCGTATTCGTGGTTCGGGGCATCGCGTCGTCACACGCCCTACCGGTCTCTGTCCTGGATGACCACAAGTCGCACACGACTGGAGAGTTTTATTTATTTATTTTCCATTTGCGCATTGGGTGTCCGCATCTGCCATGGTTTGTGCAGTGGATGCGATTTGGGGTGGACGACGAACTTCGTGGAAGATCGACCCCACAGGGATGTTCTGCGCTGGGTCTTTCACAACAAGGGGTTTATGAGTTATTTTGGACTCCATTCCACTCTCCTGACTTTCATCGGGGTTAAATGTGCAAGTACGCAATAGGCAACGTGTTTGGAAATAGCCCTGTGCCATGAAGTAGAGCCACTGCCCAACACGTAGTCTATTTTATAATTATTTACTTTTATGGCAGCCGTGTTATTGACGAACGGTGTTTGATTATATTTTGTAAAAAATGTTTTATATTGATTAGAAAAAAAATGTGGTCACTGATTTTATACTATGCGGTTGAAAGTTGTATGTTTTTTTAAAACGTTTCAGCTCTCGCCGTTATCTCCAGATGATAAGACGCGCTTTTAAAAATGTTTAAGGCAAGAGTGAAGAGTTGTGGGGTGTGTCTCATCGTCTGGTAGGTATCAGTTATAATATTCATCAGCATGATCACCATCAGCATCATGAAAAGTATCTTGATCACCTTCATCAATAACAAAATCATCATCATCACCATAATATTTTTTTGCAGATTCATTAAATAGGTACCACATCATGGGAAATCAATGGCGGTTGTCATGAGGATGTTATATTCCCTGCCATAAGAATGGGGAATTTCTGGCTCAGGACTGGCTTTCTAAGTATTTGCTGCCATTTGCAAGGGGTACAACCCAGTCTCAATTATGACGTTTTAAATTATGACAATAAGGGAACGATCAATTTAGGGGGCGCGAAAAATATTCCCCATAATGCCGTGCTGGAGATTCCTAAAGATGACGAAAAACAGCTACGTTGCATTGAGGAGTGTTCACCTAATACTCACCTTGTCGCCTTTAACTCCATCATCGCCACATTTCCCCTTCATGCCCATGAGGCCCTAGGAAGAGACAAGCGACACAGAGCGTGCAGCCGTCACGTAGAAGCCAGAGCGAATTCACGTACAGGAGCTTGTCCTTGAGGTACTGGTCTCATCCAGCGGCGGCAAGGGTGCCCTGGCACAACCGGCAGATCACGGCCGGTGGCGTCGATGTCACCGAGCATCGCCATCGCTTCCTTCCTTCTGCCAGATCCCGTAATTGCTGCAAGTGTTGATGCCCGACCTCCAAGGTCTGCTGTCAGAAGTCTCATCAGCACAGCTGTTGCTATGTTGCATGTACGTACATTGAACTTCTTTTGCACTATACATCGCCAACCGTGCTAATTGGAGGTGTGGGGGGAGGGAGGACAACAAACTAAACTAATTAATTAAGAAATTAGTTTCAATATCGTTAGTTCCTTCCCTTGTTACACGATTGACATATCCTCCAAGGATGATTCTTATGGGAGGCATCCCACCATGTGGATTTAGGTCTTTCTCTTGGGGTCGCCAGTTCTCCTGCGGCATCCTGAACGGGAGCGGCCGAGGTTATCGCACCCGCTGGGGGCGCGCGCACGCACACACACGCACGCACACATGCACACACGCACATGCACACACGCGCACTCACACGGCGCCCCACATTCCGAAAACCACCCGAGTTGCTGCCACCAAGTGCCGAGGCTTCTTTGTCGCAATGCGCCTCCGGCACCGTGCCGACGAGCCTCGCGCGTACTCACCACGTCGCCCTTTGGGCCACGGAAGCCTCGCTCCCCCTTGTCCCCTTTCGTTCCGTTGATGCCGTACTTCCCGTCCTCTCCCTGAGGAAGTAAAGAGGTCAAAGGGGCATCCCCGCAAGTGCCCGCTCACGTCACTGCTGTTTCGCGAGCCCCGCTGAAGGGGAGCATCTAGGCCTGCTGCTCCACGCCCGCCAGGCACCGCACCCATCGCTAAAAACTACAAATAAAAACAGGTCCAGGGGCAGCCCTGCAATTGCTTGCTCATTCCACTGCTGGCGGGAGGGTACACCAAAAGGTCAAAACCGGGAGATCATCACGGCCAGTGGCGTTGAAGTCACCGTGCCTCGCCATCGCTTCCTTCCTTCTGCCAGGTCCTGCGATTGCTTCACACGTGCCATGCCTAACCCTCCACTGTTTAGGGAGCTCCTTCTAGAGAGTATTTGTTTGGCCTACTCTTCCACTCCAGACGTCTTGGAAGAGGATCAGGGAGAGGGGTGGGGGAGGGGTGGGCGGGGGGTACCAAAGATTCGCTCGCATATCACTCGCCACTGATGTAAGCCGTCGCCGGAAAATGAAATCAAGTGGCTGGGTTTAATGGCGCAGTGGACTCACTCCACCGTGCGGTTAGCATCAAAGTCACGGCCATTCGCTGTTAAGATGACTACGGCGGTGGTGCTTATCTCAGCTGGTGTCAGTTGGTGGACATTCGACATTGCTATGGCAGGGGGCGAGTTTATCCATAGCACAACCACCGTTGACTTCGCCAGCAAAGTGGCGCTCTGCTTTATCAACGCCGGAGGGAGGATTGGCTAAGTTAAAGAATGGGAGAGGAAATATTCATTGATTATCATGGTATCACCATCATTAGCATCTTGAGATGCTGTTGCATTTAGATGCTATATAAATGCAAATTGTAATTGCGGTTGAATCAGTGGCATCGTTACCAGTGCACCAATTAATCTCCCCCACAATTTCATGAATTGTCACGATTCTAAGCCATTATTCCATTGGTTAATTAACATTTGCCATTGTGGTGCATGTTGATTCTATAGTGATTGGATAGCTATAGTGCTGTGTGAATCTATAGAAGCTACAGGGGTACGAGTCTATGGAATCCATAGTGGTATTATCAAAAAGAAAGTAGAAACGAATTAAATAAAAAAAGTTTATTCTTACACGCACATTTCTATGCATGCATTGTCAGTGTATGAATCTATTTAATTGATGAATTGTTAATATTCCTACGCATTGTCGCCAACATAATTACCATCATGATCATCTTGACTTAGCGCTTTCGTGACTGCAGGAATTCATATTCTTGGGTCTTTCGGTACAGCCACGTAGATAGGTTGAAAGAAAATAACAAAAAAATAACAAAAAACTACGACGTTTCGATCGCAACACAAGCGATCATCGTAGTTTTTTGTTATTTGTTGTTATTTTCTTTGAACCAATCTACGTGACTTTACCGAAAGACCCAAGAATATCATGATCCTCATTATAAACAGCATCCACTGCAGCAGCGGCAGCTTCATATTCGGTATCGTCAGCATCATCACCTCCAGCAGCAGCGGCATCATGGAAAGCCATACCTAGTCTCAAGACCCAAAGCTGTTGGGCCAATTTCAAATTGTATATTCATGCTGTGTGAGAATAAATCCGAGTTACAGGAGATAACTGACAATTTCGAGATGCTAACAGTGTAATTCCATTTCACACGGTAGCCAGTCACAAATCTACTCCCTGCCCTCCCTCCTAAAGCCATTCATTTGTGGGAGGCGAGCACACATCGTGTTTCCATCTTTTGAGTGATCCGCCAACGTCACATCTAAATTGATGGTCATGTCACACAGAAATTATTATTTCTTCTCCAGATTATAAGATGCACTCTATCAACATTTATTTCAAAGCAAAAAGTTGAGTGTGCCTCTGATAACCTGATTGGCGTGTGCGTGCGTGCCCGTGTGTGCGCGCAACCAGATTTGCATAGCTTCATCGACAACTTTTTTCCGGAGCTTCATATATTCTGGAGAATAGGGTTATGTATATTTATATGTTAAATTCTTACCGGGTCTCCTGGAAGGCCCACTTCACCCGGCTCACCCTGAAATAAATGAGAAGTGGACAAAAAACTCACATTCTTACAAAACACGTTTCTACGATACCCTTGGTGGATTTTAACCGGTGGTGTAAAATTAAAGTTTTCCCCGTCTCAGCCATTCGATATCTCTCTCTCTCTCAACCAGCTCAAGCCTCTTGTCAACCACGGGACCTCTGCCATTCTGTTACCAGTCTCATCCATTGGCTGTTATCCCTCGGAGCGGACAACGAATCCAGCCTAAGCCCACTGTCCCATAAGTCAATGTGACGTCTCTTAACCATGTTGACTGTTTCGTTTATTGCCCTTCCACCCGCACCTCCGATGAGCACGGTTGGCTACGTACGATGCAAAAGAAGTTCAACAAACATACGTAATCAGTTCAACACGTAGCCTTTCGCGACCAATTTTATCCGTAAGAGGTTTTGTGGGTTATATTGCGTAAATATAAATGTGACGTCAAACCTGCCACCACCCGACACAGCCAATGAGTAAGGTTTGTTGCATTTACGATTTGTGGGTTTACTCTCCAACACACCGATCTGCTGCACTAGTAACGAATTGCAATGTTTTGTTTACGTGAAAAACCTTACTAATTGGCTGCGACGGGTGGTGGCGGGATTAACGACACATTTATATTTACGCGATCTAACCCAAAAAACCCTCCATTTTGGACGTGCATAATCGTTGGTTGCTCCCTGATCCAGAGCGCTCCTCTGTCGGTGCAATTCAAGGCGCGTATCTCCCAATGCTTCTTGGCACACTTTTCACATTTTGCGCCATGGCTTTTGTTTATGAACATGCTTTTCAAACCATACACCATCGCGGGCAATGCCCACTCATTGAACACTTGATTCTTCTTCTGGCACTTATTTTTAATCATAAAATTGAGTTTCACAAAAGCACCTGCTCTCACTTGCTTCTTAAATTTAATCATTTTATTCCAAACAAACACGGCTGCGTTTTCCAACAAAATGTCTCCATTCGCTTCGTGAAACGTCTCCACGACTTTTGCTCCACACATATGTGTCTCGAGCCCAACTCGCAAAGTTCATCATCAGTCGATTCTCCTGGAGTTCACTTCAACTGCCCGTTCTCATCAATCATTACGTGGGGGGCTGTGTGACCGCACATCAGAGTCATGCGGACTGGATGACTAAGCAGTACATATATATGTCAGTTGAATGTCTTTCGCGCTGTACGTATCGAACCGTGATAATGGGAGGTGCGGCGGAAGAACAACAAACAAAAAGCAGTTCTAATGTAGTTTAACACGTAGGCTTTCGCGACCAATATTATTCATAATAAGGTTTTTGGGTTAGATCGCGTTATTATGAATTATGAGTTCTAAAGTAATTAGTTTCAAATCGAGATTTAAAAGTACATAGATCTGGGGGCTTACTAATATCTAACGGAAGTGCGTTCCAGACGGCCGCAGAAGCGCATCTGAAAGTGCCTTTGTTCAACGGTTTGCCAAAAGCCGCCGCTGCAAGGATCACCGGAGTTCGCGCGATGGTTTAAGCTCCTAGACGAGATCAGCAAGGTATCGTGGTTCATTTTGTGCCAGGCACTTTGTGTGTGTAATGGAAGCTAATGGGGCTCGGCGAGCAATGGACGGACACGGTCGGACGTTCTCTATGCAGAGGGCTGCTCCAGCCACCCGACGGGAATACAAAGTAGGCAGCTCTCACCTTCTCTCCCAGTGGGCCCCTAGGTCCGGCAATTCCCACTGACCCCTGTAGACCCAGTTCCCCTTTGTCACCCTGTAAAGGTGCAGCAATAGAGACAGAGATAGAGAGAAGGGTGGGGGGGGGGGGGTGAGATGGCAGTGATGAGTTACGAATTCAGATTTAGCAGGAGTCAGAGACGGGCTCCACATGCAGTGCTGGTGGTAGGGGTGAGTTTTAAACAGCACGCACACGTGGGTAATAAGCATTAATGCGTTATGCAAAAAAATTACCCATCGGCATTTCATCGAAGAACTGCATTGTGGTCCTATTTTCTTAGGTCGCCATGGGAATACATTTGATGAAATGTGGCCGACAGGCATGAATATAAGCGAACTAAAACGAATACTTCTGGTGCATCAAGCAAATAAAGACAGTCTAGCTTACAGCAGACATTAAAGATCCCGTGACATTACACAAAAAAGACTATGAGGCCATGTGCGCCAGAATTACACTCACAATGTAATTACTGCACAGCAAAACCTTATTAATTCGACACATATGGGGCTGTGGCCTTGCCGGATTATCCAATATTCCAAATTATGTCCAACAGTACTCCCCAGTGCCTCCTGCCCCAATTAGAAAAATAATCACAATTAGTTTGCTAAACTTTTCACACCGCATACGCATTGACACACACCCTGCATCAATTCTGTCCTAAACTTTGGATTTGTCTCGCAGACTCAGGATTTTATACTTCAGCCCCTTTCTGTTACTTCTTGATGGAGGTGGAGACGGCATTTCTGAGAGGGTTGGCGGTAACAGAGTGCACACACAAGGGAAAGTCCAAAACGATCGGTCTGCACTGACGCTCACCACACTCGCCACGCTCACAACGCTCACCACGCTCACCACGCTCACCACGCTCGCCGCTCTCACCACACTCACCACGCTCACCACACTCGCCACGCTCACCACGCTCACCACGCTCACCACACTCGCCGCGCTCGCCACGCTCACCACGCTCACCACGCTCGCCACGCTCACCACGCTCACCACGCTCACCACACTCGCCGCTCTCACCACGCTCACCACGCTCACCACACTCGCCACGCTCACCACGCTCACCACTCTCACCACACTCACCACGCTCACCACGCTCACCACGCTCAACACGCTCACCACGCTCGCCACTCTCACCACGCTCACCACGCTCACCAAAATTGTGTCTTTCTGCGATTCGTGTGTTTTTTGTTGTACGTAAAGTGCGTTAAGATGCCGTGGTAGTTAGGTGCCCGATAACTAAAAATCCCGATCCTCAAGTCCTGACCCCAAGTGTCTGGTGTTGTCACGTTCTGACCTGCCCCTACAGGACATCTGTGAAAAAGAACTTGATAGTTAGTTGAACACGTAGGCTTCCGCGACCAATATCATCCATAATAGAGGATTATGAGCTTGGTCGCGTAAATATAAATGTGTCGTTAAACCAGCCAGTATAAATAAATACAAATTCGGATACCGATTCTAGCTCCACGTTTACCTTCTGCCCTGGCATCCCAGAGTCACCTTTCAATCCCATCTCTCCATCCAGCCCGTTGAAGCCACGTTCACCCTGCGTTCACACACACATTGCGATTGACACACGCACAGATACACAAGGGCACGTTGCAGTGGGTAGATCCTGGCTGCCACTTATGACGAGTCCTCCGGGAGGTAAGTATCTATGGCAGTGGCCTCCAAATCGCCCCTACCCCATCAAACTCCTAAAAGCCAATTATTACTAACATCTCAATACACGTTCATCACCAGAACGTGATGCTGACTTTTACCATTGCCACTTTCAAAATGTATCCTGCACGGTATCCATGCTTATGTGTGCATTCCCCCAGAAAAGATTAAGAATCGCCGATTTAGAGAGAGTGCGTCTGTGTGTGTGTAGGTTAGCGCGCTGCACTACAAACCTGGCGACCCGGGTTCGAATCCTGGTCATGGCCAACACCAGTGATGATTATCTGAACCGGTCCTGGGCCTCCCCTAGGTTGACTCAGCCTCAAATAAATACCTGGTGTGGTGCTTAAATATTGCCACTGGGGAGACAAAGGCGGACGGGCGTGGTGCTGGCCACCCACCGCCTCGTGTGGCATGCCGGCCTTCATAGGTGCTCGCTAACAGCACTTGCCCCAACAGTCTGTTAAGGCTATGCGGGAAATCTTTGTCTTTGTAGGTTGTGGGTGTGGGTGATGCTCGTGCTCACTGGCTCTCCTTTGTTGCCTCTCGCTCCGGGTAGTCCTTCAACACCCACTGAGTTTCCCTGCACAGCAATAATCACAGGGCCAACGAACAGGAAATATAATTGATGAGTATTCAATACATTTTCTTTGTCCGCAACGTTATCCAGATTGTGATATCGGTGTCATAACCTGCGACAAACAATCCCTTGTGATCCCTGGAAATAACGGCCCCAAGTAAGTGGATATCACAGAGATACCTCTGGTTTACACAGTTGATGATAAGTAAAGTAAAAGATAGAAAAATCTGTAAAAAATAAAAATCCGTACCTTGTCACCTTTAGACCCAGGACTTCCAGGGTCACCCTGAAAGAGAATGATGACACATTTAAACAAAAATGAAACTTCTCTCGATGTGCGTTAGTTAGTGCGCAAGTCTGCTTCGCAGCAGACGTCCAAGATCCCGTGTGGCATCGCTCAGAAAGACAGCAGGCCACGTGTGCTGGTGTCACTGTCCACACTTTAAGAATTCCTCGGCAAGTTACCGATCTGGGTAAAATCACAGAGAAACATCATGCCCCTCACCTCTTCAGCCCTCACCCGACCAGGATCTCATCCATTTAGTTTGGTGTACGAGGAGCTTTGAGCTTTGGCTCCGTGCCTCGTGAGTTCTCGATGGAAAATTGCGTCCGACCCGTGGCACATGGGCGCTATATATTGTGCTTATTTTTCATGTTGTTGTTTAAAAATGTGCTTACATTATTATTTTGGAGAAATCGGCCAAACAATACCAAAGAAGGACTCTCTTGAGATGGAGCCTTGAGACTTTGCTGAGACATTCCAAGAGTAAACTAAATAATAATAATATTAACCTTGTTTTTATTTAAATGCATGGACACGTTTTCCAACGATAAGAACATTCCCATTGGCCAAGGTATTTTCATGAAACCGCACAAAGGGCGTTTGCTCCCCATTTCGACACAAACGCCATTTGCCGTTCGTTCAAGAGATGTGTTTTGTTAGCAGGCGTTCGGCAATGGCGAGCTGATGCTGTTATTGTTTACGCTAGACAAAAACAAATGCCGGTCACCTTTGCTCGAAGCGAAGTGAATTCATCGAATGAAAAGTGGAGAGAAAAAAAAAGAATACTTCAATTACCGGCGCTGGAATAGAAAAATTAAAAACGTCAACAGAAAACTCCCCCCCCCCCCCCACTTCTGCATGAATTGATATTGGCTGTGACAATGGCCCATTTGTGTTCCAAATAGCGCCACGCGACGGAGAGGCTAATGTAGCACGACGCCACATAATGGCCGTGTCAAACCACTGGGCTCGCATGGCTTAGAGCATGGGTTTGGCCACCCGTGATGGAAGCATTGAATGAGGTATACACACACACACATTTATATTTTTTGATCTTGCTGCCAGGAAAACGAAAAAAGTAGGAACATTATGTACGCATGCTGAACTTCTTTCACGCCGCACGTAGCCAACAGTCGCTAATCGGAGGCTTGTGTGAATTCCCACGTTGCGTCCATACTTTTGTGATGTCATTCATATTGGTTGATGAAAAAAGGATGGTAAAAATATGACTATCAACAAAATACTGTATTTACAAAGACGCATAACTTAAAAGATTACTCGGGTTTCCCTCGTTCTGTGCACAGTATATACAGCTCACCTGTCACGACGGCAAATTGGTTCCACAAAACCGGCCGTTAAGTGATTTGGTTGTTAAGCGAGCATAGGAAATACACGTTAAAGGCTTCATTCGTTCTAATAGCATCGAAATGAACGTTTTTCACCCAAAGAACGTATTTTATAATATTAATACATAAATATACTAACATTATAAACACACAATATTAAAATAAACACGGTTACTCGATGCATGAATTAATATTTACTGTACCTACAACAGCCCGTCATTAACAGGGGAAAGGTCGGTAAGCGAACACATTGGGCTCTATGGAGGCACTACACTACTATACACTACACTATAGACTACACATTGGGCTCTTTGGTGGCACTACACTACTATACACTACACTATACACTACTATACACTACACTATAGACTACACTATACACTACACTACTGTAAACTATAGATTTGGCTCTATGGAGGCTCGTTGTAAAGTGATGAGTCGTGAACAGGGGTGGTCGTTAAGAGGGGTTCTACACTACACTACTATATACTACACTATACACTACATGGACATTGCTCTACACTACACTACTATACACTACATTGCTATACACTACACTACTATACACTACACTATACACTACACTACTATACACTACACTGCTATACACGACACTACTATAGACTACACTATACACTACACATTTGGCTCTATGGAGGCCCATCGTTAACAGGAGTGGTCGTTCAGAGGGGGTTCTCCAGTACACGCGGCTATGCGGTTGGACGTGGGACAACACGAAGTCTGTGTCCTGAGCGAGCTACTCGCGGCACGCAGCTGCCCTGCGTGCTTTCACTTTGCGTGCCCCCCCCCCCCTATTTTTTTTGGAACGCATCTACTGCCACCGCACAGCGACTCGGCAACAACATACCTTCGTTCCAATGTCTCCCGAGAGACCAGGGAGACCCTGCGTTGAGACAAGAAACAGTGACATTCATTGTGACGTGAAACTCGTCTCAAGGCGTAACGCCCGAAGACGGGGATAGAAAAGAAATACGGATGATAAATACGCGATGAATCAGGCAATGGCTCTTCGTCATTGTCGAGCATAGCAGCGAGATCTCCGCGTCGTTCATTTTTCTTCTTCTTGGTTCTTTCGGTAAAGTCACGTAGAAGGGAAATAATAAAATAATAAAAATAAAACATTAAAAAATATAATTCTCAGGACGTTTCGGCCACAACGCAAGCAGCCGTCCTCAGGTGAAGAACAGGGCTGTCGGAAAGGCAGCGTCTGAATGAACACCACCAAGCTTGGCAGCGTATATTTAAGCTGGGTTGGAGGAGGAGGGAGCCTTGACAAATGAATTTGCATATCAACAGGAATTTAGCATATTTATGGATCGTGCACAACAGCCAATGCAAGCCAGCGTCACCATTTAAAAAAACATTTTTTAAAAACTATTTATGTTGCCAGCCATCTAAATGTGTTTCATGACCCATTGACGGCTGTCCTTATTTGTGCTGCAGAGTCGCGGTCACTTATTGTTATCTGTGAAATATTCGTGCGCGCAATAAATTGCGTTGTCGTCACGATCATTGACGACTTTGGAAACGAGCGTTTCGATGATTTGGCTGATGTACATTTCCACACGATGAAGAGCCACTTCGTTGAGCCTTCAACTGTGGCCAGGTCGCTTCTGAAAAAGAACGACTTAGCTCAGTGGGCCTTACCTGGTCAAATAAGAATTGAAATAGTTTTAATTTAATGTGTCTAGAGGGTGCGGGGGAGTAGCTGGCAAATGTGCTCGTCACACCGACGATAGTTACCTCTGAGAGAGCAGGCATCTGTGTGGCAGAGACCACGCATGTGGCTGCTTCCACGCTCAACTAAATGTTACATAAAGCATCATTGCGGAGAATACAATTAACTAAATTAATAATCAATGTCTGCTTAAAATATCCTCCTGTACACGTAATTGTTTTTATTTTATTACGTATCCAATGTATTATATAGTTTCGTGTCAAACTAGGACCCATGTCTCCGAGTGATGGTCCTGCCCTACACACATGCTGACCCAATGCTGGCGGTTCGCCAACATTGGTTCAAGGGATCCTGACCCTGTTAATGAGACACTGAATGTCGAAACCGGTCCAGAGTACGCTGTTAAAATGATGTACTCCCAGAGGGCCGGTGTGGGTGATGGGATCTGTTAGGGGCAGATCTGGGACTGAGGTTTTGTTCTCCGCCGATTGATATTGTGCCCAAAGATCATGCTGATGCTGGCCACCCGGATGCTGAGTGCCCTTGGGTCTATGGAGCCACTCTAAGAGAGTACTTTGCCTACTCTTCCACACTGGCCAGACGTCTTGAATGGGGGTGGGAGTCGCCACACTTTACCCCGCCACACGCGACACGACGATCGGCTAGCTGTGGTTGTGCCCATGTCTCCTGCTGAGTGGAGGGAGTATTTTAAGAAACTTCCTTCACTGTTTCAACTGCCGAGCGCCGCGAGGATTGCAAGTCCAGCGTGCTGACCGTTGCTTGTCCGACTGGCATCCGATTGGAGCGACACAATTACTCCACAACGCCGGTCATGTGCCAACTGTAGTAAGATGCTCTCACCATGGAACCTTTGGGACCGACTAATCCGGGTCTTCCGTCTTCTCCCTACGAGGAACAAAACACTCACATTGAGGCACGTGCGTACGCAGCGTACGGATTACTTGAACAGCAGCCACGAGCCAGTGGTGGAAATGCCACGTTCCCATGCCAGGGGCCACACTTTTCCATGCTTAAGTGGCAGTAATCTTTTTGCCGTGCTTTCACTCTCAAGCAATTGGATTAATGTATGTCCGTCCGAAACTACTGCAGAGCAGTGCATCGGCCCCATGTTAGAGAATAGCTCATGCAACTGGATATCACGGAAACTGCTTCTCAGATCACTTAAGGTGACCTCTGATGCACTCCAGGCCACTGTCCTTTCCTGCCTGCTCTGCTGCCGAGATATTCGCAGCATTGAAGTCAAAAAGCAACCATTCGAATTCTCAAAGCTGGAAATTTGCCAAAATTGAGAAAGTGAAAAATACATTTGAATGGTTTTTTTTTGGACACTGATGGACTCAGCTGAGACCATGAACTCGCTACAACCTGACAGCCCGGTTTGATCGCAGGTGACGAATGTAGGTTTAAAATCCAGGATCTCAGCAGGGTCCGCTGAATGATTTAGCTCCCGAGTCACCAGGCCACGTCTGTGCTACTTATTTGATTGGCTCTGCATGAGATGATGATTAGCTAAGCTGACCTGTGACCCGAATAAGAATTAACCACCTTTTGTTCGTGGGTGTCTATTTACCAGTGGCAGTGACTCAAAAGCCGTGTAATGTAATTCAGAGATCAATGGCGCACTTTGGATGAAATTAAAGTTAAAACAAAACTGCCATTGTTTATTAAAGCTCCTATCACAGAGCTGTTGTGTAACACCACTCTTGTTTATTTTTAGTAAAATAATTAGATTCATTTCCATCTAAACTTTTATGTCATTATCTTTTCCAAATTTCTGTAATGTTTAATCAAGAGTTTTGTACCACTTTAATTAAAATTTGTCATATTTTCCGTGGCACGTCTTTCCTTCAGCGTAGACAAGCGCGTAGTCACACTCAACTCAGCATTTCGTAACGAACTCTTTAGCTTGAATCAATGTCATACTGAACTTTATTCCATCGCACGTAATTAGCCGGCAAAGGATAATCATTCGATAGGGGGGGGAAAAGGAGGTCATTATTGGAGAGCATGCTTTTACGCGTAATCAGAACACGAAGATTGATGGGCTTAAATCCCGTCCGATGATTTGTGGCGCGGAGCAACGGAATCAGCTGGCTCGTTACATCGCAGGACCGTGAGAGGCGGCGGCTGCGGCTAGGGGAGGCCTTCATCCAGCAGTGGATTCACCGTAGCTCACGATGATGAATGTGTAGTTGATGGCAGAGGTTTTGGATGGGCCCCGTGCACCGTGATCAGAGTGGGCAAGTGAGAGCGTGGACGCAGTCGAGAACCCTTTGTGTTCTTAGGCGTCGATGTGCGTCACGCAGGGGGTTGTGGGGAACGGTAGCGTAGCGGTTATCGCACCGCGCTACGAACCCAGCGACCCGAGTTCAATTCCCGCTCACGGCCACCACCAGTGACGATTATCTGAACCGGTCCTGGGCCTCCCCTAGGTCGACCTAGCCTCAAATCATCGCCATTGGGCGTAGTGCTGGCCCCCCACCCCCTCGTGTGACGTGCTGGTCTTCATAGGCGCTCGCTAACCATACTTACCCCAGCAGTCAGTTAAGGCTACACAGGGGATCTTTGTCTTTTTGAGGGTGAAGGTTGCGATGGGTGGGACACGGTGAGGAGGATGTTGGAGGGCAAGTAACTGAGAGAGGCATTGGAGGAGTAGCTCGCTTCACTCACTTACTAACCAAAATATTGTTTGTGTTTTACCAGGTTAGTGCCCGCTGTGCTGCATAGCTCTGCTTGTTATTTTTTTTGTGATCAAGGTCAGAAGGCCTAAAAAAAGCAGATGGCGATAGCGATGAGACTGTGAGATGAAACCTTGGACGTGGAGTGCCAACTGTTGCAACAGACGCGTGATCTTGGCAGGAGGAAGGAAGCAATGGGAATGTTGGGTAATGTCACGACCAGTGACTGGATTCATCTGTTGACGTTTGCTGATTTTGTGACAGGTTTGATCACCGAGTGAGATGGTTGCTATAATACAATTTCCAAATCCGTAATTATTTGAGAATTAAACCCTTAAAAAAAGACACACGCATGCTTTTAGTTCTTAATCCTGCCGGTCATGCAAACATCTATTCCTTAATAAAGCTGCATATTATTTGATTCACATTTAAAAATATTTTTTTAAAAATCTGCATAATCTCCGCAGAGTTTGCATATAAGAACGTTCATTTCCTAAGCTCCGATTTACCACAGGCCCTTCGAATATGGTGCTCCAATTACACAACTCTGTAACTTTCGCGTGGAATTAGCAGCACCACCCCAATTCAGTTTTTTTTATTTGTAGCACTATATTTCAAATTAAAAAAATTGTCTCTCAATATTAAGCGCCTGCCCAATCACGTAAATGCCTTTAATCAGCAACGGGTGGCGCTGCGGTTAAAGCACTGGAACTCCACAGTTGGACAGCTGCGAGTTCAAAGTTGCAAGGTCAGGGATCAACTCAGCGAAGCATCCCCCCGTGGGAGCTGATAAAATAGTTGATCGTTTTCAAATAAATACCACTTAGTGCCAACTCTTAACGGAGGTCATCCTATGGAAAGAGTGGCTTCATACAGGGTAACGAGGAATTTCCACCTCTGACGGGCAGTTCCTTTATCATCATTTAACATTTTTAACATAATCGTATTTTTTCAGAATATCTATTCATACTGGAGGAATCCGATGACCTTATAAAGCTTTTTGTCGAAGATATCCAGTAGATGCTTCACGTTTCCTTGCATCTCGACATGCACCCAAATTGGTTTCAATGCGTGAACCAAGGTGTCTTGCCAAAGACCACTCGCCCCAACAGTGCATACAGGCTATATGGGGGAGGGGGGTCGTCGCCTTTTGCTTTGCCCAAATGTGTAAGGAGGCTTGGAGTGAATGCACGGCGAGTGGGCACATGCAGGTGATGGCTGGGATGTGTGGTTCAAATAACGTGTGTGTCTGCTCAATGCAGCGTGATTGAAGAGAAGTGGGCGCAGGGAGAGATTGAAACCACTGGGCCCTTATCTCCGGTAGAGAAATGAGCCGAGCGAAAATGTGTCTGGATTCAAGTGGACGCACGCACGCACGCGCACTCATGCACCAGCGCACGCACCCCATGCGCGTACGTGTGTGTGTGTGTGTGCGCATAAGAGCGAGCGGTGGTGTAGTGGTTAGCGTGCCGTGCTATGAACCCGGCATGACCCGAGTTCAATTCCCACTCACGGGCAACGCAAGTGGCGATTATCTGATCCGGGCATGGCCCTCCCCTAGGTCGGCTCAGCCTCCATTGAGTACATGGTGTGATGTGTAAACGTCGTCACCAGGAAGACAAAAGGTGGCTGGGTGTGGTGCTGGCTACCTCTTGCATTAACAGCACTTGCCCCAACAGCCTGTTCAGGCTATTCGGGGGATCTTTGTCCTTCATACATTCCCAGCGCATCGGTACGTGTCTTGCAAGCACAAACCCGTGAGATGCACATGCGCGCAAACTCTGACGTACATCGATGTCAGAGGTGTGGCTCAGTGATCGTTGCAAGCAGCTCGTAAATGGGAAGGCTGAGAGTTCAAAGCCTGGTTGGGGCTTGACGCCGGCCATCATCCCTGCACGGTCAATAAAGTGAGTACCGCTTTGTGCGGACGTCAATAATGGTTGTTCTCTGGATATACTCGCCCCTGTCATAAGAATGTGGAATTTTCCCCAATGGCTCAGGGCTATGAATAGGAGGCGAGCACAGCCTCAAGGAATAACTTTTGCTTTTTTTGTCGCAATTAAAACTCAATTCCGCCAATTTCAGAAATTAAATGAATCGTCACAATTCAGCAATGCAATGTGAATTAAGAATAGATTATTTTTATTTTAGACTTTAAGCGATTCACCCACTTGCATAACAACAACCGCTGTTCGTCACTAAATGGCAGCAACGTCACCACGGCTTTTGTGCCAGGCTCGGTGCATCTTGAGGGCATCGCGCGAAGTATGCGAGGCTGGCAGGGGGGTCACGGGACAGAGCCAAGTGTTCAGGGTTGACTGCCATGAATTGGTAGATGCACCAGCTCATGTTTATACACCGCACCAGCTACTCATTTGAGGTTGAGTTGACTTAGGGGTGACCCAGGACCGGTTCAGTTGATCGCTATCAATGGTGTTGGCCATGAGTGGAATCGAACTCGGGTGACCAGGTCAGTAGCGCAGCGTGCTAACCACTACAAAGACAAAGATCCCCGTATAGCCTTAACAGACTGTAGGGGCAAGTGCTGTTAAGCGAGCACCTATGAAGGCCGGAATGGCACACGAGGGGGTGGGTGGCCAGCACCACGCCCGGCCGCCGTTGTCTCCCCAGTGGCGATGTTTACACACTGCACCAGGTACTCATTGGAGGCTGAGTCGAGCTAGGGGTGACCCAGGACCGGTTCAGATAATCACTATCACCGGTGTTGGCTGTGAGCGGGAATCAAATTCGGGTCGCCGGGTTCGTAGCGAAGCACGCTGACCGCTACACTACCACTCCCCAAACCACTACACCACCATGCACTCACACAACACCAACAACAACACACATGCACATAGGCCCAAATACGTACCCGAATTCCAGGTTCACCTCTCTCTCCTCTCAGTCCAGGTGTTCCTACCCCAGTCTCTCCCTACAACAAGGAGGAGTCACACGTCACGTGAAGACAATTCATAAAAAACTGAAACTTCACATTGCCGGCGATCATTTTCCTCGTATCCTACTACAATCCGTCGAATCGGGCGTTGCAGAACTGGCTGAAGGAATCTCCGCGTGCCGAGGATACACAGCAAGCGGCTGACGTCACTCGGCAGGCCTACCTTGTCACCCTTGTCTCCCCTGGAGCCCACAAGGCCCTGCAGCGCACAAACACAGCGCAGACGTTCACACGTGACAAGAGAAACAACGCAATATTCAATATCCTTAGCAACACATCCCAGTTTTTATCCATATTTGTTCGTTGGATTGTGGCTATGTAGCGGAGCGGTCATGTAGCGGTTAGCGTGCTGCACTATGGACTCAGCAGAGGCACGAGTTTGATCGGCGCTCACGGCCGACACCGGTGACGATTATCCGAACCGGTCCTCTGACTCCCCCTCGGTCGGTTCAGCTCCGAATGAGTGCCCGGTGCGGTGTGTGGGGAGACAAAGGCGGCCGGCCGTGGTGCTGGTCACCCACCCACTCTCGTGTGGCGGGATTCGCAGGTGCTCGCTAACAGCACTTTCCGCAACAGGCTCTTAAGGCTATACGGGGGATCTTTGTCTTTGTCTGAGTATTAGTTTTATGCCAAAAGTCTTGTTATCAACCCTCCGTCACCCGACAACATTGCCACGCTGACAAAGATTTAATTTGTACTTATCAATGTGTTGGTGAAATTTGTACCAATATAGCTCCTTACCCTAGGTTTAAAAGCTTTCTCACGCCTGAAGTCAAGATCAATATTGACTTAAAGCTTTCGTGACTGCAGGAATTCATATTCTTGGGTCTTTCGGAAAAGTCACGTAGATAGGTTCAAAGAAAATAACAAAAAATAACAAAAAACTGCGACGTTTCGATCGCAACACGAGCGGTCGTCCACGTTTGTTGCGATCGAAACGTCGTAGTTTTTTGTTCCCATGCTTTCATGGCCGGCGGTGGTGGCTATGTCACGTGGCTGCTGTAACCCAGCGCTGCGGAGGCAGCGGTGAGGGTGTTGGTGGATCACGGCAGACACAGATGTTGTTGTGAAACTCCCTTCGCGTGATTGTCGAGGAGATGCTCGTAACTTGGCTCGCCAGGGGAATACCGTACAGCAGAAAATGTGGACTCATCTAAACGCTCATGAATTGGTCGATAACACCTTTGTATATCGAGGACTGCAGAGCTTGGGAAATTGTTGGCTCTGACTCATCGCGCGGCTACCTCCTTGCTTGTCCTTGGTTCCAAACCTCTGAGTTGTTTTCTCTCTCTCTCTTCGCGAGCGAGATGATGCTGTGCGGCGTATTACAAGTTGAAGTTATTAGAATTGTTGCGATGTCGATTTCCACCACCACCCGTGGTGACCTCCGGGGCGAGATCGCAGCTCGCAATATACTTTGTGTTTGGAGGAAACTGACCCGTAAACAACAGCAGCTACTATCTCCACTCGTTCGGTCCGTGCATTGATGTGCAAGATCCATTCAGAGTGACTACGTTTATGCATTCAATTGTTTTGTTTTTCCAGCACCACTGTGGCAAAAGTTATATTCCCAAGCGGCTTTGCTTTTCGTTCGCATTATAGAATGTACGTAGTCATCCTGTTACGTTTCAACAAAACAACAAACTTTGTATACTTCCCTCTCGTGCAATCTACAGGAGACACTTTGCGCAATAATACGGTCGTGCAATTGCTGCGTATTGAGTGATATTGCACACGTGCAGATCAACTGAATACAATGTATATCTTTGTTTTACCAAGTTTAATTGACACACAAGACACGTTTACGATGTGGGATGGTTGTCTGTGTTGCACCTACCGGAGGCCCTATGGGTCCAGGAGGGCCGGACGGGCCCATGTCACCATCCCTGCCAGGAAATCCAAGGGGACCCTGCAAAGAGAATACAACAGTGGCATGAGCGAAATCAAGGCAGGCCGAAAAGCTCGTTCTTTCAAAATAGTGATTCAGATAGTTCCCACGATCGTTTGAAATTATAACCAAAAAAACACTATGGGTAAATATAGTTTGTAGAGGAGCAGTGGTGCTGTGGTTAGCAGCACTGTCCAGCGGACCCATGATTCCGAGACCATGGGTCAAGTGCCAACTGGGTGACCAGTTTCAGTATCTGATAGACGGAAAGAAGAGACGGTGAGGTGTTGTGGTGGCATCGTCATTATCATCATCAATGCCAATAACCATGAAAACCCATTCATTTTTAACTTGGCCTTTGACACTATACAAATATCCACGTGCATTTGATACAATAACCCTGTGTATATGTATTGTTATTATTATTATTGGGTCGTTTGTTAACCCAGGAAAGCCTAACTGAGTCTCCTGACTCTGTTTCAGGAGGGTTTCCTGGTTGTATGGCATTCTCTCGATTATAAAATATTTTTTTTTATCTCAAAATAACCCCAATAGTTGGGGTGCATCTTATAGTTCAAAGAAAACGGGAACAGCCACTAAAAAATATTTCTAAACTACTTTTATTTTACTAGGTAAGGTCCACGGAGCCATACAACTTTTTTTCAGAAGCAACCTGGCCACAAATGAGACCCTAAAGGCAAGTGGCGTATCACGTGGCAATGTACAGCGGCCAAATACTCTAAACGCACGTTTCTGAAATGTGGAGGGAAAAACCAGCGGACCCGGAGAAAAATCCACGCGACCACGGAGTGAGAGACACTGCAAACTCCAAATATACAGCAGCAGGCGTCAGGGTTGGGATCGAAACCCACGACCTCCTGTACACCAGGCGAGGTAGTTAACATCTCGCCACGTATCCCAGACACGTGTTGCTCCGTGGCCTGGTTAATCAATGTCAGTCACCTTCTCTCCCGGAGGGCCTATCTGGCCCGGCGCGCCAGTCTCTCCACGGGTCCCGGCAAGGCCGGAATTTCCCTGGATCCCTTGAGGACCTGGGTTCCCGGGGAGGCCGGGCGGTCCCGAGACTCCCTGTGAAAGGATATAGACGAGGAAGAAACATCACGCAAAGCCATGGCATTCTGCAATGCTTTTCCAAAGAGTGTTTTTGATGATCCTCAAGTGCTGGGAATCAAACTCAGGTCACCAGGCCCTTAGAGTAGTGCACGAACCACTGTGCCACCACTCGCCACAACATAAGACAACGATCCCCCCAATATCCTTAAGACAGGCATGTGCTGTTAGCGAGCACCTATTAAGGCCGTCACGGCACACATAGGCCGCACCTCCGATTAGCATAAGAAGCTCAACATACACACAGGCATACAATCGGGTCGGCGGTCAACAGCACACTTTGCCACCTTTGTCTCTCCAGTTCTGATATTTATATACTGTACCAGGTACCCATTTAAGGCTGAGTCAACCTAGGGGAGGGCCCAGGAACCGTTTCAAATATTCACCACTGTTGTTGGTCGTGAGCAGGAATCGAACTCGGGCCACCAGGTTAGTAGCGCAGTGCAGTAACCACTGGACTAGCGCTCCCCAGATGACACACACGCACCACACGCACGCGCCCACCCACGTAACTGTGTCAGCATTACTAATAATGATACCACAAAGGAACAAATGACGGAGAAAGTTCTGGCTAATTTCATCCTCATTGTGATACCCACCACATCTCAATATAATGCTGCGCTCAATTCCCCTTGCACAGAGTAAATTCATAATAAAAATGATTCATCTCTTAAAAATGCAACTGAAATATCCGAGTAAATGAGACCAGTGCATCCCCGTGGGTGTTGGGATTGTATACGCTTTGAATGATTGTGTGCATTACAGCGTGTCTAATTTAGCCACATGCGTGCGTGTGTCCATTTAGGGAGAGCCGGTATTGGAGTGATTAGTGCGCTGAGACAAATTTTACAATCCAATTTCAAATGCTGCTCAAGGCCAACATCCGTGGTGAACATATAGACCGGTCCAGAGCCCCTTCTTTGTCGACTCAGCCATAAATGGGAACCTGGTGCAGTGTGTAAACATCAGTACTGGGGAGATAAAGGTGGCCCGGGGTGGTTCTGGCCACACCACCACCTCGTGTCCCAGGCTGACCTTCATGGGTGCACGCTAACAGTACCTGCACAAACAGTCTGTTGAAGCTACATGGCGGGAGGATTTTTGTCTTCGCTGGAATTCTTTTTGCGGTGTGCTGGTAAGTGCTTTGTAAATGTATAGGGTTGTTACCATCTGCCCTGGGAGTCCAGGTTGCCCACTGGGTCCGGGAATTCCTATAGATGGCTCACCCTGTGTATAAAGAATGAAAGCACACACACACACACGAGCACGCACATGTGAGTACGCACACAACCACACACATAGGAATACACAAACATGCATGCAATACGCACTTACCAGGGACACATGCACACATTCATATGAATACAAAAAAAACCCAAAGATCCCCCAAATAGCCTCAACAGACTGTCAGAGCAAGTGCTGTCAGCGAGTAGCACCTATGAAGGCTGGAACGGCACACGAGGGGGTGGGTGGCCAGCACAACGCCCGGCTGCCTTTGTCTCCCTAGTGGCGATGTTTAAAAGTCTGTTGAGGCTCTTCGGGCGATCTTTGTGTTGGAGGGCGGTCTTACTTTCTGGGAATGTCTATATAATTTCATGCGTAGATGACAGTTTATATTATAAAAGCCCCACGTTCCGTTTGTCCATCAACGAAATTGAGATCCTTTCAGAAGGCCTGAATCAGAAAGTTATAGAACGAATTGGACCCCCAACCCCAAACGTGGTGGTAAAAAGTTGATCCAACAGGGTTGCAAAAATAGTCGAAATAAAAATGTCACCCCCCAAAAAAGAAATGTATTCCACAGGCACATCTGCCTACACACCCTACATACAATAGTCAGTAGTATCTGCACACATTGGGGGGGGAGAGGAGGTCATCAGTGGGGGCGACGGGCAAAGCGCAAAGTGCCCAAAGGCCCTCCGCATGGTGTCAGAATAAGGCCGGCGAAATTCTATTCATATACGACACTATTTTGTAACTCTCCGCTCTCGACTTTGGCACATTGACTCAACAAGGCAATGCAGCCGTTGCGTAACGTTCGCAAACGAATTCGAACGCATCTGCAGGGAATGGCTTCGAAGGCTCCCCTGGGTTTCTTTGCGCCGCGCAGCACTGGGACAGAGATGGGATCGCAAAGTGTCAAAGTGGGTTGCCGCGAACGCGGCGAAGGAGTTTGCGAGCCCTTCGGAGCTTTCCAGAGATTGATGGTGGGGTTCAAACCGCGGGGCGCCTCTCTGCGGCCAAAAAAAATCGACACTGGCGAAATAAAAAGGGGACTTTTTTTTGCTTTTTGCAAAAGGGGCTCCTCTTGCGGTGCCGGCCCCAGGCAGCCGATTGGTGCTGCTGGGTTCTTCGGTTCTGCCACGTGCACGGTTAAGTCACGTGCACGGTTAAGTCACGTGCACGGTTAAGTCAGGTCCTTCTCAAGGGGCGGTAACTTGATGGTTTCAGCATACGCGGAGTTTGACTTCTATATTTGGGGTGGGGTGGGGGGGTTCGCTTTGTCCCTCACATTATGAATCTACTGAAAATAAATTAATAAAGGTATCCACTTTTGGGGGGGGGGGGGCGTTGTCCCCTCGTGCCCCCCTGCAAACTCCACCCATGGGTTTCAGGCCGGTTAACTTTGACTGCACATAATACCATTATTTGTTTTTTCTCGCCAGTTTTAAGGACAAATTTGTGTATATCTTTGGCCTCATCAACTGAACCTCATCAACTGAAAAAACTATTAAATTATTGATATCAGGAAAACTAGAATTTTTTTTATAGAATATAAACTATGCCATTGAGTTTTGGGTGAGGGACCAATATAAAGTGATTTTAGAATTAGTTCTATGATGCCATCTTCTGGGGGCCATTCCAGATACATTGTGATGTTACACTGCTTTTTATCCCAATGGAAACTTATTTTCCTTATGACATTACATCAACCGCACCTTGGAACAATGAATAATACTTATAACAATTGTCAACCCTTTGTTCATCCACTGCTGGATGATGGCCTCCCCATGCTGTGTCAGTCATGGTTTTTTTTTTTACTTCGTCATGCAGATCAGTTGATGAAGCTAAAGGAGGGGGGACCTGAGCCACTGATGTTGGTTATGCATCACGGTGGCGAGATGTTAACCACCTCGCCTGGTATACATGAGCGCGTGGGTTCGATCCCCGACCCTGACGCCTGCTGTACGTTAGAAGTTTACGCGTCTCTCTCCCTGCGGTCGCGTGGATTTTTCTCCAGCTCCTCCGGTTTTTAAATCCTTTATATTAAGTTCGCTTGCTTGCGTGCTTGCGTGCTTGCTTGCTTACGACCGTGCAAATCTTTCGGTCGTTTTTTAACTCACTTCCCGTGATCCAATCGAGCTGACATTTTGCACACAGACTCGTTGTGACAGACAATTAATGTTCGTGAAAATGTTTTTCAAAATTTTACACTGTTTAGGGAAAACAAATTAAATATTTAATTACCAATTGCTTAATACTGGGACAATCATCTGACCCATAGGTGGCAGCCATCTCAAGCCAGAGGACGAGAGGACTCTAGCCGCCACGCATATAAAGGATTTATAGTGAAAAACTTTGTTTTTACGGGTTATACTTGTTCCATTTCACATTTAGAAACATGCGTTGAGTATTTGGGTGTGATAAATGTCCACATGATAAGCCGCTTCACTGAGCTAACATTTGTGGCCAGGCCGCTTCTGAACAAGAGCTCTATCGTACAAGGGGCCTTTTCCGGAAAAATAAAACTAGTTTAAAGTTTAAAATCCAACTCAGATCACAGGGTTCAAAATCCAGCGCATCAACCACCGCGTCATTGCTTCTCCTACCCTTTTGAGTTCCCAATGATTGAAATTGATTCTGACAACTGCAAAGTCTTTGAGAATGGAATGATTATCATCATCACCACCATTGGTAATTCCATTGCTGGATGAAGGCAACCCAAAGCAGCCGGGCCACCAGGTCCCCCAATCCTGATTTTCAACAATTCATCGAATTCATCGCTGCGTCTCTTTTGGTCGACGACGTCCCGTCAGATGTGGTTTTTAAATCCTTTATATTAAGTTCACTTGCTTGCTTGCTTGCTTACGACCGTGCAAATCTTTCTGTCGTTTTTTAACACACTTCCCGTGATCCAATCGAGCTGACATTTTCCACACAGACTCGTTGTGCATGACAATGTATTTTCGTGAAAAATGTTTTCCAAAATGTTACACTTTTTAGGAAAAAATAAATTATATTTAATTACCAATTGCTTAATGGTGGCAGCCATTCATCTGACCCATAGGTGGCAGCCATCTCAAGCCAGAGGACGAGAGGACTCTAGCCGCCACGCATATAAAGGATTTATAGTAAAAAACTTTGTTTTTACTGGTTATACTTATTTTGCTCTTTCATCTGCCATCGCCCATTCTAGCCATGACCACTTCCTGCCCAAGCCCCACTATCCTTTACAGGCAGTGTGAATCTTGTCAATTATTCACAACATCACTCGTGGCTTGTACTCCAATGGTAACAAACACATATATTCGGAAGAGCATAAAAGGAGATCGCTTGCGAGTCGCACCTCAGCGCTGCTGTTTTGTGGCTCCGTGTGGTGCTAAAATTGTTTTTTTCAGAAACAGCCGTGCACGCGAGAGAGGGAGAGAGATGTGCGTGTGCAGATTTCGATTCATCTTCACGTTGTGTTTCTATTCATGTATTTTGCCGGTGTTCTACTACCTACCTGTTCCGTGGCTTCTACTACTGAGCAAGACAAAGAGAAAACGGAGTACGTCTCGTACTCACTCACAACAGCCCGTACTTTCCCAGCCGCGTCTTTTAACGCGAGCCAAACGCGCGTTCTCACGTTTGCCCATCCATTACGGACGCTTTACAACACAACAAAAACTGGGCACCCTCAGTAATGTGTTCGTCCTCTCTCTGTGGCCTCCGCTGGGGCTGAGTGCTGTTTTAAAGCAGCTATTGTGTGACCACGTCGAGAAGAAGGCGGTGTAGTGAGAAAGATCCCGCATTGTGAACACGGTGAACCAGGGTTCGACAAAGTGGTGGCGAAAGCTCTCCGAACCTTGCCTGGGACTTCCCTGCAGCACCACAAAGGCCCTGTGTAAACGTCAGCGCTTGTGATACAGAAGGTGGCGGAGTGTGCTACTGGCAACATCACCCCTCCATGGGCCTTTCCCTTAACCAACCTGCGCTGGTGAGCGTGGTGAAGTTTGGTTGAATCAGAATATTTATTTATAGTGGAAGTTATTTCTCACAGATGTCCAGTCGGGGCGGGTGAGAATGTTACAACAAACTCCACGATCAACACAGAGCGCAGGCCCCCCCCCCCCCCCCCTCATCCAGCAGTGGACTGATAATGAAATGCAGCTTATTATTATTTCATTATGGCCAGCCACCTTTGTATCCCCAGTCCTGCGGTAATGTATTGCCTTCAAATCCTGACACCATGACCAGGCATTTGAACGCGTGACTTGAGTGGAGCTCTTGATCGCTCTAACGATAGCACCACCCAGAATAAACATACCCAATTCTGCGGTTTGGATATTGGAGCAAGTGTTGTTAGTGAGCACATATTAAGGTCAGAATGGCTTTAAAATTAATGGCCTTGACAGGTGGTGGTTTTGCGAGAATCAAATATGGCCAGTTGCCAATGCCTCCCCAGTGCTAATGTTTGCACTGAAAAAGCAAGCGTGCCTTTTTTTTACTCAGGCCAGTTCCAGCTAGCAGGATTCGAATCTAGGGAAGATTTGAATGAAGACAGCGGAGATTGTAGTGCAGTGCAGCAATAATAATAGGACCAAAGTAAAGACGACAATTATTAAAATAGTTTTCTTGACACAATCCATCCACTGCACAGCCTTCTGGGAGCTCATAATTTCGGCAGGCATCGATGCCACACAAGCAAACTGTGGACCGGTCGTCACATCCAGCGTCTCATCGGCAGACTTGCTTCGACCGCCGCTGGTGAACTCCCAGATGCTGAAGGCAAGGGCCCTCTCTTTAAGATGGTGGTTCCGAGCTCACCGAAGATGTTGAAATACATCACTCAAAATCATCACGAGCGTCACTCTGCAGAATGTACAAAAACAATTTCAACTTGTGACGTGCCACAGGGTAGTCACACGCTCTCGTAGGGAGAGCGAACGACTCGGAGGAGCGAGGAATCACAGACGAGCAGAGAAACGGGTAGCCACGTGGTGAGCCGATGCTAAATTACCACCCCCCCAAGCTCTGCAGTCCTCTATATATAAAAATGTTATTGGGCAATTAACGAGCGTTTACGTGCGGAATTAAACCGGAGCGCCCCTGGGGAAAACGCCACGAGTGCGACGTGGAAACGCTCGATCCCACACAGACGGAGCGCAGGTGGGGGGGGGGGGGGGGCACGTTTGTTGCCGTGCCGCCTTCTCCTGGCATAGCTGAGGGGGGGGGGGTTAACGGCCTCCATCTCGATGCACAACGTGCGGGCGATCCACCCAACCCAAACCCAAACCCTCGCCGCCTCCCGCACCGCTGGACTGGAGGCAGCGGGCGCCTCGTTGTATGGCCACCGCTGCGGTGGCGGCTGCCTCATTGGCGGCGAATGTTTTGTTGTTGTTGTTGTCGCGCATACCCCAAGGGGCGCGCACCGATCCCTGTCAGTCACCGTTCAAAGGCGTGCCAGAGATATATATATTTTAAAAAATACAGAAAAAATAATACAACACGGTTAATGAAGCTCACCTTGTCGCCCTTTTGTCCCGGTTGGCCTTTGAATCCCTACAAGAAAGAAAAAAACAGAATAGAGAAAAATAACCGCCGCGCTAATTGTAAATACTGCGGCGCGAAGATAGCGATTCAATATGCGCAGTTCATGCCTGGGCCGTCCGCAATCACTCCGTAACGAGCAGCGTCATTGTTGTGCGCGATGCAATGCCTGCGCGCGTACCGCTGGCAGGTGCATTACGCCTCCTACCTGGCCGCCTAATTAAGCTAACAAGTTGTATTACTGTGGCGCGCTTTCCATTATAACTTCAAAACCGTAAGGGCCACAAACCCCCATTACGCCGTGCAAATTTTGTTCGAAATCACGTTGGCCCGCTTCGCGCCAGTTTCTTTGAAAATGTCGCCCTGCGGATGAATTGAATGCGGGCAATGGAATGACCCCGACGCGGGGGGTCAGCGTTGCGGTCAGAAATGAGCCGAGTGAAGCCTGAAAAAAAAATACAAACGCTGCCCCTGGTATTGTTCTGATGTTCAATGTTCAAGCGAGAGTCCCACGCTGTGAAACCCCCCCCCCCCCATCCCCCCTGCCCCTCATCTCCCCTGCCCCCCATTTCCCCTGCCCCCCCCATCCTCCCTGCCCCCCCTCACCCCCCCCCAATAAGAATGCACAAAACCTGATTATATGCGAGGTGGCCAGGTGGCTGATTAAACCGGGTTCTCAAGCAGAACGTATTTGACTGCGGCAACAAAAATCATATTAAATTGGGTTTGTCAATTAATTCGGCTCGTAACAAGCCAAGGGCGTGCCCCCCCCTCCTCCTCTCCGCCGCCGCCGCGGTGTTAACGAACTGGGCTCGCGCGCACTCCACAGAGGTCGCCGGTTCGAAAAGACGGTGCCAGTCTATGAAGTCTCTCCGCACCACCCCTGTCAACCCCTCAGTCGCCGTGCAAACATTGGCGTGCACCCCACAGGTCCGTGCGCGGTAGGGGTAAAGCGCGTGGGACTCGCCACCACGTCGCGGTGTGGAAGAGTCGCGTGAAATATCCTCTAGCAGGGGGGGGCTCTCCTGTCCACTTTAGACAGCCAAAAAGGAAGGCAGCACACACGCACACACGCGCACACACATACGCACACACACACGTGCACACATGCGCGCACACACGCACACACGCACACACACACACACGCACACACGCGCACACACGCGCACACACACGCACGCACACACGCACGCGCACACGCGCACACACGAGTGGATGACCACCGCGGAGATGGAGTGATGAAATCGGCCGGCGTGCAAGGGATTCGACGCATCGTCGCCGTGCAAAGTCCGTGAGCGATGACGACGTTGTGGGCAGGCGTTTCATCCAGAAGCGGAGAGATCATGGCGGACGACGATGGCGACGATGGGTCTTGATAAAGGCTCGCCACGACTCACCGTTTCTCCTGGATCTCCTTTGTCGCCAACGTCACCCTAACGCGCGCACGCAGCACGAATCGCACGCACGGCAAACAGAAGCAAACGACACGCGGCCGTGCGTGAGCCGCCACGAAGGGCAATCGGCGACGGATCACGAATAACATCGAGAGGCGGGCGGGGTGGCGGGCAAAAAGCGTTGTCATAGATAACGATAGAAAGAAAAAACTCACAAGCCATGATACTGCGTCACGTTGACAGCGGCGCACGGGCAGGAATAACCAATACTCAATCACGCTGCCCGAGAAAAACCGTGGTGGAATGTTGCCGGAACGCCGTGTGTTGGGAGTGAACATTAGATAGAACCCTGCGCCTGCATTCTGGAAGGAATCAAGGATTTGACTTTTTTTCTTCCCCCACCACACATTCACTTTTTCTGATCCTCCTCCCTAAACTTTCCGCTAACTTAGTAAGGCTTCCGTAGGCGTGCGTGAACTCTCCTGTGATCTGAATGAACTGCCCTGGCCGTGCCTCTGTATCAGCCAGGCAAAGGATGACCAGGACATTGGTTTCATCACGGTATGTATGTATATATACACTCAATATCTACTTCTTCTTTTGTTCATCATTAAAAGGCCATAACAAAGTAATCACCTCTGAAACATGGCTATTCTCCAGCTATGCGCTATAAAACAACACTATTTTGGGGCTAACTCGACCCTTGGTATTAAAAAAATCGCCTCACTCTACGCTTGGCACATTCGCATTTCCCACGTGACTTCATCCCATTTGCACCCCTGCCTAAAAGTAAAAATATACACAATTCCCTTAACACGCGGCCCTAATACTGATGGCTGTAGGGTCTGCGAAATCCCCATTATCTTCCTATTATCTGCCGTTATCCATGATTTTATCAACAATGGACAACGAAGCTGCTTCCAAATACTTGCAATGTCGCAGAGCAAATTCATCCTATGAGTCTCTGTGTGAGTCTATGGGTTTCCGTGTGAGACTATGGGTCTCTGAGTGTGTGGTTCTCTGTGTGAGTCTATGGGTTTCCGTGTGAGTCTGTGGAGGGAGTGAATTGCAGCAGCAACAGAGAAGCGACGTTCCCCTCGTCCGGCTCGAGAGGTGACGGCGCTTGACGAGGCTGAGGAGGCCAATTGAGGCAGAGTTGATAAGCAGTGTGGCGACTTCCCTCCTGCACGGGGCATGCATTTGGACTCATGTTTTGTTGGAGCTTGCTTTAACTAAACGAACCCAGCGGTGGTGGCGGACTATCCTCAGGTGACAAGTTCTCTTTTGACGCACAAACCCAAGCGTCCCAGCCCCTGCATGCAGCGAGAGCTCATCGACCAAACAAGCACAGCAACAGATGTAAGCCTGACGATTTTATTATTAGTCATATACAGGTTGTCTCACCGTATCGCCTTTGAATCCCTCCAGTCCCTTGTCGCCTTTTTCTCCCTAAAGGTGAAGACACGTGATCGTCCAGGTATAGAAAAGTCAGGAACTCGCACAGAGTTAGCGACGCATGCCGAGACAGAGCCCCTTGATGATCTTCAACAAGGCGCTGTTCGAGCAGTCATATATATATGGGACCTTTTTTGCCAGCATCAATAATGATGAAAAATAAGAATTTTTTTTTTTTTACCCTTTCTGAGCTATTAGTGTTCTAGATATTTGCTTTGTCTTCTTGCCGTTCGCCTTTTGGCGTTCTCTGGTCAAACACTGGCGAGACGAGGCCATGAAGGAGGCTGTCGTTTTGGTGTCGGCCAATCAGTTTCATAGACAATGAAAACATTATCAGAGCATCTTCTTGGTTATTTCGGTAAAGTCACGTAGAAGGGAAATAATAAAATAATAAAAATAAAACAATAAAATTATTATCACGACGTTTCGGCCACAACGCAAGCAGCCGTCCTCAGGTGAAGAACAGGTCTGTCGGGAAGACAACTCATTCAGATGCTGTCTTCCCGACAGACCTGTTCTTCACCTGAGGACGGCTGCTTGCGTTGTGGCCGAAACGTCGTGAGAATTATTTTATGATGATATATTTTTATTATTTCCCTTCTATGTGACTTTACCGAAAGAACCAATAAGATGAATCCCTGCAGTCACGAAAGCTTTAAGTCGAAAATTATCAGAGCATGTTTGTTTACATGTTTTGCCACAAGTATGTGTGGTTAATGCAGACTTGGTGCTTGAACATCTGAACACCTCCTGTTTAATTGCCAGAAAGGGGAAAGCCGATTATTATTATTGCAGATTCAAATCACGGCCAGTAGTCTATGAGCTCAGACCAGATGCATCACTCGTCGGTAACAGCCCGAGCGGTTCTAGTATCTTCAAAGTGACCAACAACAGTGGCTCGTGTGGTAACCATTTGAAACGAGTGACTTTTCAAACAATTTCCTGTTATTAGTCACATAAAACAAATTGGTACGGCGAATATTTTACCACCTTAGGCGGTACTGATTTCCGCCGTGGCCCACGGGTTGCAGGTTTCATTCAGTCCTGCACCACAAATCACATTTGCAACTTTGATTCCTACACCGCATATCGATGGTTCAATTTGAATGTGCAAATGTCCTGGTGTGGTCAGGGACTGTTGTTGTTGTTGTTTTGCCCAAGCTTGCATTTAGTGTTGGGAAATCGGCAGGAATTTATGCACTCGTGCAATTTTAACTTCATACTTTATTTATTGCAGTTATTTATTTTTAGTAACTTGCTTACCTTGAGTCTACGTTGCACTCCTATTGTTATTTTTTGCATTGTTTGTTGGTGTGACCTCGCTGACCCCGCCGCCTGACTGGTCATCTGTGAAAAAGAGCTTGGAAGCGCATCGGATTTCGTCCAGGATAAATAAAGATTTCGATTCCGATTCTGACACTCACCCGGTCGCCTTTCTCTCCTCTTATCCCTGTTGGCCCAAAAGCCACATCACCTGGCTCCCCCTGGCAAAAGACAAAACAAATAGACAGACAGACACGCACGCCCACGTATACATACCAGAATCAGAAATGTATTTCCTGAGTAAAGCCCAAAGAGCAAAGAATCTCTTTTTTCATGGAGCGATTCGGCTGGCAGACAACATCAAAGCATTCCACGATTACAGATTTAGAAAAAAAACTGACGCAATAATAGCAATTGTGTTGAAATGTTACCTCATTCACACTTAATCCATCCGTGACTTTAATAACAGAGTCGGTTTAAATGAAGACAGATGGCAGAATTGGAGATGCCAAGAGACGAAACTTAGTTGGTTACCAACGCTATGGGGGGCAGCTACATTCAATTCCTTTTATCCAAATCATGTACGAAATCTTGGAACTGTTAATAAACAATCAGACGCGCCTCGCATATTTTTTTAGGATCGTCCAACGGTAACAACAATAACAGGTGAGACACACTTGGGGTTGCTCTGACAGGACCCAGCGGTGGCCACGCTCGTCACTCGTTACAGAGGTTCACGGTTCTAATCCGGTGGTCCTCCCCGGTTAATACTGCGCACTATAATAACGACGCACGCACCATCCTCTTTCCAGCAGACGTCAAAGATTATTCCCTGACGTCATTAAAAATGAGCAGGCCATCGTGTGCCCGGCGTCACGGTGGGAATTTGCTAATGCTAGCAAATTTGCTCAATTCATAAAATGACCCGCTAATTACTCAAATGAGGGATTATGCATAGGAGTCATCGCCCCCCCTACTTTGAAACTATTGCAGACCGTGTCTGTGAAATGTGAGCGCCGTCGCAATAGCCTTGGGCTATAAGAGTGGCATGCATACCAATTGTTTTAAATGACGAATTATATCACTGTGTATGCAGGCACGGATACATATATTCCAACACTGTGCATAGCCAAACCTGCTAATTGGAAGTATGCATGTATGTTTAACTTCTTTCGCACCATATGTAATCAGAGGTTGGGAGGCATGGGGGAAACACAACAAACTAAAGACAAAGAAGCGTTCTAAAGAAAGTCGTTTTCAATTTAAACTCCTTGCGTACGATTCCTCCTGTATGAAGTAAAACACACACACACACGAGCCCTTTACCTTGTCTCCCTTAGGTCCAATCGTTCCAGGTACAGACTGAAAGAAAACAAAACAGGGTTCCCAGATTCACCTTCAAAAACTCAAAGCCATCACGCTCAAGGCACGCGCTGATGTGATGTTGTCTTCGTGTCAATTGTTCCGAGCCGTTAAAAATAGGCCCGGCTGGCACGCCGTGACAAGGCAGTGATAACGTAAGACTTTGGTTAAACAAAAGTGGACAAGGACATTACCGCAAGAGCACGGAATCAAATGGACGAGCTCTCGCCTTAGATTAGCCAAGCTCCGGTCGAAATGCGTTTAAAGGTGTAGATATAAAAAGGAAGGAAAAGAAAAAAAGTGATTTGTCACGGCTGGGGCAGGTTACCGAGACAGGCATTGAAATGACATCAGGAGATTGAAGCCAGGAGTTGGGCGGCTGTAAGAGGAGGGTCTTGAAAGTTGTCTCAGCCCGGCGTTAATTCAGGGGGAAGCCACGCAGCTTTGTGGTTCAGATACCATAAGAGAGGTTCTTGAACGACACTCAAATTTAGAACAAGTGGGTGTGCCCAAAAGCCAGGCGGTGGTGGCTGTGGTAATGCTAATGGTGATGATGAGACTGTGACAGCAGACGTTGGAGGTTGATTTTGAGCTGTGCAACAACCGTGAGATCTGGCGGAGGGGCGGAAGGAAGCAACGGCGAGGTACGACTTCACGAATGGCACTGGGTGGGGGTGTCAATCCCCTTGATCGAGAGACTCTTACCACACCGGGAGGGCCAGTGAAGCCGGGTTCTCCTTTGAATCCGGTGAGACCAGCGGGACCAGGAGGGCCCTATTAACAACACCGCCGGCAAACATTCAACGCGCTAGATCAATCGTTGTGCGCGATTGCAATTCACGGGTGTAAATCCATAAACATAAACATTCTCACGCATGCGGTTCGAAGCACTATACCGTGGAGCTTCAGAATCAATATTAATTGCGGCGTAATTCTACCTCTAAAGAATACACGTACATGTTAATATATAAATGCATACACTCGTGATTTAATTCCTGTAATTAAGGTAACCACTCCCCTCCTCCATGTGTACAGAGAGACAAAGATCTTGCTTTGCCTTCATTGATCGGGAACGGAAAGTGCCTGTGAGCGAACACCACCTTGTAAGGGCAACGCAGCACATGAGCACGTGATTGTGGTTAGCAACACGTTCAGCCACCTTTGTCTTCCCGGTGGCTATGTTCACACGCAAAATCAGATGCTCTTATAAAAGCTCCCCCCACCCCACACACACACACGCGGAGAGAGAGACACACACACGGAGAGAGACACACACACGCAACCTACACGCACACACAACGCACAAGCTACACACACACTGAATACACAATCATTCAGAATCTTTACAAACACGACGTCTGCCGAACAAACAAAACAAAAAGCAATAAACACCACAAGAGAAACTTCGGGCCTGCCTATCTCATGCAAATTTCCTCCTCTAAATACTCTCGGTGACATAAATAAATCTAACCAGCCCTCCTTAAAAAAGGAATAGACATCAAACATATTTCAATACGCGGCCCTGCCTAGTGCAAGTGTATAGAGGGCCCTAACGTGCAAATAAAGGCAAGGCTGGAGGAGATGAGGAGGCGCGTTGACTTCTCCTGGGGACGTTTCAGGGCTCCGCGTCTGGAATTAAATTCTGGCCCCTTCCTATTTCACTTTTAATTTTCGCCCCGCACGCCCAAGACCTTTTGTGATTTTTCAAATTAACAACGGTAATGTTATACGCGCGTGGCTCTGCATAAGGTGCGATTTTTATACGCGGTCCTGTATATATATATGCGCAAAGGACAAGGTGCAGCCCGTCAATTGAGCCTCATGGCGGTACCCCGGGCTACAATGGGACCCCGGCTCTCGCATAATGTCCGTGATGCAGTCGTTCTTAGTCTGTTGGTGGTCGGCGATGTGGCAATCGACTCATCTCGACGCTCTGTACACGATGCACTATTTAAAGTTGAAATTTTCTATGACGGATTTTGTTATGCTGATGTTTGGCGTTTCGACATAGCGAAGTGGCACTGATTTCGGATTGATTGATACCCCAGTCGTGGAGTTAAGTACACCCCTGGAAAAAATTGTGTCCCAGAAATAAAATATTTAATTGTCTCGACCAGTTTAATCTAATCGACTAAATACGAGCACTCAGTTATCAATCGTTGGTGTGAGGGGGAGAGACATTTTCTCTTCCTAATACCACCGGTTCAGGCAATCAGCGAACTTAATTTAAAAAAATTATACACACTTGGAGTCAATTACCATTTTTGGTCTTTCTCGGAGCACTTGCAACCTCAAATAACGTACAAAAGAAATATCTTAATCTGCGTCTTGATGAAAACAAACTTCGTCTCGTCAGAGCCAGGCGTGCTTTCGTCTGTGGTGGGCAAATCGTAGTCACCGTCACGCTTCATGATTTATGTCCTCCTATCACCATCGTTGACTACAATTAAAACAACTATTTGTTGATTAATATTTTCATCAGCGCCATCTGTTAAAAATTCCACATCCTGGGTCAGCCGGCCTGCTTGGCTCCTGCCGTCTCTGTACGTTTTGTCTCGCAGCGTCCTAACAGACTCAAGCGGCCTCCTCCCTTCTCCTCCCGCCTCCTCCTCCTCCTCCCCTGCTTCTCCCTCCTCGTCAAGCCCCAATGTCTCTCGACCAGATGGGACGAGCGTTAGTTGTCTGTCGCAGCTCCGGCCGTCTGGAATTCACTGCCTCCATAGACTAATGCCCATAGACTCCCACAAAGACCCCTCGACTCACTCAGAGACCCCAAGACTCACACAGAGACCCATAGACTCACTCAGAGACCCCAAGACTCATACAGAGACTCATAGACTTACACAGAGACGCATAGACTCACACAGAGACTCATAGACTCACACCGAGACCCATAGACTCACTCAGAGACCCCAAGACTCATACAGAGACTCATAGACTTACACAGAGACGCATAGACTCACACAGAGACTCATAGACTCACACAGAGACCCATAGACTCACTCAGAGACCCCAAGACTCATACAGAGACTCATAGACTTACACAGAGACGCATAGACTCACACAGAGACTCATAGACTCACACCGAGACCCATAGACTCACTCAGAGACCCCAAGACTCATACAGAGACTCATAGACTTACACAGAGACGCATAGACTCACACAGAGACTCATAGACTCACACAGAGACCCATAAACTCACTCAGAGACCCCAAGACTCATACAGAGACTCATAGACTTACACAGAGACGCATAGACTCACACAGAGACTCATAGACTCACACAGAGACGTATAGACTCACACAGGCTCACATAGAGTTCATATCACGTGATTGTTTTCGATCATCTGGAATTCACTCTTTCCTCCTCTCTCACTGCGTCACGCATCGGCGTTGTCACAGCTCTCCGAATCTGAAGACTTTTCCCTCTCTCCAATTGATTCTCCCGTGCCTCTGTTCGCATGACACACCATCAATAACCGAATTAGTAATTTGGGAAATAAAATTTATACTCGGTGGGAGACTCGGTGAGTGAGTGCGGCTTCAGTGGGCAATGGGAGAATTGTGAGAACGAAAAAATAATTAACGTCTCTCGTGCTGCAAGAGTCATGGGCACAAAACGCATGGGGCACCCCAAATGGATATGCACATGACCCCTGACATTCACCGGTCAGTATTATGAAAGCTTTGCAGCGTTCGAAATGCAACGTCCGAGTGCCACGATTGATCAGAATCAGAATTTTGTACGCATACTGGAGGAATCCGATGAGCTACAAAGCTGTTTTCTTTCACAGACTTCCAGTAACCGTGCCACCACGGCCGAAGGCAAATGTGCCCCTGTCGGGTTCTCACAGAGAAACGCGGACACAGATTCTGCCCGGAAAAGGAGCAAACAATCTTTAATAATCTGGGCAAGGAAAGCTTTGATAATTGGTTTTTTTACCCTTCTATCTGGCAACAAAACTGACACCTTTTTACAAGGAGTCATGTTTGCATAGACCGCAATACCTGCAGTCATAATACAAACAAAAGAACATAACTCTGATGTGCACTGTCCTTGAAGTTGATTGGTCCACACCCGAGACAGCTTTCCTTAGAGCCTAGTCTTTCCTCAGAGCCTAGTCTCACATCAATGTGAGACTAGGCTCTAAGGAAAGCTGTCTCGGGTGTGGACCAATCAACTTCAAGGACAGTGCACATTATCAGAGTTATGTTCTTTTGTTTGTATTATGACTGCAGGTATTGCGGTCTATGCAAACATGACTCCTTGTAAAAAGGTGTCAGTTTTGTTGCCAGATAGAAGGGTAAAAAAAACCAATTATCATATTTTTACTGGCAAATGAGGTTCCCATAAGGAAAGCTTTCTCCACCACGCGAATTACGGCGCACAGTGTGTGTGTGTCTCAGCACCGAAGTGAGTGCCAAGGCAGCGATCATTACCACTGGGAAGCTAGGAGACAATGGTGATAATGTACTTTTGCCCATGGTTACTGAATGAGAATATTCCAAGGTTTTTTTTGTCCGTTTCCTTTCGGTAAAAACCACCGACCACACAACACCAATTTGCTTTTACGAACACCCGTCAAACAGAATAGCGCTGGTACAATGGAGCATACGGATATGTAGAAGTGCACTTTGAAGACGATTCCGCTTTGATGTGCGCTGTGCGCCTTAAATGCGATGCATCAAAGTTTCCACAGCACTCCTTTGCTCTTAATGCGCGCACATCAATTGTGCCTTCAATTTCATGATTGTAATAATAGTAATTTATATTCCTCTGTTCCACGGAGGCTTCCCGCCATGCGGTGTCAATCTTGGTGGGGGGCGGGGGGGTGTGGGGTGGGGGGTTGATTGACCATACTTCACCACGCTGGTCAGTGTGGGTTCGTGATGCGGTGGGGGGAGCCAGGGACCGTGTCAATTGAAGTAGACGAACGTCTGAACATGGTTCCGTGACCCGCAGACGTTAGATCAAACTATTTTCCCCTGTGCTAATCTGAATGACCCAATCATACATTGGGGTGGAGTGTGGTGCGCGGTTAGGGAACCCGGTGGCCTCGAGTTTCAATTCACGGGGTCGGCTCACGTAAGTTTGCGAGCGATGTCCGAATCAGTTCTGGAGACCTATCACCTTCACCAACTGGCAGTAGTGGACTGGAATGGTGAAGTATGGTCAAAAGACCTGGTGACCAATCAACGGGGGAACGGTGAAGCCTTCATGCAGTCGTGAAATAACGAAGGGGTGTAATCTAGAATGAATCATGATGACATCGCTATCCGGCTAGGAGGCTCAGCAGCAGTACCAGCTGCAGGCGGAGAGTTCAAATCTACGTTGGGGGTCGACTCAGCTCAGGAACTACTTTGGTGGGGGGGGGAAGTAAACAGCGGTTGTCCTATGGATAGACTTGCTCCCACCGTATGAATGGCTGCACACAGACAGGAGATAATGGAGATAATCGCCACTGAAATGGTCGTTCAAGGAGCAAACCATTGGCTTTGTTTTGAGGTTTTTCAGAGGAATCTTCCCTGCACTGCATACACTGCTCGTGCAAACATAATTAGGAATTAGATGAATATACGCTCTCTGATAAGGCTGTTGATTCGCAGTAATTAACACATCTCGTCTGAGCATTTCATTGAGCGTATGGGATTTGGGCTCAAGGATCTTGTAAGCTAATTGAATGCTAAACTCCGGAATGAAATTCGGCCTCAAGCAAGCCGAATGAGACATCGCCTTAATTTGAAGTCATATGAAGTTGTATTTTCAATGCCCCATTGATCTGCTCTGCTTCATATTGCAATTGGATACATAATAAATGAGAATTTCAGAGCTTGTAAACTCTACTTATGAACGAGGACTATAATTATATTGTTTTTTTTCATTTTCAGTAATGATGCTGGGATACAGCAAATGTAAACATCCCTCCAAGTTAATTGTTTTAAATAAATACAAGTTTAACGACACGTAAATTCATGCATGATACGTGCGTGTGTCCGTGTAAAGCTGTGCAAATGACACGTACGTGTGTATGCAGGTGCGTACACACAAAGGCAACGAGGCCGAGTTCTCTATATTTTTTTCTATAGGCCGACAGCGCCTGTCAAGTTCGACACGCCATGCAAGTTGGGTGGTGTGGCCGGAACCACGCATGGCCACTTTTGTCTCCCCAGTGCTGATGTTTGCACACTCATTTGAGGCCGATTTGATCCGAGGAGAGGCCGGTTCGTATACTACTTGCCACCGATATATTAGTCACAGCCGAGAATCAAACCCAAAGTGACCGGGTTTGTATACACAGGGCGCTAACCACTGTGCCGCCTTCTCCCCACACAAATACACATGACAGACACAGTAAAGACAAAGATCCCCCGTATAGCCTTCACAGACTGTTGGGGCAAGTGCTGTTAGCGAGTAGCACCTATGAAGGCCGGCACGGCACACGAGGGGGTGGGTTTCCAACACCACGACCCGGCCACCTTTGTCTCCTCAGTGACGATGTTTACACACCTCACTAGGTACTCATTTGAGGCCGAGTCGACCTAGGGGAGGCCCAGGACCGGTTCAGATAATCGTCACCGGTGTTGGCCGTGAGCGGGAATCGAACCCGGGTCGCCAGGTTCGTAGCGTAGCGCGCTAACCGACCGCTACCATTCCGCTCCCTATACACTAGACAGACACACACACACCTACACATATGAGTACATGCACATGCGTTGTGCGCTGAAGTGCGACGGTAAAACGTGAGCTCGAACCATCTTTCCGGGCGTTCCGTCTTCTCCTCTGACTCCGGGAACGCCGTCTCTTCCAGGAGATCCTGGCTTGCCGGGTTCTCCCTGCGCCACAACACGAACGGCAATAAAAATGAACAAAGTGGCCACCTCGTAAAACGCGGAGACACTCGCGACCACCACCAACGCCAGACTCAAGGGCCTTGCTCGAAAGAGCACGGCGCAGCGCTCTGTTGCGTTTCGGTGGCTTCTGAGCTGGTGATGGAAATTCCACGTCCCTCCGATGGGGCCCAGTCTGTTCTTAGGACGAGGGCTGTTAAATTCTAAAAAAATTAGTCGCACTCATTTCAGTAACCATACAGGGGCAATGATGGTGACAGTAATCTTGATTAAAACAGCATCCCCGCACACGAGTGTAATTTATAAGATGTTGCCCACACAGGCCTTCCTTCAGCGGGCCAAACATGTACAAGTTCAAGGATGACGAGATCTGGCCTCTTGAGTCAGCACAGTCCATGCCTAATCTTACAATGGCCGCTGATGTTCTCAGGCTCATGTGTGGCCTGGCATTGTCTTGTTATAAGACACCTTTTGCCATCTGGCAAACCTTCATTACATTTCTCGACATTCCCACGGTTGAACAGCTCAAATTTTGTAACAGCGAAATTAAATGGTTACTGAGAAATAAAACAGGAGCCATCACTTTTGGGACAGCACTTGCATATTCATTGGGATCTCACCGGGTTCAATTAAACAGTCCTCGTCTTCTGCTTGCGTGCGGCACAACACTTAAAATATCTCAATGTAATTTTTTAAAGGCATGCGACGGTTTCAAGTGAGGCTGAATGTCCGAGGTGCAGAGCTCAATTCGACGAAAGTGACTGCGTTGAAACATGTACGCACCTCTCTTCCTGTGAGACCGGGAGGACCCAAAGGACCCTGTGAATAGGATGCATAAATTGACACAATCAATGCTGACAAGGCATCAACAAGAGCACAACTCCAAAGTGCAGGATTACCTGGCGCTCCCCACCGAGGTTGACTTTTTATTCTTCGCAAGGCACGTGGCCTGACTTCCTAACTCGGAGAGCAAAGAGGAGGTCTTGGTGAAACTTATTTCTCTTCATGCACCCCCCCGCCGCCCCCGAAGTAAAATACAAGTCCAGTATCCACATTGGATTTTGCTGCACCATCCTCTGCTGTCCACTGCAGAGCCCCTCGCAGCCTATAACACCTGCTGCACGTGTCGGATACCCATCCATCAAAAGGTATGTGAGAGTGCAGTGGTTAGACAGTGCGTGGTCCAAACTGTGTTTGGCATCTGAGATCAGAAATCTGAATCTTTATTTAGACTACAGGAGGACCGGTGAACCTCCGAAGATATGTTTCACAGGTGTCCAGTAAGGGGGCCGGATCAGCGAGACGGAGAAAAGTTAATCAAGTTACGAATAAATACATTTTATATAGAAGTACAAATTCCTTGGAGATGTGATGAGATCGGGCGCGTCGTAGATGACATGGGTCATAGGCAGGGCCGGATGATTCCGATGCTGGGGCTCTGAGCTATGTCAAGCTCAGGAGGCCCCAAAGCATTACAAACAAAAAGTTAACTATTCTCACAAAAAGGTCAATGCACATGGCAATTGTAAAAAATTATATTCGCAGATATACATCGGCAAAAAGGTGCAACATTTGATTGCGTAATACTTTAAACTTTGTATTTTACATTCGTATTTAGAGCCCCCCCCCCCACCCCCGGTCATAATGTTAGACCCGAAGCTGTAGCTTACGCCTACACCCAGCACCAGTCACACGTCATGCCCATTCATCCAATCACCCATCGTTCAAACGATATCGCGAGAGCACGACGCACACTGGCGGGCAGAGGGGAGAGGGAGGGGGGGACGTCGATGGACTTTAACGAAAGCCGCCAGACACTTACAGGGGGGCCGGGTGGCCCGGGGGAGCCGAGAGGACCCCTCCCGCCCTGCGGGCCAGGTGGGCCCTGCAAAGTAAACACCGCAGAGACGAGGACACGGGATGAGGAAACGGTTCACCCCGGGGGGGGGCAGGGTCAGACATACGCACGACGCGCAGCATTATCGAGGCACCTTTTTTTTGCTGTTACACGCTTTGTACGCACGCACGACGGCGAACTTCTTTCGCGCCGTACGTAGCGATTCGTGTGCAAATCGGAAGACGCCTTGACCACAATCGTGCATGGTTAACGTCGGGGAGCGGTGGTTGTAGTACGTCAGCGCTGCGCTACGAACTCGGCAGAGACCTGGGTTCGATTACCCGCTCATGGCCAATACCAGTGACGATTATTTGAACCGGTCCTGGGCCTCCCCTAGGTCGACTCAGCCTAAAATGAGTTCCTGGTGCGGTGTGTAAACATTGCTACTAGGGAGACAAAGGCGGCCGGGCGTGGTGTTGGTCACCCACCCCCTCGTGTGCCGTGCCGGCCTTCATAGGTGCTCGCTAACAGCACTTTCCCCAACAGTCTGTTACAGGCTTTGTGGTTAATGGAGACTAGCACTTTAAAATCTAGATTGAAAACGAATTTCTTTATAGAAATGCTTTTTGTGTTTAGTTAGCTCAATACGGTGCGAGAGAAGTTCAATATACATACATACACACGTGACACCTTGCAATAGTTGTGTCTGTGTCTGTCTGTGTGTGTGTGTCCCTTCTACGTTATTTTACCGAAAGAACCAAGAATATGAATGTTTGCATTGTCTTTGAAACTGATTGGCCTACACCAGAGACAGTCTTCTTCATGGCCCAGTCTCCGTGTTCCTGCACTTACTGTTCAAACTTTAATACGAGCAAAAACGGTCCCATGATATGGCAATGTAAGCAGGCATGCTTTTTTTTCTTTTCACAACTTACCACTGTTGTTAATCCTTGAGGGCCACTCGCTCCCTGCAAATAATGGACATATGAGATAAATCGTGATCACAAAAAAACAACCTTTCCAACACTACAATTTTAAGAGTAAAAGCGAAAAGCTGCAGCCCTGCAATTGCTTGCCCACGTCACTGCTGGTGGATGGGCCTCGGACTGGGAGCTCTAGAGAACACCCCTAAAATGATTATTTGCCTACTCCTGCCCACTCCCATCTAATCTTACTCTACTCCCCTCCACGCACTCTCCTAGCTCTCCCCTCTCGTCTCTATCAACCCTCCATGCACCATCCCCTACCGCTCCCCTCCCATGTCACTCTACGACTTTCCATGCACTCTCATACCTCTCCTCTCACAACTCCCGTCCATGCTCGTTCCCATCATTGCCCTCTACCACGGTACGAACCCTCCACGCTCTCCTACCCCTCATCTCAACCTACCCCCGTCTACGCGCTCTTCCACCTCTCCCCTCACTACTTCCCTCGACGCACTCTCCTACCGCTCCTCGCTCATCTCTACGAACCCTCCATGCACCATCCGCTACCACTCCGCTCTCATGTCACTCTACCTACCCACCCCACTCGCGCCAGGCAGACGTCAAACAGCGCCGAGTGGCCCTTCACCCGACTCGGAGCAAGAAGCGGGGGGGGGGGGGGGGGCTGGGAGTTGTGTGGTGTTGGTGAGATCGACGAGACTGCGAGTCCATGCCGTGGGGTCGCTGCCCCATCAACGGGGGGTGAGAATGACGGTGGCGGGTGGCGGCTGCCTATGCCCCCCCCCCGTCCACCGAAGTTGAACATCAGTGGGGCGCGCGTGTGGGTGACAAGGCTGACGCGTCAAATGCCTGTGGGGGATTTACCTCGAGGGGTGATACGACCCGGGGCAGGAATTGATTACGTGACTCATGCCTCCTTCCACCTGCGAGTGGGTCATTAGGCCCGGCACTTCGGCAGGAGTGACGCAAGGCGCTCGCTAGACCCGAGATGAGACTCTGCGCCGTGACCTCCCGCCGTGACCTCCCGCCGTGGCCTCAACACTGCACCCAGCCCGGCACAAGCCGCGGCGACGCCACTGGCCACTTCATGGCGAGTAGCAGTTGTCTGTATATCATTGTATTTAGACTTTTATATGTGGGGGGCGGTAGGGTAGTGGGTAGCGGTAAGCGCGCTGCGCTACGAACCCAGTGACCCGAGTTCGATTCCCGCCCACGGCCAACAACGATGGCCATTATCTGAACCGGTCTTGGGCCTCCCCCAGGTCGACTCAGCCTCAAATGAGTACCTAGTGCGGTGTAAAAAAAAACAATTGGCACTGGGGAGACAAAGGCGGCCGGGCGTGGTTTTGACCACCCATCCGTGTGCGTGCCGGTCTTCATAGCTGCTCGCTAACAGCACTTGCCCCAACAGTCTGTGAAGGCTATACGGGGGCGGGGATCTTTATCTTTGTATGTGTGAGGATCGACGTTCACAACAACGAGCGGAGCGGCCCTGCGTCTACCACACGGTGAGGTGTCACGGCGGGGGAGGGCACAGGTGATGGCATCTGCCAATCATCTCGGCCTAGTCAGCCCATACTACACGGGGCCTGTCCCGTTCATCTCCTGGCAGCCGAGTCTTCGGCACTCCACGTGAAGGCCTCAAAGTGCGTCTGGCCAGGCCCATACACCGTGATGATCACGTCAACGGCACTTAGTGGCGAATGACCGCTGTTGTATATATTTGCTCTTTCTTTGTACACGTGGAGTATTAACCCATGTGCCTGTGTGTGTGTGCCGTGCGTGGCTATTCATTCAATGTGTAGTGACATCGTGGGCACCACGGATATGTGGGTGCAGTAGCGGCCCTAGAAGGGCTCGGTGAGCGCTGACTGGCAGTGCTGGGTGGCACCACGCTCTGCGTGCAGTGCCCACCCCTACAGGATGGGGTGTGAGAGTGCCGGCCATGGGAATGGGGTTACCAAGGACCATGGCACTCCGGTTGACCCTAGAGGACACGTGACCGGTAAAGTCTACACAGGGCCCCACGTGGGGGCTAGGGGTGGTCACGTGTCAGGGCCGAGATCCTGCTCGAGGGTTCTAGAAGGTGGGAGTGGCCAAGGGCGGGGCCAGCCACGCCGCAGAGGATAGAAGCCGGGTCCCCCAGAGGGACCGGCTGCTGTTGTCATCCTGAAGAATCTACGTTCTATGTCCTACAGAGCCACCAACACGTGGACCCGGACCCAAGCTGTGGTCTGGTCCGTTGTAGCTCGTTACGTTGTAATTAGTGTGGTTAGCCTGCTGGTCACCACCATAGGTTGTTACTGTGTTAACCCAGTGTTGGTGTTAAATAAATGTGTTGCCTCCAAAGAGTACGTCTGCGACTCAGTTGAACTCACTACAAATGCAGAGAACTTACCTTTGGCCCAGGGGGACCGGGGGGACCTGCAATACCTGCAGGACCCTGAACACACAAACAACAACAACCCAGCACTTAATGAGAAACACTTCAGAAATACCTTGAGACAACAGGGCTTGCAATATCTTGACAGTGTTACTGTTTCATGAAAGTGCCAGTTGCAAGCAGGTATTTAGCCAGTGTGGAATGACGAGGGTGTCGTGTCTGGGTCTTCCCAGTGCGGTGCTCATTTCAGGACGAGTCACCCTATGGGTGACCCCATTTCAGGTGCAGCCGCTTTCCACTGATATTGTGCGTGGCTGGAAGTCGAACTCAGGCTACTCGGATTGGTAGGGCAATGTACAACCGATAGTCACACGCAAAAAAAGATCCCCCGTGTAGCCTCGACAGACTGTCGGGGCAAGTGCTGTTAGCGAGTAGCACCTATGAAGTCCGGAAGGGCACACGAGGGGGTGGGTGGCCAGCACCACGCCCGACCGCCATTGTCTCCACAGTGGCGATGTTTACACACCGCACCAGGTACTCATTCAAGGTTGTGTCGACCTAGGGGAGGCCCAGGACCGGTTCAGATAATCGTCACCGGTGTTGGCCGTGAGCGGGAATCGAACTAGGGTGGCCAGGTTCATAGCGCAGCGCGCTAACCGCTACACCACCGCTCCCCACACACACACGCACAGACACACACACACACAGCCGCACATGTACAGGACAAAGATCCCCCCGAACAGTTTTTAACAGACGTCTGGGGCAGGTGTCGTGACCACACACAGCTACATAACTACACACAAAGACCCTTTTCGTTCTGGTAGTACTGCGATAGCAAATTATGTCAGTGAGCACCTATTAAGGCTGGAACAGCAACCTTGTTTACGGTGGGGTGGTCCAAACCATGCTTTCTCACCCACCTTTGTCTTCCTTAATTGCCGAAAGACACTGTCCCCAAGTAGAGTACTTATTTTAGGCCGAGTTGATCCAAGGGAGGCCCGCATTTGGTATAAAAAAGGCGTCACTGATGCGCACTTTTTCTAATGCCCCGTAAGGTTAAGCAAACGGTCTTTGTTTGCGAGAACCTTGAACAGCGGCACAACTTAATGAGCTTCGCATATATCCTTTGAAAATGGAAAATCCCACTTAAAAGGGAATAGTTTTTTGTGTGTGTACATGTCCGTGTATGTACACACAAATTAGTTCCCGGTGCGGTGTATGAGCATCGCCACTGGGGAGACAAAGGCGGTCGGGCGTGGTGCTGGCCACCCACCCCCTCGTGTGCCGTACCAGCCTTCATGCTCGCTAACAGCACTTGCCCCAACAGTCTATTCAAGGCTAGACGGGGGGTCTTTGTCTTATACAAGTGCTGCTCACAGACAGCACTTTCCCAACAACCTGTTTCGGTTATATGGGGGGAGGGAAGGATGAATGTATATGTCTGTCTGTGTTTATATGGAGTGGTGAGGTTGCTGTTAATTGAATGTGTCTTACTGCAGGACCAGGTGGGCCCATGTCTCCAGGTGCTCCCTGAATGGGCAAAAAACATAAAAAAAAGTTGTGAATTTGCGTGCCGCCACACACATGGCAGCAGAGACAAAGACCCCCCCCACCCCCCGTGTAGCCTTAACAGACTGTTGGGGCAAGTGCCGGTACGGCACACGAGGGGGTGTGTGGCCAGCACCACGCCCGAACGCCTTTGTCTCCCCAGCGGCGACGTTTACGCACCAGGTACTCATTTGAGGCCGAGTCGACCTTGGGGAGGCCCAGGACCGGTTCAGACATTCGTCACCGGTGTTGGCCGTGAGCGGGAAATCGAACTCGGCTCACAGCGACGTATCGCAAGGGCAGGTGCACGTGCTGCCCGGCCAGTGAACCCACGACGGGTAATCCGTTACAAGTAATGTTTTAATCAAGCGCGTCACTGTAATGCGATTACGAAGGAAGCACACGGCTAATCCCGTATTATTATTACTAAAGTAACCCTTTCTCAGTGCCTTTGTGCGATTACAATAATTTAGCGAACATCAGGCGGCTCCGCTGGGGACATGTTGTGGGCAGCAATGGGCAGTGCTGCAGCATCAACGGCCGTACTCAAATTGCCGTGCGGCCGCATTAATAAATGCCCTCCGTGTTCACCAGCCGGCAATGACTGATCAGCGTGGCGAGGTATGGCTAAATAATCACCCGTGTCCCGTGCATGGTGGGTGCAGAGGCCCTCATCCAGCAGTGGATTAACAAAGGCCCGTGGATTAGCCTCCCAACAGCCGTTTACATTTGGAAGAAAAAAACTTTTGTAAATCATCGCAATTATTTGAAAAAGCGATACAAAAATATGGGAATGCTTTATGTGAGTGGCTTGGGTTTGATGTAAGAGTTGCAGCCAACGCATGCGTATCACGATGCAGGCCTGTGGTTATGCAATCGCATCAGAGTTGTGTTAGTTTCCTGGTTAAAATAAACACAATCACAAAACAAAGGGACCAAAATAAACCTTTAAATTCAGAGTGCATTATTTTTAAATGTCAAATCTGAGTTTTTTTACATATCATGTAAAAATAAAAGTTATCCGGATACTTTTTAAGCTGCTCTCCGAAGTGGCATCATGAAATAAATAAAAAAATCCGGGAGGGTCATGCGTTGAGATATTCGGTCAAATTCTCCCAACGAGCCTTGTATATTGTTTGCCAATTAGGGAGAGAGAAAGGGAGAGAGATAAAAACCGCTCCCGCTTCGTACGAGAGAATTGCGTTGGCCAAACGACACCGGGTTCAATTGCTTTCGAACTTCTAAGGCAGAAGCAACCCAAACTCCGAAATTGCTTTCAGTCACGTGCCTTGCCACTTAACATTTATTTACACAGGAGAGCACATCACTGAGTGTCAAGACTTTTTTTTTAAACAGGGTCCTGCTCGCTTTCACAATGGGGGTCGATTGCTATGTTGTCGCAAGTGATACATTTTTGGGTATTTTTCAAATTTGGCAAACTTGAACCGTAAAGCCAGCACACACACAGGGCCTACTGTTTTTTCTTCTTCCCGATACATGATTGTCATCATCAGTAAAACAATAAGAAATTTGCTTCCTCGGAAGTACGACAATTCAATTCGAAAATTGAATGCGGGCAAAAAGAAAAATCTGTTACTGCGATTTTACAATTCCTTTTTTTTCCCGATTCGAATAATCAGCGCTTGCTGGAAAGGGGAGACGCTCACGCGAAACCCCCTGATAAGATTTGACCAAGGGGAGTTTTTAATTTCACAAGCACCAACGACTGCCGCGGCAGATGCCGACAGCTCTCCAGTCAAGGCTGTTGAGGGGGGATGTGCCCGGGCTGTTTGTTCCACGCGGGCCACCCCGCGTTAATGAAAATCACGCGAGCGACTTCTGACGGCCGTCTCGTGTTATAGTTATTTTCAAATTTTAAATATTGCTACTTTTTGCTTTTGTTCTCGCTCTGTTGAGGAATAACGTAACAACCCACCCGCCGTAATATGAACCATGCAATAAAAATTACCAATACTTAATTACTTGGCAAAAAAATACAAGGACAGTGGCAATTATATACGAGTGTTTTGTTAAGAAATATATATTTTTTACTGTGGCGCCAATTATATTACAATTTGCATTCCACGGGGGTTGTTGTTACGAGACCAAGACGAAGCGGTTTCGGGGACTCCTACAGTCGGCATTGGCTCGTTTGATCACATCGGAGAATGGGTAATCTGGCAGATGATAAGCACGGCACCCCGAGTTCCAGGCTTGCTACAATAGGTGGACATTAAACGGTGCTCATTCACGCTCCATAAAATGTGGTGCTCTACGCGTCAATCCGCCGGTAATATTTTACGAATGTTATCTCACAAGGCCGGGCTATAATGATGCGGACCAACCGAATTTGCAGTGATGGTTTTCTAATGTTGCGCCATCGGCAGTAAATGAGCCGAGGACATGAAGCTCATTTGCTACGGAGAATCCGGCTCTGGTTTCAAGTGGCTGAGACTGAGACTCAAGCCCAGGCATCCAGCAGTGTTGGATAGATGTCTCCGGCTTGGCCGTTATCAGACTCTACAGGCAGGTAACAATTACTGGTGAAACAAACATCTTTAATTATTGCAAGAAACATCGGTTAGTGCATGTTGAACTTCGTTTGCACGCTAATCGGAGGTGCGAGAAATCATCTCGTTCAACTGAACACTCCATCGGGCAGTCCTCATTTCTGCTGATGGCTCTGAGTCAGTGGTGGAAATTCCACATTTCTATGATGAGGGCCCAGTCTTACCAAAAGACAATCACTTTCTGACTTTCCCACAGGGTGGAACTACCCTGGACAAACAACCGATCAGACTCAGGGGGTGGTGACCAACAAGGCACTATCCAATCACAAGAACCCTGTGGACCAAGAGGATGACCAGGCGACGTTTTATAAGAGGTTAGAGACCAAGTGAGATTCAGTGCATGGTGAAACCCTGATACCTTGAGAGAAGAAATACTCACTACTACGTGGCCTACGTCAAACGTAAGCCAGCATTACGGTTCAAATTTGAAAAGTTAGCCGCGAATTACTCAACTGGGGATTCACAGCAACGTCGCTCCCGACTGAGAAATTAACGCCAGTGTCGACTCGTCTGTGTGCATGTTGAACTTCTTTCGCACCGTACGTAGCCAACCGTGCTCATTGAAGGTGCGGGGGGAGGTCAACACAACGGCTTTATGATACTAGTAGCCTTGCACCAGTAGAATGGCACGTTTACCAAATGTGCTAATGAGTTTGATGATGATCACAACGATGGTGGTGGTGGTGATTATGGGGCTGAGTAGACCCAACTCATACCAATACCTCTGAGTAGACCCCAACTCAGAAAGCTTTCGAGTGGTGCACTTTGAGCGTGGCTCCACCCTGTTGGCTTGGTGTTAGTGCTCGAGCGTTCAGTAAAAGGTGAAAACTAATTAAGAACAAAGGAGGGAGAAATATAAATAATTTGCAGGCGACATACCGGGCGGCCCAGTGCTCCTGGGAAGCCAGGAAATCCCTGATCATGCGGGAACGTCATGCAAAATTCAGCAAACAGGAAGTTAGATAAAAAAAAGGCAGAAAAAAATTGACTTTAGTCCTCTTGGGTTTGTTTTTTCCACCAAAACCTACTAATGAGTCGTCTCCATCTGTGCTCACAATGATGTCACCTGCGGCTTTAAGATGATTGTTACTTTTAAGATGCACATGCACGTTAAAGAAATCATTCTCCTCCTCCTCTGCAGCGCTTGTACTCCTTGCGCGATCGCAATTAAGTCTGCGTGGCACAAAACGGTGAAAATAATGTGCGGATTTCTACAAAGCTACACCAAATTATTTTTCAAATTTCAGCCGTTAAATTAATTCAATCATACGCAAGTGGGAGACACGCTTCGAGAGAAATTGTCTTTGCAAGAGAGATCTAAAAAAGGGAAGGCATGTCTGTGACAGGCATTTATGCTGCAAATCGGCCACTGATTGAATACTCATTCCTGAATTGAAAACGAATTTATTTTTGTGCGTTTAGTTTGTTGTCCTTCCACCGCTCCTGCGATTAGCACGGTTGGCTACGCACGGTGCGAAAGAAGTTCAACATTTTCCATACTGTCTTTCTCACTGCTGGATGAAGGCCTCCCCTTTATGGTATCGCCATCCGTTATATCGTTCTGTGATGCCACAATCCGTCTCGATTTTACACAGGAACTTTCGATCTCATCGCTTCTGTCTCCACGGTGTTCATCCTTTAGGCGACATTCAATCTCGAGTCTCGTCCAATGGCCTTCATCCCTGCCCAAGCCCACCCTTCTTTAACGGTTACCATGACGACGACGATGGCGTCTTCGGTATGTATTGGTAAAATTTAGCGGCCATTCGTTTTTTTCCCTAAAACGTTGGTAAAATGCACATTTTATGGCTTAAAATCATATCCCAAAAGTTGCTATTGGTGTCATGTTGTGAGCCAAAATAATCCATTGGGAAATCTCACAGCAAGCGGAAAGCCATTCATGAAGTGTTGCACTTCAGGGCCACCATTAGCTTCACGAATGTATACTTTATTTACCTCTGAAGTCACCTAAGGACAAGAAACGGCAACACCTTCAATATGAGTTCCCCGCAAAATGCCAAATTATACGACAAACTGAAATAGATTTTATTTTAACAATGCCGAGATTACCAGCTCGCTGTTCACGGGCGGCTGAAACCAGAATTCAAACAGAGTTCTGTCGGCTGTGTTGGACTTGGCCATTGTGAGAACTCTGAGCATTTGGAGTCAAGACAAGGCACAGAGGCGCGTGACGACCATTGCATTTTGGCCATTCATCCTATACACAGCAGTGCTGCAAATTGCTCTTAAGTCTCAGTGGGATTGCACAATAGTAATAAAAAAGAAATCGGATTAAAAATTTGGTTCGGCACTTAAACGTGGCAACATTTCAGAAATGAAAATAAATTAGGCAGTTTGACCGCCAAGCGATGGACATTACTCCCGTGTGGAAGAGTAGGTGGAAAAGTGCTGCCACGCAGCACTGTGTGGGACAGCGGTCACTCGAAGACATCTCTGCTTCTGTGGGCCATTCTACGACACAAAGAGTTCTGCTGCTTCGTGAGTTTCCCGATTTGGATTGTTCGGCTCATGACATTACACCGGGATGCAATTGGGGAAAGAAAAACTAAAAAAAAATGAATAAAATTACCCGGTGAGGCTTTTGCAGGAGAGAAAATTGAAATGGAAAAATCCTGAATGTAGCCAGATGTTATTTTTTGCGTTTAAATAAATCAAATTTTGGTCTTAAAACTCGGATGTCTCTCGCGAAAGAGGTACCCGTTTTCTCAACGGGTTAAGATACCGCTCGCTAATTTACCGTGGGAGCTCACGGCGTGTGGATTTCTAGCGAGTACGTAAATTGAAGGGCCCAGAGGACAATAACCGTGCACGTTGCTCGGTTCAAAGTGAAATTGCTTTAACTGCCTTTCTCCCATTTCTTAATTATGACAATTACGGCAAAAATGATTCAGCGGTGAAAATCGCTGCATAACCCCCCCCCCCCCCCCCCATGGGGAGAAATTTGGTTCAGCCGCCAAATTGTCACGCATTTACCAACAAGAAAGGGAAGGAAATTACAATCGCGATTACTTAACAAAACATTTTTCGAAATCAAATAATTTGAAAATGTGTTTTTCTATATAAAAAAGTAATACAAATTGTGAAGAGGGGATTCTGTTGATGCTGAAAGGAAGGAAATATGTTAATATTCAGGCGGCATCTTTCTACGCAGAAAACTTGCAAGGCTCTGCCGACAGAAGAGATTAAACAGATTATTCAGCAAGGGGGTTTGTGGGTAACGGAATACATTCGAGTTATTTGGGTTAATTGAGGAATCAGCCCCCTGGTATTCACAGGATATATATATTAAATCCTCTAATCTGTTGTGATAACGTTATAACTCTGATAAGTTCGAAAATTAAACGTCGATAAACATTAAATGTATGTTTTAACAGCACAGCTTTAAAACGTTTACCATGTAATATTTTACTATGAACACTTTGTAATTGGAAAGCTGGCTGAAATGTTCACTTATTCCAATTGTAAAAAATTGACGGTTTATAATTTTTTTTTAAAGGTGGCGAAAGTAAAGGTGCAGTCCTGCAATTGCTCACTCACGCCCCTGCTGTCAGAAGGGCCTCGTCCAGAGGGTATTTGGCCTACTCTACCACACTGGCAAGACATCTTGGTCGAAGCGGAAGTACCCACACTTGACCCCACCACACGGAACCTACCAAATAACTACGGTGTGTCCATTATCTACTGCTGGATGGACAGAGGCTCACAGTGGGGTCGGGGGAAATTTATGAAAAATTCTAGAATTTAACCTTATGGCGGTACCCCGGGGTATGATAGTACGCCGGCTCTCGCATTATATCCGTGGTGCAGTAATTTTTAGTCTGTTGATGGTCGGCGATGAGCCAATCGACTCATCTCGACGAGCTGTACACGATGCACCACTACGGTGCGTACGAGCCTTCAGGGTTTCGGCGCAATCGTCCTCGCTGCGTTTCGACATCGCGGAGTGTGGCACTGATTTCGGATTGATTGGTACCCCAGTCGCGGAGTTAAGCACACCCCTGGAAAAATAGTGTCCCAGAAATAAAATATTTAATTGCCATTTTGTATTATTTGCTACCCCGGGTACCGCCATGAGGATCAGTTGCTACAACTGCCGTGCTGGGAGACTGAACTGGTGACCTCTCGGGTCTGGCGACCTCTGGTGACCTCTGGTGACCTCTGTATGAATTAGAAATGTCACGGTGTCGCTCTGCTCACTCTAGGAATGACGAAGGGTCGACATGGAACCCACGGCCTCCTGTATACCAGGTGAGAAAGTTAACATCTCCTAGCCACCGTGGTGCCACATTTTAGATACACAATAAACACGAGGTACTCATTTTGGGATGAGTAAACCTAGGCGCGCCCCAAGACAGGTTCTTACACCGATTGGCAACTGGCAACGTGGATCATCGCAGTCTGGCAATTGAACCCAGGTGACAACAGTTGCGTGGTGGGAACTAAAAAACAAAAAATCACTGCGGTCACGATTGGTCACTACTCCCCACTGCTCGTACATACAAGCACACGTACAACGCACGTGCACTTAATTGTATACCTATTCAAATTGCCTCGGTCCAATTTTGCTGTTATTGTAATTTTCTCGAACAATTTCGATAAAGTCCTGTGAACATAGGGGGCTGATGCACATGCACGCACGCACGTGCGCATGCGTGTGTGTGCGCGTGTGTATGTGTGCGCGTGTGTATGTGTGCGCGTGTGTGTGTGCGCGTGTGTGCGGGTGTGTGTTCTCCGCGCGTCGCCTCTCCTCCACGTCCACTCTTCCTGCAGCCACTTACGTTCAGACCTGGGGGACCTCGAAAGCCACGCGCTCCCTGAAAATATGAACGTTGTCACCGGCACAGGTAAGGGGTGAGGTGGGTTGGGGGGCTTAGGGGGTGGAGGTCACAGAGCGAGCGACTGACAGAGGGAAGAGAACACACGTACGGCAAGCGCGCCGACGAGTGGGAACCCAGTAAACACGTAACGTCGGGCCAACGTTGAGCGGAAAGGTTTCAACCACATGCCAACGTCCGCCCGACGTTGCTCGTTTACACACGACATTCACGCTTAAAATGGAGTTGGGTGGTGCTGTGGTTCGAGCTTTCGACTCACAAATAGGTGGAGTGGTTGACTCAGCCGATCGTCACCATGACGACTGTCATCACCGTGACGACTGTCGTCACCGTGACGACTGTCGTCACCGTGACGACTTTCCCATCTTCATCATGATCATCACACGACAACTTTCATCACCATCTTAAAACTGATCGTTATCTTAATGCCGCTGTAAGCGTCATCATCATGAGCAGCAGCCACGGCAAGATTCATCGGCATCACTGCCACCATCATTTTCATCATCAATAATCACAATTTTCCACCACTGTCATCATCACCATTACCACCAATTTCACATCATTTTGATCAATCAACGTTTTCATTTCCATTCTCAACATCATCACCATCATCATCTTGAGCAGAAACAGTAGCAGCTGCATCAACCATCTCTGTCATCGCCCTCATCATCATCCTCCTTCCGGGGCCAATAAAATTAGCAGCACCGTTTTGCCGGAAGCGACCGTTGGATTGGCTGATATCAGAGTCTAGCACCTGCCATAGGACTATGGAATTAACACAAGCGCATGAGCGCCATCAATGGAGTTGAGTGCTGCTTCTCATTCGTTTGAACGATGTAACGATCAACGTCAAAACGTCTCCTTTCCATTCTAGCCAGCGGCCATAAAAATTTACCATTCCTATGGCGAGGTCCAGGAAACATCCTTTTTAAGTTAACCCCAGGCTAGATTGTGAGCCGAGCACTTTCACTACATTGCCAACTGGTCAGAGATCCCACGAGACAGAAAACATGCAACACCATTCTGCGATTACATTATATGAGACAACTTTTTATCCCCCCCCAGCTCCTGTTTCTGAGCGTGCCACGATCTATAACCGGGTTCCTCCAACATGGGCGCGCGTATGATGGAGCGACACGTGTCACTCACTCCCCAACATCCTATCAAAGACCAAAGCGCAGGCATTGGGCCTTTTTTTTTTGGTTTCTGTGGAGCAACATTACATTTTGAACGCGGTGACGCAACGCACGCCACGCAGTCCGGAGTTGTGCGCGGCGCGCCCTGAGGGTCCGCGTCTCGACGCAGCCACGGAATGGGGCAGGGTGGGACGTGGGGCATGCTGGGAAAAAGGAAGGCACGTTTACGTGTTTACTTTTGTTGTTGAGAAAGAAAGAGGCAGAGGAGAAGAGGAAGGTTGTGAAGCTGGACTTATAAACTATTAAACTTCGATTTAAAGCTTTCGTGACTGCAGGGATTCATCTTCTTGGTTCTTTCGGTAAAGTCACGTAGAAGGGAAATAATAGAAAAATATATATTAAACTATTTTTTATTTGACCAGGTAAGGTCCACTGAGCTCTACGGCTCTTTTTCAGAAGTGACCTGGCCGCAAATGATGGCTTAACGAAGTGGCTTACCACGTGGAAATTTATAGCAGCCAAATACTTGAAAACGCACGTTGATTCTAAATGTGGATGGGAAAAACTGGAAGGACCCAGAGAAAATCCATGCGACCACGGGGAGAACACGCAAACTCCCAATATAAAGGCGTCATCGTCGTGATTGAACCCACGACCTCCGATATACCAGGTGAGGTAGTTAACATCTCGCCACCGTGGACATGCGCAGGAAGTCTACAGCACGGATCGCTGGGGGAAGGGAGTTCCAGACACTGGGGGCAGCAGAGGAGAAGGAGCGACCTCTAACTGAGCCAAGGTTGGCCGGGTGAGGGAGGGGCAGGGTACTTCGGTAGACATCTTTGGTTGATGGAGCAGACGGCACGTGGAGGGGAGGGGAGTAGAGTGAGTTGAGAGGGGAAAGCCCAGAAAGTTCCGGATTACGAGCGCAGATAAGGAGAATGAGCCGCTTCCGGCTGACTTACAGGCTTGCCGTCCTTCCCATCCTCCCCCGGGTCACCTTGAATTCCCTGGTTGATGAACAGAAATGGACAGACATGCACCGAGTCAACACAGAGACAAGATATCTCGATAATGAATGTCTGGGTGCAAGTCGGACCGCATGCAAAGTAGCAAAGGGCACGCCAAGATCATAACGTTCAATACATTTTCAAAAGGCCCTTGGCAAGCAAACAAAGAAGCTTTGTTTAGCCTTTCGGAACATAGGGAGATGTGCTGTTAGTGAGCGCCTCTGAAGGCTCGCATGGCGCCTGATGGCGACGGTGTGTCCAGCATCATGCCTGGCTGATTTATTCTCCCCAGTGCCGATATCACACACTGAACCAGGTGCTCATTTAAGCCTGTGTGTGTGTGTGTGTCTTCATGCGTGAGCGGTAGTGTATCGGTTAGCACGCTGCACTACGAAACCTGGTGACCCGAGTTCGATTCTCGCTCACGGCCAACACCAGTGATGATTATATTTGAACCTGTTTTGGGCCTCTCCTAGGTCGACTTAGCCTCAAATGAGTAGCTGGTGTGGTGTGAAACATCGCCACTAGGGAGACAAAGGCGGTGGTGGTGCTGGCCACCCACCCCCTCGTTTGCTGTGCCAGCCTTCTTAAGTGCTTGCTAACAGCACTTGCCCCAATAGTCTGTTACAGGCTATACGGGGGATCTTTGTTTTTTTATGCATGTGTAAGTCTACACAAACATACACACACGTTTGTGTCCTGAGGAAGCTGTGGTTCAATCGTGTTCTCATGTGCAGCGAATTGATTATCTTAGTAAAAATATTACTTGGGTTGTACTATACTATGCTCAACGTCTACGCTCCCTGTGTTCACCAACCCGCGCTGACCAGCGTGGTGGAGTCTCATCAATAGACACACACGACCCCGCACAACGTTTGTGGGGAGGTCCTCATCCAGCAGTGGACTGACAAAAGGACCGTGCATGTACGTAATTGTCCAAAAATGTAAAACAGATCAACGCAGATCAGTAAAAGGGGACTAAATCACAAACACAACTCCGCTTACCTCCTCGCCATCTTTCCCCTTGTCCCCCTTTTCGCCACGGTCTCCCTTCTCTCCCTTCTGCCCGACCTCTCCCTGTTTTTGGCAGGAAAAGCAAACGGAGCGAGCAATTTCAGAACATTCATTCGTACCGGAGGAACCCCACGAGCCACGAAGCTCCTTGTCCACAGGTGTCACGTGTGTGACGGCGACCAACAGCCAATGGGACGCTGTCGGTGGGGGTGTAACGGTCAATGTGACGGCGACCAACAGCCAATGGGACGCTGTCGGTGGGGGTGTAACGGTCAATGTGACGGCGACCAACAGCCAATGGGACGCTGTCGGTGGAGGTGTAACGGTCAATGTGACGGCGACCAACAGCCAATGGGACGCTGTCGGTGGGGGTGTAACGGTCAACGTCCATGCTGGACTTGCAACACGGCGGTCGACGGGTCGATTCTATCTGCCGGAGCGGCGGTTGAAGCCACTGGGCGAGATTCTTGAATCCACCCGCAATACGTACGCCACAGTTTGTCAATCGGCAGGTCGCGCGTGGTGGTGGTGGTGGGGTAGATGAGGGGTATGCCCACCTCTTTCAAGACTTTTGTGCAGCATGAAGGAGAAGGCCAAATACCCTCTTACATCTACTGTATGTAAATAATGATGATGAAAAGGTTTTGAATTTGATAGAGTGGCCCATATCCTGGGGCATCTCAGAGATATTACATTTAAACTAAAACTAAACTGTTGCTGGTGCCGGCTCACCGCATGAACTAAAAACAAAAAATGTTTTCTCTTTAACCAGGCAAGGTCCACTGAGCTATATAGCTAATTTTTCAAAAGCGACCTGGCCACAAATGATAGCCCAACGAAGTGGCTTATCATGTGTAGCCAAACTCTGTAAACGCACGTGGATTTTAAATGTGGAAATGAAAAACTGGAAGGACCTTGAGAACATTCCACGCGACCATGTCGAGAGAAGCATGCAAACTTATGAAAGGGCACCCCCAGTGGCAGCTCTCCCTGTGGGAACTATGTGACTCAGTGCATGGCCTGCAAACGGGCATTAGTCTCAGAATCAGAATCTGTATTTATCCGGGAGGAATCCGATAAGTTACGAAGCTATTTTTCACAGACGTCCAGTAAGGGCGGATCAGAAAGTTACAACAACAACAACCAAAACAAAAGTCGATAGAGGAGTGCAAAGTATGGCAATGGTCAGTAAGCCACTTAAAAAATAGGCGGCGATGATCGCCAATGTGTTTGGCCTCTCATGCTTTCAGACCGCAAGGCCGCTTCTTCATGACATCACCGGGCAAGTTCCGAGCGAACGAGGGCACACATCATCCCACGTGTGGATTTGCATCATCCCAGGAAGTTATCCGGTGCATCGCCAAACGAGGCATTCAGTCTATAAGCCTTGCCAGCCAATGCGAAAAGGAAACAAATTGCCACGTGCAATATCCCAGGAGAGTTTGTAAGCGAAGCGTTCTGTGTGGCGTGTGTGCGTGAGCCACCTTGTCGCCTTGCGATCCCACCAATCCGGGCGGCCCCGTGTCTCCCTAAAAGACAAACCACACACGCAAACAACAACAACGATAATGACAACGACAACAAGGACGGAACTAAACTCACTTCAATGTCAAGAGGACGTCACCGCCAAAGCCATTAATCCCAACACTCCCCGCCAACGCTTTCTACCCTCTGCCGAATCCCGCATCTGCTGGACAGCAGACATGCAACCTCCGAGAGCTGAACTAACAACCTAACAGTCTCCCACCATCTGCTCTTAGGTCTTCTCTTCCCGCTGGTCGCCGGCGCTCACAACCTCCCCGCCGCCCCCGCCCGCCGCCTCGCCATCCTGCACACGCGTGTCCCACCCAGCGCAACCGTAATCATATCTACAACGCTCACCTGGCCCTTTGCATTGCTTATACCAGTGGTCTTCATGGCAAGGCCGTGGGCTAATGGCGGGCCATGGTGGCCTTTAGTGCGGCCCCTGACGTGCGGCCACCCGACAATACACAACACGTGACAACATCCCCCATCGTCATCATCGTCGTGCTGCGGTAAAACCCCCAATGGTTTCAAATGTGTGGCCGCCCTCCCACTGATCACGTCTTATTAGCGAAAAGTGGCACCCCCCTTGAAAATGAGTGAAGAACACTGGCTTGTACTGTCTTGCCACGAAATTTCGAGCATCTGTCTGGGTCACCTGTGCGACTTAACCGCAAAGGCCTGCTATACCCACATCCTTGCTATCTGCTTGTCAGGCTGATGATTCACACGGTTATCTCTGGCCCATGGGCCCCAATGCAGTTGCACTGCCTGTACTCTGGATAACTATGCCACTGCATGTACACCCAAACACAAGCCATAAAAGACAAAGCTCACCCGTATAGCTTTTAACACACTGTTGGGGCAAGTGCTGTTAGAGAGTACCTATGAAGGTCGGCACGGCCGCCTTTGTCTCCTTAGTGGCGACAATTACACACCACACTGGGTACTCATTTGAGGCTGAGCTAACCTAGGGGAGGCCCAGGACTAGTTCATATAATCATCACTCGGGTCACCGGGTTTGAAGCGCAGCGCGCTAACCACCGCACCACCGCTCCCCATACGCACGCCTCCCACACACACACACGGAAGTTCAGTACACGCGCATTTATTGCACAGCTAGCACACATAGAATGGCAATTCAACACATAGCAAACAAACACACTTAAATGCCTACATATGCAGAATGGTTATGAGAAAGGAACCGTTGATTTGAAACAAACTAGAGATATTACATGAATGAATTTCCAAACGAATGGACAAAATTAATGAATCGTTGGTTGGATTAATGAATTAATGACTGAATGTGTGGATGACCAAATGAATGAATGACTGGCTTGGAGAATGAACGACGGAATAAACAGATGCATAACCAAATCAACGAATGACAATGATGAATGAATGAAGAAAATAATGAGTGTGTGAGATTGACACGTCGGCTTCTGTGACAATTCTGGCAAAAATCGCCTGATAATGCTGGATGCAATTACCAGCGAAACGGCGTACTCAAATTGTAAATGTTGTGGATTTCGTTTCCAACACACCGGTGGGCTGAAGTAGTAACTAATTTGCACGTTGTGTTTACGTCAAAAACCTTCCCGGTTGGCTGTGTCAGGTAGCGGTGGGTCAACGACACATTCATACCAACGCAATGTAACCCAAAAAACCTTCATCATGAATGAGTGGGTGGGCGCTTGTGTAGTCAAGGAGACACTTGCCTTTGGTCCTTGAGGACCCATGAATCCACTCTCCCCTGGGTATGGGAGCAACCCAGAGCCTTCCAGGGCCTGTGCACACGATACACAAGAAAACAGATTCACCGCGTAGCCTCAACAGGCTGTTGGGGCAAGTACTGTTCGTGAGCACCTATGGAGGTCGGCACCGGCGCACGAGGGGGTGGGTGGCCGGCACCATGCGCCGACCGCCTTTGTCTCCCTATCGGCGATGTTTACATATATTCTTAGGTGTTTTCGGTAAAGTCACGTAGGTAAAAGATCAAAATTAATAAAATAATAAAATAAAATAAAGATCACGATGTTTACACACCGCACCAGGTACTCATTTTAGGCTGAGTTGACTCTCGGCGAGGCTCAGGACCGGTTCAGATAATCGTCGCCAACGTTGGCTGTGAGCGGGAATCCAACTCGTGTGGCCGGGGTTTTGTAAAATGCAGCGTGCTAACCACTGTGCCACCAGCTCCCCACTTGTGCATCGTACACACAAGCACGCGCGGACTGTAAGCACGACATACACAGGATACTGTCTCGCTTTAACATCATACCCACCTTCCCCTATTAAACTGCCACGTTCAATTAGCATAACATCGATATGCGTGAGTTGCAAACAGTCTTGTGTGGCAAATTCCCATGAATGAATGATTCAGCGGGTTCACGTTTGGCGCGACGCAGCCGTATGGCTCGGGAGGCTAAGAGCGGTGTCGGAGTGCAGCGATGGCAATGTTGAAATGAGAAAAATTAAAAAGAGCCGGTTCATTGAGACGATGGTAATGTGAAACTGTTTGCGTGAAGCCAATCCTGCTGAAATTATACACTCCCGTGAGGCTACGTGTCTGATGGGATGTGTCGAGGGACAGATACGTGAAGGAGTGATAACGTCGGCTTAATTTCTTTCAGTATTATATTGAGGTCCTTAAATTTGAATTCATGTTTCAGCCACCTGTAATTAAAGCTGGGTTCTCAAATGTAACCAGCAATGAGTTCCTCGTGACTGAAATATTAGATTTTTTCCCGATAAATTTGTATTTCTTCAGCTCTAAAAATTAAACACTTACATTTTGATTGCCTTGTGATGAACGCGCTTTGCAGAAAATTACAAGGGTGTACTGCCCAACAGACAGTCATCCATATCATCGAGGTCTGCCCAGAGAAGGTGGAATTCAAAGAGGCCGAGTTTCATCTCGATGATGTGACGGTTGAGTGGCGAGGAGATGTTGCCTCCCTCGCCTGGCACACAGCAGGTTGTGCGTTCGACCCCGGACCCCTATTGTATATCTGGAGTCTGCATATTCTCGCTCCCCGTGTTGGTCGCGAGGATTGTTCTCCGGGTTTCTCCGGTTTTGTCCCTCCTCGAATTTTAGAAACAACATGCGCTTAAGATTATTGGGCTGCAACTATTAATTCGCACGTGTAATGATGATGATGATGATATCAGCCACTTCGATGATGACGAGCTATTATCAGAGCCGGGTCAAGGCACGGGACTTTGGGGACTGCAGCCCAGGGGCCTCCACCAGCTGGAGGGGGCCTCCAGAGATGAAGTGAAAAGTTATTTCACTCGTGAATGGCTGAATTTTATTTGTTGTTAGCCGTGTAAAAACAAATAGTATTTTTATTTTAACTTTGTTTTCCTTTTGAAAATATTACTGGGGGCCTCACAGTGCCGGTAGCCCAGGGGCCTACAAAATATTCATCCGGCCCTGGCTATCATTTGTGACCAGGTTGCTCCAGTTTGCTTAACCTGGTAAAATAAAATAAAAAGCAAGCTTCGTTTGAATTTGGTTTGATTTGGATATCGTCCTCTGACCGCGACCGCAAGAAGAACACCGACCTACAATGCGGCTACCTACGAGTCGTGCAGGAGGGACTTGAGATGTGGATTTTGCGACGTCAACGGCACAATTCGGAGAAAGAAAAAAAAACAATAATTGCATCCGGCCGATAATTACAGGACGGTGCTGTGGCAAGCACTGCAGTTATAAATTGGCGATGTGGTGGGCGTAGCGTTGAAAATTGTTCATGCCAGATCCACACGCCTGCTTTGGCACTCCCTTTCACGCCATTCGCAACACCCCGGGGGCTTTGAGGCGGTGGGAAGTGGCACCGGTTGGGGTAGTCCACGCGGGTGCGTGGGTGCCACACGGTTGGAGTTGTGTGCAAGTGACGGTAGCAAGGCCTTCGAGAGCCCGCGGAGATTAACAAGTTACTGTCAAAAACACTGGGCAGAGACGTGGATTCAGAATGCACGCGGCCAACAACAAGCGAACACAAAGCAAACCTGCCGATTGACGTACGCATGATGTAACCGTGGGTGAGTGCGTGTGTCTCAGTAGGGAGTGGTGGCGTCGCGGTTAGCGCACCGCGCTACGAGCCCGGCGACCCGAGTTCGATTCCCGCTCACGGCCAACACCGGCGACGAATGTCTGAGCCAGTCCTGGGCCTCCCCTAGGTCGACTCAACCTGGTGTGGTGTGCAAACATCGCCACTCGGGAGACAAAGGCGGTCGAGCGTGGTGCTGGCTGCCCACACCCTCGTGTGCCGTGCCGGCCTTCATAGGTGCTCGCTAATAGCACTTGCCCCAACAGTCTGTGAAGGCTTGTACGGGGCATCTTTGTTTTTTGTTTTGTGTGTGTGGGTCAGTGTACCGGTATTCCTGGAGGACCGGGAGGCCCAGGAGGACCAGGAGCTCCTTCTGGACCAGATCTCCCCTGCAACAGATGTGGCACGAGTAACACATTAATCGTCATTACTTTTTTTTTTATAAACATGCGCAGTAAGTATAGCAAACAACTCACCCACAGTGCGCCCAATCTCATCACACGTCAGAAGCTAAGCAGTATAGAGCCTGGATAGTGCTTGGACGGGCGACTGCAATGCACAAAACAGGCTGTCGCAGACTCTTACGGGGCTGCGCTGTGGTCAACTTAGGGCAGGAACAGCCACTGTTGTACTGTACTATACTCCAGCATCTATGCTCCCCACTGTCATCAACCCGCATTGAGGTTACGGTGGCACAGCTATCGCACGGCATCGGGAAGCCCTCATCCAGCAGTGGATGGACAAAAGGGGCTTGTGAATACACTCTGATGTCTCATTGTTCAATGCACATCTACTGCCATACATGTTTATCCTTCTATCACCGCGTTCTCACATGGCCATCCTAGATCCTCTGCCATCAACTACACAGTCATCGTCATCGTCAGCAGCGGTCAATCCCCTGCTGGATGAAGGCCTCCCCTAGTGGCGATCCTGCGATGTGACGATCCACCTCCAGCTGATCCCGTTGCTCCGAGCCACAAATCATCGAACGGGATTTGACCCCATCAATTCTTGTGTTGTGATTTCGCAGTCAACATGCTCTCCAATAAAGCCCTACCTTTCCCCGCCTATCAAATGATTATCCTTTGCCGGCTAATTACGTGTGGTGGAATATGCTTCAAGTTGACATTGATTAAAGCTAAAGAGTTCATTACAAAATGCTGATTTTTGAGTGTGACTGCGCTTGTCTACGCTGAAGGAAGGACGTGCCACGGGAAAATGACATCAATTTTAATGAAAGTACAAACGAATCTGTGATTAAACATTACGCAATTAAAGAACGAAACGTGTATAAAAGTTGAGACGGAAAGAAACCTGATTAATTTACTGAAAAAAAAGAGTGATGTTACACAACGGCTCGGTGCTAGGAGCATTCATCAACCATTGAGAGCTTTGGCTTAATTTTTTTTTCTCCCATCCCAATTGTGCCATTATCTCTGACTTACATTACACGGCGTTAGAGCCACTGCCGCTCTGGTAAATAGACACGTGGCTCTTACGAACAAAAGGTTGTGAATTCTAATTCGGGTCGAATGAATACGTTTTTCATCTCATAACATGATGCCGATAGCACAATACACATATATTTATTTTTTATCAGTTGAAAGAACAAGTAATTGAGAAACACATAAAGGGGCATTACGTACCCTTGCAGTGTTCCTTATATGAATCATATGTTCATTAGACAGCATGTAACCACGTGTGTGTGCACCTGTGCGTGTGAGCTTTTAAAACCGACGTCCCTGTGAAAATCTGCCAGCACGCCGGCTAATATAATTTACCGTTTTAATTTAGTCTGGCATAAGCTCCCCTCCCCATCATAACAAAATAATCATAAATGCAAGATGACTCATTACGCTATGCCGGTGCTGTTTTCGTACTGTGATGAGTACTGACGAAGTGTATTGTATTGGCGTAAAACTATGGTACAATGACAATAACGGTTTCAACTTGTAACGCCGCACAGTGATCGCTCGTTCTCGCACAGAGAGAGAACGACTCGGAGGCACGAGGAGGAACCAGCCAGCAGCTATGGGGCGCCAATGTGGTGAGATGTTAACTACCTCGCCTGGTATACATGAGGTTGTGTGGGTTCAATCCCGACCCTGACCCCTTGTTTGTAGTGGTTTAACGCTCGCCAAGGGGGGTAATTGTAAACACGTGCTGGTGTTGCTGGGGGACAACGGAGGAGACGGAGACGGCCCGTTAGGCAATTATGGGATGCAGGGCCGTGATGGCCGGTTGTTGTTGTCAAGGCCAAGGTGGCGCCAGTAAGTCTGGGTTCGGAGCAGGTGGCGGCAAGGGGGGGGGGCTGGTTAATTAATTGGAAATTAATGAGGAGGGGGATAAATAGGGGAGCATCAGAGTGAGACGGGGAGTTGTGCTGGGAGGTGGACGGAGTCGGTCAGAGCAGAAGAAGAAGAAGTGTAGAGTAGCAGTGGAGTAGAAGAAGAAGTATAGGGTAGCAGTAGAGACGGAGAAGCTGAACGAGAGAGCTAGTCGGAGTGAGACGGAGAAGCGGAACGAGAGAGATAGTCGGAGTGAGACGGAGAAGCGGAACGAGAGAGCTAGTCGGAGTGAGACGGAGAAGCGGAACGAGAGAGATAGTCGGAGTGAGACGGAGAAGCGGAACGAGAGAGAGCGACGGCTGTAGTGGGACGGAGAAGCAGAGAGGGGAGTCGGGAGAGACGGAGAGAGAGAGGGAGGAACAGAGCGAGCGAGGCTGGCGGAGCGTGGCGAGCGTGCGGAGAACGCGCTGGAGAATGATGGCGAAATGTGCCGAGTTGGATAAAATAAAGTGATGACAGAAAAGGAAGAAGTTGCCCACGTAAAGTTCAGCTGATTCCCCCCCCCCCCACACACATTTAGAAATGTGTGTTTCGAGTATTTGGCTGCTATAAATGTCCACGTAGTAAGCCACTTCGTTGAGCTATCATTTGTTGCCAGGTCGCTTCTGGTAATGTATATATATATTAATAGTTTAGAAGATGGCAATGGCTGTGAGTTTTAGTTTTTAGTTGATGCGGTGAGCCGGCACAAACAATTGCCCAAGCTGTGATCCTCTATATATTGAGGAGTTATTGACCAATTAATAGTGTTTACATCTGGGAGGAAACCAGAGCATCAAGACAAAGACCACGCATGTAAGGGTGAAACGCTCTATTCCATATAGAAGGAACAGGTGGAGTCCACATTTTTGCTGCAGCGCCTCGCGCTGACACGACCAGGGTTACGGATCCTCGATTCCCCACAGGAAGGGAGCGGTGATCCATGAACCCTCGCTGCTGCCTCCACAGTGCTGCATTACAGGCGTGAGCCGCCACCACCACCACCACCTCGCCTTCTCATGCTAAGAGTCACAGTGGTGTAGGCAAGCTGCACCGTAACAGATGTTAATGCTTCGTAATATTATTGGACCACAATGCATCACACCCTAATTTACATAATTCCATTAATTTGTCCCAAGGCAATAACCTTCTCTAATCAGGGCTGATATAAGCTTGCAAAAAGCACAAACCACTTTAAACATTAATTTCCGAGATTAAAAAACTGACCCTCTGCAGACTTTCATGTTTGATGAATGTTATTGCTGTTGCCAAAACCGAATTATAAATCACAAACATCCCAATCGCTCCGCAGTGCCCTAGTGCACAATCTATACATTAACATACACATGCTGCTTCGTATAGGTTGGAGGGTACCAGATAATGCGATGTCAGTATTATGAAATTGACATTTTCTGCCTAATTTACTTACTCAATAGAATTTTACATCTTTCATACAATTTTGGAAATTATTCTAAAAATAATTCAATGGGGAGCTCATTTCACCAGCAGCATGGTACAATGCAAATACGGCGGGGCAGCCAATGCACGCAGAAGACTTGAGGAAGCTGACAGGTGGTAATTTGCGAAGTTAAATTAACCTCAGACGCTTCAATCGTTGAAGGTGGCGTTACAAAAGCCGAATGGAGTTCGCAAGAAGTTACAGAAAAAGCACCTCCTCGTGAGAGAGCCGATGCAGAAGATCCCCGGCTGTGATCTCCCGGGATGCGTATGGGGCCACAACCCTGCACCACATGACTACAAAGCATGGCAGCAGCAGATGTGGGTACTTGATGATGCTTGATGATGATGCACAAATGGGAAATTTTAAACTCTCTGGGAGTGTGCAGAGACTGTAGTCAACCACCCTGAAGAGAACCATTAAACGTTTAAACGACTCGACGCCCGATTCAACAAATACTTGAGCTTCCATTGGGCTCATAGCCGTAACAACATATCTCAAGAGTTCAATTTTTTTTACCTTTGGGGGACTCCCCAATGGCAGCTGCCCCTGTGTGGCACAAGATCGCTCGTCGACGGCCTGCAGGTGGACCATGAGTCTAGCCATGAGGGAGCGATGATTGGCCCAACTGAGAAAACTGCCGGTCATTTATATATTCTCGTCTTTAAATTTGGCGCACGCTTTGACAAATTACCCCCATAGAAAGCCACCTGCGATACCACGATTCCGACAATCCCACAACGATGCGAGGAAATTCCCCAATATTAGCGCACGCATCTGTGTGCCGAGACCCAGCAGCACATTGCCCCGCAGAGATGGTAAAAAAGAGATGCATTGTTGTCAGCTGTAACTAATTGAACGATTTGATGGCATGCTATGCCGCGAGCAACAGGGCAATGGCGTTTTATGCAGTGTCTGCAAACTGCCTTGCGATACAAATGGAAAGGGGTGAACCGCTGTGCCCATTAGTAAGCAGCGGGCGGTGAGCGATGGCTTAAGAGGGCTCGCATGCATTCTTAATGCAGCCCAGATCATCCATATTTCTCTGCAGGGCCGGGGCGATGGTGTTTCATGTTTTCTTTATTTTTGGTTCCCAGACAAGGATTTTGGGGGGGGGGGGGGGGGGGGTTGAATAATGACCGTCGGCTTTTACGTAACGGCGGCTCGCACGCTCGCGCGCACCGCCCGTGGAAGTGACATCTGTCGCCGGGCCGCTCGTTTACGTTCAACGGGGGGGGGGGGGGGGGGGGGGGGGGGGGGGTGTTGTACGTTTTTGTGCCACGCACGCGAGACTTTTATTCAAAATCGGCGAGCGAGGCCTAGAGAATTACTCTCTTCCGTTTAGTGGAGCCGGGGGGGGGGGCCCGTGGCAGAAGTCAGTCTCTCTTCAAGATGACAAACCGCTGGCTTCCCGCAGAGCGGTAATTAATTTTGGTAAAACTCACTTGGACACAGTGGCTTGACTCGCTGCAATCTGTTGGCACTTAATTGTATTTGTCTTGCATGTTTTTTTTTCATTTTCAAACCTTGTTTCGTACCTCAAGCGTTGACATTTTCGCAAGCGCGCCGGTTTGTGGTCTCTCGAAGCTGGGAGGGTGTTTGACGCAGAGTTCACTCACGTGACCTCGCCCGAAAATCAATTATGAATTGTAATGTTGGGCACGAAAGCCGACTGCACGTGTTCAACTTGCATGTACGTGTGTTTTTGTGAAAGCGGGGACCGGTGGTGCAGCGGTTAGCGCACTACGCTTTGAACCTGGCAACCCGAGTTCAATTCCGCTCACAGCCAACACCAGATAATTACCTGAACCAGTCCTGAGCCTCCTCCCCTAGGTCGACTCAGCCTCAAATGAGTGCCTGGTGCGGTGTGTAAACATCCCCACTGGGGAGACAAAGGCGGTCGTGCGAGGCGTTGGCCACCCACTCTCTGCGTGTGTCGTGCCAGCCTTTCGTAGGTTCTCACTAACAGCACTTACCCCAACAGTCTGTAAATGCTATGGGGTGGGGATCTTTGTATTTGTGTGTGTATTTGCGCGTGTATCTGTGTGTATATTTGCGTGTATCTGTGTGTATATTTGTGTGTATATTTGTGTGTATATTTGTGTGTGTATATTTGTGTGTGTATATTGTGTGTATATTTGCGTGTGTATATTGTGCGTATATTTGCGTGTGTATCTGTGTATATATTTGCGTGTGTATATTGTGCGTATATTTGCGTGTGTATATTGTGTGCATGAGTGTTCATGTGTCGGTGTCAGATCAGCAAGTTCCTGGACACGTGACATCCCGGTGCATCTTGAGCCTCCTCGTAGCACACGGTGCGCTCTGCGTGATCCACAGACCCGACTTCACGAGTGGATTTTCATCGTTTACCACTGCACTCAAACTGTCTCTTACTCCCCCCCCCCACCCACACTACAAATCGCCACAGTGCATTATACCACACGGATAATTAAGAGAGTGCGCACGCCGCAATACGTTCAAGAGCGGCGAGAAGCTCTTCGCGGTCAACTCACCGTGTCTCCTCGCTCTCCTCTGTCACCGGCTTCTCCCTGGCGCCGGATGAACACAACGACACAACAACAGCGCAAACGTGAACATTTGTTGTTTCTCGCTTCTCGGAGCGGCGATTTAACGACCTCACGACAAGAGCCATTCGCTTCGCTCGGGCGTGTTCAAAATCAGCACCGAGCAGTGGAACACAGAAAGGGGAACGGTGAGAACGTGTAACCTTGTTCACACAAAACTCGCTCACGGGCTGATTGTAATTTTGCAAGCGGACTCTTGCCGAGCGCTCAATTTAGTTTGCACGACAATAAGTCGTTAGATGGCTTGATTTTATGTTATTCCCCATCTGTTGAAGGGGTGCAGACTACAGTGGCTTCAGGACCACGTGGTACACCATTGTGGTCTGCGCTCCTTTAATGGAGGGGGGGGGGGATAGCAAAACTAGACAAACTCTCTGCCTCTTTCTCTGATGAAGCCCTCTCGTCGTGGCTAGTAGAGCCTCGACATAGGCACTTAGCTCCTGAACGCATTGCTCCCATTGTGCGCTTGCTACAGGAGGAGTAGTGCAGCGACAAAGGGTGACTGATCAGATCACGGTATTTTAACAGGCATCAATGTTATTACAAAAAACATCGTTCAACGTCGTCGTGGAGAACGTTAATAATGTCTTGCAATGTAAAAACGCTAAAGTCATTTTTGACACGGCCTTCTGGGAGTGCATCTCAAAAAGTGGTCTCAGAACAAGAAAAACTCTGTGCCAGAAGCCTGCTCGGCCGATGATGGGTCGTGTAAAAAATAATTAGGAAGACAACTAACAGTTGCGGCAAAGGTCCACGTGTTACTTCATCACATCTGGCCACACTGATTTTTCCCCTTTGCCAACACGCGCCGCGTGATGACATTGGCAGTGCTAGCGTCCCATCTGTGGATCTGTGCCGTACCTTGCTGCCTGGGTTTCCCTTTTCTCCCGGAAAGCCGGGATTTCCGGGAGTGCCGTACGTGCCCGGTTTCCCGGGTTCTCCAGGAAACCCGGCCGGGCCCTGGGGCCCTTGCTCCGTGAGCACGGAGCCGGGAGGCCCGGGGGGTCCCGGTAAACCTCCTTCCCCACGGCTGCCCTTCAAGCCACGCTCCCCGGGCAAACCCACCGGGCCCTGCCACAAGGAAAGGAGCAGACACGCACACACCACACACACCGCACACACACACGCACGCACCGCACAATTACAATTAATAATTCAACATAAGCGGTCGAATTGATTGAAGATTCGGCACTCGCTGAATCACTCCCGTCACTCGCTTAATGGGCGGTCGGTCACTTCCTTATCACTCTTCTATTGCTACTACCACCGCCATTTACTTTTCCCGTGAACCTCGCTCGGTCATTCCTCCGCCGTTGTGGAGGTCTCGGCTGACCAGCCCTGGTAAGGATGAGGTGAGCAGTGCTTATGGCTCATCACTTGCACTTCAAGGCCCTGAAAAGTACTCGGTGTGGTCGTGTCAAAAACCGAAGGGCAGATTTGCTCGACAAAATGAAACATTATCTGGAACGCCGCTTGAAAGTCAGGTCACCCCAACACCAGGTGACGTTTGTCAAACACGTGTGCGTGTGTGTGTTTGCAGACCTGTCACTCACGACAGCGAGCGGAGAGCCGGGTGGACAAATCACAGTGACGTGGCACAGTGGGGAAGCACAGGTTTCTTGCATCTGCCAGTCATCTTAATCAGGGAACCCATAACACCTGGGGCTGTCCCGTGATCTCCTTTCAGCGAGCCCTCAAAGTGCACCGAGCCTTGAACAACCCCCGCGGTGATGTCATCGCCTACCGGTACAAATGACGACCGTTGATGCTTTTGGCTGTCCGGTTTTGTTAAATGAACCGGAGTTCAACTCTCACCTCTGGACCCGGAGGGCCGCGAAGCCCCAGTTCCCCTCGCTCCCCTCGGTCGCCCTTTTCCCCACGGGGGCCCACATCTCCTGGGCGTTTATCCCCTGCATCGATGACGCCCCTTTCCAGGGTCTCCTTTAAAGACTTCATCTGGTGAACACAGAACACACGCACGTAAAGAACACAAGGACAAAGAGCCCATGTTTAGCTTCTCAGCCAGTGCTGTTAGTGAGCACCTATTAAGGCTCCCCACCGGTGTAACCAGCGGCACGTCCAGCCACCTTTGTCTCCCCCAATGCTGATGTTTATACCCAGGATAGGCCTAGGACTGTTTCAGACACGATTGGCCAATGGCTATGTCTTGCAGGCACAGCTAGTGACCCTCTCTTAGCAACCACGATCTTCGTGATCCACCATCTCTTGCCTCCCCACAGCACTGGATCACAGGCATACGCTGTACCACGCCCGTCCAGCAAAGACAATCGATATCCGAGTTCGGAGCATGCGTGACGTTCACGGTCGCGCGTTTGCACCGACTCTGTGTCAAAAGCGGACGGTTGTGTACGGAACTGCACTACTCACGCCAATCCCGTAGGAGAGGAAAAATGACTCCAGGTCCTGCGAAATCAAATCACAACATCAGCAAGCACATCCGGTATTCGTGTCGGTCTCATAGCGCAAGGGCTCTGGCGAAGGCGCCCCTATCTTTCACAGATAAGTAAAGTCTGCAGTAGTTTCACAGTAGTGGGAAATACATTTTTTTTTTACCAGGTGTGGGCCACTGAGATATATAGCCCTTGTTCAGAAGCGACCTGGCCACACATGATAGCTCAACGAAGCAGGCTTATCGTGTACATTGCTAAGTGGGCCTTGCCTGGTCAAGTACAAATAGTTTAGTTAATCACCCACACACATGTCTTCCCACCCGATTAAAACTTGAATGTCAGTCGTTCAACTGTCCGAGATATTCGTCGCAACAGGTCGTTGACATTGAGCAGCAACTTTAAAAAAGAAAATTAAAAGTGTAAGAAACCCAGAAAGGGTTACGGGATTAACGATAAACTGGAGCCTGCAGGAGTTGTGACACGGCAACAACTCTTCAGGGGGTTCAAACGAGGACACGGGTTTGCAATTTTTAGTGGGTTTGAAGTTAAGAGCCGAGGGACGGTTCGAATCAATACAGAGGAGAGAATTAGAATGCATAAAAAAAAACCGATGAAATCGCTCCGGTGTTAATACAAATCCTCGCTTAAATTTTTTAAAATTCACACTTGAGGATAGGCCGCGCGATTCAAAGAGATCCTGCTCGTCTGCGATAAGAAGGTTACTTAATTTTCTTTTAGAAATTAGACATTTTTCTGTTACATATATTTATATCTTGCATGTATACATTTGGTGACACGTGCAGGCAGTTGCTGGAGAGCGCGGGGGCATCACGAACGGCGAGACGGGCGGGGTTCGGCAACGCAATTTGGTTCGCGCGGGGATCTCTTCAAGCAAGTGGGGGAATGTCTCATCGTGCGAGGTGGTCCGACACCAACCCCACATTCCTGTGGCAGGGAACAAGCTATTTCATACGCCAGCCACAACAACAACGTCGGCTACCCACAAACTGGTTACGCACTTTATCGATCCCAGAGGTCATGGTAGGATGAGCCGACCCATGTGACTTCTTCCCTTCTGTGACCTAATGACCCCGCAAATGAGCCCCGCCGGGGGGGGGGGGGGCGACGTCGTTATTGGATGACGGTGAAGCAAACCCCGTCGTTGTATTACGCGGCACTCTCTGCCCCGAATACCTACGTCTTCGCCAAACACGCATTGGGCAGCGTGGGGAAATATGGTCGCGCAGCGTGCGGAGGTCGCGAGTTCGAGCGCTCCGTCACACATGTGCCACCCAGGATGAGACGGTGCACATTGTCGGACATGTTGTGAGCGGTGTGTGCGTTGTCTCGGTGTGGGCTGGGGATAGTTTTTGTCATTGTTGTTTCGTGTTACCTGGGCCTAGGCCTTGCATTTAGTCTTGAAAATCGGTAGGAATTTACGTACCTTTACAACTCGTTCTCATGTGGCCTAATTTGTTTTTCTTGACTTGCATACCTCTTATGTACTTTGCACTTCTATCGTTTTTTTTTTACTTGCCGACCACCCCCAGTGGGTATCTGTGATAAAATAGCTTCCTAGTTCATCGGATTCCTCCCGGATAAATAAAGATCCCGATTCTGGTTGCAATTGAATGAAGAGACTGACCTCCATTTCGGCTTGCATGCCAGGCTTTCCGTCAAGTCCTGGCACACCCTGTCAACAACAACAACAAACAACGACAGTTACGTACCTTAGAGGATTAGTAAACGTGTCTGACTATCCAGATGCAGTTTTTCCAGGCTGGGCTTTTGCGTGTTGAGAATATCAACTGTCAAACTTTCACCAGGCACCACGGCGGGGAACATCTTCGGGAGTTGGAAACGAAAGGCGACTGCATTAGTGCCCGGGGAAAATTCAGGCCCAAGAAGCAGTTCAAATGATTCATTACCGATGGGTTTGACAGTGTGCGGGAAGCGAACTCAGGTCGCCAGGTTCGCAGTGCAGTGCGCTAACTGCTAGCCTGCCACTTCCCATGCACGTGCACGTACAAGGACAAACTAAAGACAAGAATCCCCCATGTAGCCTGTTAGTGAGCACCTATGAAGGCCGGCACGGCACACTAGGGGGTGGGAGGCCACAGCACTACGCCCGGCCACCTTTGCCTCCCCAGTGGCGATGTTTACACACCGCACCAGGTGCTCATTTGAGGCTGAGTCGCCTTAGGGGAGGCCCAGGACCGATTCAGATAATCGCCACTGATGTTGGCCGTGAGCGGGAATCGAACTCGGCTCGCCGGGTTCGTAGCGCAGTGTAGCACTAACCTCTGCGCCCACCGCTCCCCACGTACAAGGATACACACAAGAACACAAACACAACGATCCCCTGTGTATCCTTATCGATTGTGGAGGCAATTGCTGTTAGCAAACACCTATCAAGGCCAGGATGGCGTGCGAGAGGGTGGAGTGACTCATCGCAGCGCCTCGCCTCCTTTGTATTCCCGGGGGATGACACTCGCACACCTCACCAGGTACTTAGTTATGGCCGAGTCATCCTTGGGGAGGCCCAGTACAGGTTCTGATACCCCTTGCCACGGAGCTTAGGCGTGACGGGGACTCAAACCCAGGCCGCTGGTATTCATGGCGGAGTGCCGCTAATCACTCCAACCATGATCTCCCCCCCCCCACTCCCACCCCGAAATTCAAAGTATTTGCATAAGCAAATTAAATTACGGGTAAACAAATAAAATCTAACGAGGCTTACCTTTTCTCCCCTCTCTCCAGCGTCTCCTTTATCACCCTGCAGGAGACAATAAAACACAGGTCATTAAAAGCGCGCAGGCCAACAAGCGGAAAGGAAAATCGATCGCTCGCACTTCCACCATACGAGCATCAAATTCCCAAACACACAATGTCAAACAAGATCCAGTCTCCATCCAGCACGATAAATAAAAATTCCCCCCCCCCCCCTTCTTCACGACGGCTAAAGCAGATGACAATACCAACAACAATAACAATTTCTTGGTGCCGTTGAAAAAATACGACAACTTCTTGGCATTATTTTCACCAACCTGTGGACCCATTGGACCAGGAACACCCGGAATGCCCTGGGTGGGGGGGGGGCACACAAAGAGTGGAGTCACTCAAGCGACGTCACTTCGGAAGTGGTGGATTTGGATCTACGGCGACCGCGCGACACACATCGTCGTGGAAACTGTGCGCAGGTCTGAAGTCAAAACAACGGCTCACGCCACGTTTATAGATTGCAAGACATCATTCACTTTAAGTGTAGTGATGTAGATTTTTTTTTACTGTTATGACGTGTCATTAAAATGGTAAACCACGTTATTAATTCGTTGCATGATCTACATTTTTTTTTTCGGCTTCTCATCGCCATCCGCCTGTATGATGCTTAACCTCGCTTTTCAAATTGTTGCAGTACAAGAACCTCTCACTGTCAAGACGCTTAATCCTTGCCAAAAATATAATCCGAGAGACCCTTTAATCCTTTACTTAGTAGGGATCTCACTTTCCTACACACTCGGATATAGCTTTGTCTGATAACAGTCGAACTGACGGTTGTTCTTTTCATTCCCAGAGCTGGAATGTAAGCCACATCAAGCGCAAAACCAAAGTTTAATGCGATGTTTTTTTTTTTGCGGTCATTGCTGACCGGGCTGACACCATCAACTCCATCCCCTCGGGGAGTCCGGCGGTGATCACGGGTCACTGCCTGGAGTCGAACCCAGGGTTCTCAGCGGCGCTGGCTCAGCGCTCTGACCTGCGAGGCCGCCACACCCACCTCGAATCCCCGACCCCCAAGCGGGATTTGAATTCGTGACCTCCGCAACGTGAGTCAAGCCCACTGCCACCTCTCGCCAGAGCTCCACTCGGGCGGACATTCATATAAATGTTAATGCGGAGTATGCATTCGGTCCAATGCTTGTTTAGCGGCAGCATCTTTAAACTAAACTATGTTTTATTTTACCAGGTAAGGCCCGCTGAGCTATTATATCTCTTTTTTTTTTACAGAAGCGAACCGGCTATCACAAATGATAGCGCAACGAAGCAGATTATCATCACGTGGAAATTTACAGCAGCCAAAGACTCTAAATGCAGAGGGAGAAAAAAAACGGAGGACCCGGAGAAAAATCCACACGACCCCGGGGAGAGAGAATAATTCAAACTGCAAATATACAGCAGGTGTCAGGATCGGGATCGTACCCACGACCTCCTGTATAACCGGCGAGGTAGCTGACATCTCGCCACCGCGGCGCGCACACACACATTTCACATCGGCGAGAAGAATCTGCCATTTACCGGGACGCCTGCAGACCCTGGCAAGCCCTGCGTCTGAGTGTAGTCTCCCTTCACCATAAGAACCTGGCAAAAGAAACACACACACACGTGAACACACACGCGCGCACACACGTGCGCACTCGGTTTCATCAAGGGGGCGCGGGCGACGAGCCGTTTTCGTCGAGAGCGCCTGAGCCCCCGACGGTGTCGGTGACGGCCCCGGCCGCAGCGCCGTGCAAGCGCCTGCTGGGGCGGCCCAGCAGGCGCTCGCTCGAGCCGGCACTGGCGGGGAAACGTCTCCGCCAGACGGGAGCTGTGAGACAGCCATTTCTTACTTTGGTCATTAATTTTAGTTTTTTTGCTTCGGAGTAGTCGGGGGTTTCATTTGCTTTGTAGAGGCTGTATATGGAATTTGAAGCTCATATGTAATTAATGTTATCATGACATTCATTTACGTTTATAAGGCGCATCTCATACAGGGATCCCAGTAGCGTAGACGACCACAGCTATGGTGACAAGGCAGATGTAAATATCACTGGAGATTCTCATCGTCTCATTGTCAGAGGCGACGCGTTCCATAGTCTTGGGGCTGCACTGGCAAAAGCCCGATCACCCCCAGGTACGAAGCTTTGACCTCGGAATACTAAAAAGAAGGAGATTAGAAGATCTGAAGGACCTCGTTGGTGGTGTGCATCAGTTCCTGTAAGTAATGTTGTGGGATGATATTTGCGTGAATGACGCTATATGAAATGAAGGTATTACAATTATTATTTGGCCTCTTCCGCCGCGTTCGTTGAAAGTCACGGAAGACGTAAGAGTACCCACACTCTACCCCACCAGGCGTGGTGTAACCATTTATTCTACTGGGTGGATAGAGGTGTAGGGATTTAAGAAACTTGTACCGTTGTTTTAGCTGCCGCGCCAGGAATCGACCTCTGGATTGCGAGCGTGTCCAACGTGCTGCCCGTAACACTGCAGCAGCACCCCCTGATTTAAAAGTAATCTGATTCTAATTACCGATTGCTAGAGGTCTCAGAAGTAACCGAATGTAATCCCACATTCAGTATATTTAAAGTATGTAAACTGATTTCATTATTTTTATGATTATTTTTCAAATTAAATTCAGACATCCCGTATTGTTACAATTATAAGATGCACATTTTGGGGATGCTTCCTAGAATTAACCAAGGGTAGCAAGGGAGTCCCCATGGTGGTGGCAATGGTGGTGGTGGTGGTGATGGTGGTGGTGAAGGTGGTGGTGGCGAGGGCGGTGGTGATGGTGGTGGTGGCAATGGTGGTGGCAATGGTGGTGGCGGCGATGGTGGTAGTAATGATGATAAAACTGTAAGAGCGACCTAGGACACCACCTTGTCAACTGTGAAACGTGTACAGAATCTGTCAGAAGGAAGGAAGAGATCGCCCAAAAAGTGTCATACGAAGGTCAAGTGGGCGACGTCCTGGAACCCGAATAATCTCGCGATGGCTGACAAAAGCCTCTGGCTGGACGATCTAGTTTCCGGTCGGCGAGTAGCAGGGCCTATGGCAGAGCCCGAACTAGCAGCGGAGGGTGCAGCAGCTGTGTTGATGGCCGTGCCAGGAAGTCCCTTGCTAAGTGCAGGGGAGACTTGGTCCATCGCCCGAACTCATCGTGGACCACTGCATCTCGCTGGGGCCGACGCTGTCGGAGCCAGAGAGGCTTTGCGCCCGGAGGCAGAGACGTATGGGGTCGGAGGTGAGCCGTGGACGGGCTGACGACGCTCGCCGATCATACGGTGTCACCTTTGGCATTAAGGCGATGAATGAGAGGACTTACGAAGGCAGACGAAGAGGAGAGGAATTCCCGAACGGAGGGGCTAGCGTCTGGGAGAGAAAGCACCGGTGCGTCGCAGCGATAACGATTTGTTTTTTGACAGATGCCCCTGTAAGCCGGGGCGTCTCAGAATGCTTTAACAACGCGATAAGCGACTTACATCGCATCTCGCCCCACGGTGGCAGCGATCCCTGCGGGCACACGGTGACTTAGCACCTGGCCTGCAAGCAGGCATTAGTCTACCAGTAGGTGGGAGGTGGGGGGGAGGCGGGCGATGATTGTCGATGTGAGTCTAATCCCAGTGGAATAATTTCCGCGAAATTTATCAAAAATTTAACCGTGACGCCGATGCGCGATTGTCCACTCAGTGATGTCCCGGAGGTCTTTAGCGCCCGCCGTGGTTTACACGGCGCTACCTACCGCTGGGCCGCGTCACCACCACTTTGAGTCATCCATCCATACCAAGCATCATCATCATCATTGTCGACTACCCAGGGTACTCACCTGCCCTGGGGGTCCTGCTGGTCCAGTGAAACCCGGGATTCCTTGAGTTCCTGGCGATCCCACCTCTCCCCGTTCACCTTTGGAGCCATCCCTGCCCTACGGTCGCAAGGCAACAGAGCTGTTCCATCAATGCCAGTGTTGCCACCTGTTCCGGGCTTGACCCCCGGGGCAGGGATTGATTGGTGACCCGGATTGGGCACCGGCGTTGTGTTGAACTTCATTGCAGTCAACCGCACAGGTCTGATAGGCCTAGGCTGTACTCTGACCGAGAGCCCAATCAATGCGCTGCCACGACAGCTGCATGTTAAAATTTGATCATTGGTGGCACTAAGCCAAAACAGCTGCCATATATACATTGCACACGTGAAGTAAAAATGAAACATCTCAAAGCACAGGTATTTTGTTTTGCCTAGAGGCAGCAGTCCCTGCGCAGACAATGGTAAACACAGCACCGGCGTGCAAGTGGACAATAGCCTGCCAGTAGAGGGGGGATGTGGCCATTTTTTTCAATGAACCACTCGAGCCAAATTTAAGGCACGGATATCCAGCAGTGAAACTTCCACATTCCTATGCTGGTGGTGAGTATACTCATGGACCCCCAACTGTTCACGAATGGGCATGGCAAAGTGCACTTACTACTTGTATTCAATGTACTTACATCTCGCCCTGGCGTGCCGGTCTCCCCCTTGTCTCCCTGAAGGCGACATAATTCGTTAATACAGATTGCGATGCTGTAAGAGGGAATTTTCCTATTTGAAACACACAGCGATGGGACACAGCAAGCCAATACAAATATACGTGCAATGCAATTATGCAATGCAGCGCAAATGGAAAAGGCAAAGCAATAGAATGCAAAGGGGAAAAGACAACGCAATAAAGAGACAATGCAATGCTTACTTTACGACAATTAATGAAGGCATTAACAATAAAGAAGCAATGCGATGAAACCAAATCAGAACTTAATTGCTTAGAGGAAACGCAATGCCAGAACGTGCAATGCAATGCAATATAAGTCAGCACAATGCGATCATAAGAGGCACTGAAAATTATAACATTATTTCACATTCGTATAGCGTCTTCATACCACTGCATCTCAATACGTTTCACGGGAGGAAGAAAAAACACGACATAAAATAACGATTATTTGCTCACAACGAAAATAGATGGGGGTCTTGAGTCATCATTGGCACGCAAAAGCAGCTGCGGCTCAACTGCACGAAGTTGAAGCGGTAAGAGATTTCTGGACTTGGGGAGCAGAGGCCGCAAAAGGAGCGACGCTCCCAAGGAATGAAGGGTTTGCCTGCGGGCCACTGTCTGCTGGTGGCCTTGATTGCTGGAGCGGAGATAGTGTGCCGGAGAGTAGAGTGAGATGAGAGAGAGAAGAGAGGAGAGATCTCGATTTAAAGCTTTGGTGACTGCAGGGATTCATGTTCGTGGTTCTTTCGGTAAAGTCACGTAGAAGGGAAATAATAAAATAATACAAATAAAACAATAAAATTCTCACGACGTTTCGATTGCAACACAAGCAATCAACACCTGATGACGATTGCTTGTGTTGCAATCGAGACGTCGTGAGAATTTTATTGTTTTATTTTTATTATTTTATTATTTCCCTTCTACGTGACTTTACCGAAAGAACCAAGAATAAGAGAGGAGAGGTAAGAGAGAGTGTGGAGAGGGAGCAGAGTGAGATGAGAGAGAGGAGAGAGGTTAGGAGGCAGGGGAAAGCCCATCACGAATTCATAAAAAAATCTCTGCAATATTAAAATGAATCCCAGACCTGACAGGAAGCCGGTGGAGAGCAGTGAAAAGAATAATGCAGCGGAGAGACGACGCGGTGGATAATACAATATGGAGAGAGAAGGATGCAATGCAGTTTAACAAAATTATTGAAACGCCCTAGAAACAGACCATTGAACGGACGAAATAAATACAGCACAGAGCAAATGAACACGGGCAACATGACTCAGAGAGGCAATGCAATGGGAAATGCAATATGCGGGACAAATTAATGCAGTGCAGTACAAATTAATGCGAGGCAATGCCATCGCGTTGTGATGGCACACGTGTCGCCGTGCTGCGCGGAAGATGCAACGCGGTGAGATGTGATTGCAACCCGCTGCAACGAAATGCGTCCAACGCGATGCGAGTGCAGGCACTGCCATGCATTGGGAAGCACTGCAGCGGAAAGAGGCAAGGTTTGCCTGGCGCAATAGAACGCAATGCGGAGCAACGAGCTGCACGCCGCAAGGCGACGGCGCACGTTGCGACGGTAAGACGGTGCAACAGCGACACGGAGACACGTGCAGGCTTCACCTTTTTCCCATCTTCACCAGGGCTCCCTTCAGCACCCTGTACGCCACACACACACACACGCACACGCAGCGCGACGCCGCCATTGCCACGACCGTCACACAATGTCACGAGGTAAAGGCCGGGGTGGCGTGATGCTCAACAGAGTCTTTCCAGGTTGCTCGGTTCATAACACTTCCCTATGACTATGGGACGGTGGTGGAAATTCCACATTTCTACAGCAACGAATTGAACGACTGCTTAGGATAGCCACTGCTGCCTAAGAAGGATGATGATCGGCTGAGTTGACCTCCAGCCGGGTTTGTGAACTCGTGACCCTCATGATTTCAAACCGATCGGTTTAATGACAGTGCCACAAAACCAGATCCAAGTGGCCGTATTCTCCAGATTACAAGACACACTTCTTTCCCCTGCACAGGTCCCCCCCCATTTTAAGCGGATGACGCCTTCCAAGGGAGCACGCAAAGTGAAAACGCGCGCACGCACGCACGCACGTTGAACTTCTTTCGCACCGTACGTAGCCAACCGTGCTAATCAGAGGTGCGGACCGCAACCTGCTTGCTGTCCCCCCGCGTAGCCAAGGGGGCCGGCAACGTGCGGTCCTTTGAAGTGACTGCTTCGTGACGCTCATTAATAAGGGACCCCCGTCTGGTATTCACCCATGTGCATTGGGGGCTCTTTAAAAGTTGCGGATTTTTTTTTTTTTTTACACAGATGGATCTTCTTCTTATTATTTCGGTTGCCGACCGCTGGCATAGCCGCACATCGAGTGAATTCAAACCGCACATCGCGAATTAGGCCAGCCGCTCGCACAGCGCGGAATCGCGCAAACCGGCACCTGCGCAAAGTTCTAGGGAGACCTGTGTTTTAAAGCCAAAGTTAGGAGTGTGGCTTGTGAGTCGGGAGGCCTGTCTGTGTGTGACAGTATAATTGCTGGATATAATTAAGCTAACTGCATGTTCAATCTTAATTTTGGAGCTTTCGTGACTGCTGAATAACTGCATGTTATTGAAATTAATTTGTGTTATGTTGTTAAATCGATGGCTTGCAAGCAATTCAATTGGCCAATCATTGATAGGGTCAATGAAGCATCAAGGGAATGTTCAGAGAAGGCAGCACTCACATCTTTTCCATGTTCACCGGGTTTTCCATCTTCTCCCGCTTTCCCCTGATTACAAACACAACAATGAAACAAGGCAATCACGTAAAAGCAGGGCCATTTTATGGCAATGGCCCTCTTTTAGGGCAGCGTTATGTAATCCACCAACCCTTTGCCTGAATTGGAGACAATAATACAAATACATTTTTTTATCACGTACAATATTTCGTGGATGCAAATGACCGTGACTCTGAGGCGCGTAGCGCTGGCTCAGTGCGTCGCTCGAAGGCCAGGGGGGATAGAGTAGCTGAGAATCCTAAAGTGTCTCTTCGAAGTCGGTGCAGATTGAACGCTGCTGTTGCTGCTGTCGTAGCGAAAGCGCAGCGGGATGGCGTTTCAGACGGCGGTGCGTTCCCACGGAGAAAAACGACTCCCGGCGGTAACGGTGCTGCTTCCCTGTTCTCGGGGAGGCTGTGAGCATCGCTGCGGAGAGAGATCTACAGCGAGCTGCGGTGCGGGGCCACGACAGCGGGCAGAGACACGGGGGGGCGTGGGGGGGGCCACCCATGGTGAGACGAAACGACGCCTGGCAGTTGGTGTCGAAGAGGAGGTTCAGAGTCGCTCTCTGTGTACGTACGTATTTGCGTTGAACTTCTGTCGCGCCGTACGTAGCCAACCGTGCGAATCGGAGGTGCTGCTGCTGCTGCGGAAGGCTCTCCTGCGAGCCCGGGTGCTGAGCAATGCTCGCGAACAGAAATACGGTGGATGGCCGAAAGTCGAGGTATCGTGGCAAATAATGTAGCCGACGCTACTGCCGATGAATTCGACAAAAAATGACAACGATGACAGTTTTGCCTCTACAACCGTTGCTGATGATGGTGATGGTGCCGATGAGCTACTATCAATCGGCACGGTTGGCTACGTACGGCGCGAAAGAAGTTCAAAGTACATACGTACAAAGCCTCCCTTATTCCTGAGCAGCACGGCGGCCACGTGCATTTTAGCCATATTGTTTGAGCCGCGCTGTTGACGTAACCGAAGCGAGGCCTCATCAATTGGTCTGCGTCTCGTATCATCGTTGACATTCAAATAAACTCACGTTGCTTCCCGGAGTTCCCGGCGGCCCTACTGCTCCAGGAATTCCAGGTTCTCCTCGCAGGCCAGGCAAGCCCTGTGGCACATTAGGAGAGAAAGCACAAAAACAAATATGTAAAAAGGCAAAGATCCCCTTATAGCCTTCAACGGACTGTTGGGGCGAGTGCTGTCACCTATAAAGGCCGGCTCGGCACACGAGGGGGTGGGTGGCCATCACCACGTGGCATCCTGCCCTCAGCCTCGAGCTTTGGCCCTCCGGGAACATCTGGGCAGCCCTACTCAGGGCCACACAAGGGCACTGCGGTAGTCGTAAACTAAGGTGGGATGACGGCGATGAAGACGATGCAGCCGTGCCTTACGATGCAGAACGCCGCGATAAACAATGCAGCGAAAGGCGGTTCAAAAATATCCACGACGGATTTCACGACGGTTGGAGGGGCGGCGTGTTGCCCGCATGGCAGCGAGCGTGGGTCACGCGGTTCAAGGGTGGCGGCAATAGACGTTGGTGACGAGGGCAGCGGCGTAAGGGCAAGAACGGCAGTGATCCCCCAACATGCGCCACGGATGATGGTGCGCGTGAGCTCATCTGCCGCCGTAAACACAGCGGGATGGTGTTCTACGAAGATGTCTGTTCTAAGTCGGTGCTTGGGCGTTGGCGATTTCGTAAACATTAAGACTCGTGGAAAAGCGTTCAGAAATGTCTCTCAGATTTTGGTTGGGATAAAACTTACATCTCTCCCGGGGTCGCCCAGCTTGCCCGGATCTCCCTGTGAATTGACATCACACGTTTAGACACACGTGACAACACACGTCTCATCAAAATAACTCTCCTGTGTTTCTGCACTCAAAACGAGCGTGAGGTGGAGCTCATGGCCATTCATGGCCTGAGCTAAGCTTGGAAACTCCACGTTCATATGCCGGCGCCAGTCGCTGACTTCGCACAAAGTGGTGCCTAGATTAGGAACGCCGTTGGAGAAAATGATTGGGCCGCGTCAACCACCAGACATCATCTTCCGATTGTGATGCTGGCATTGAACCTGGCGTCTAAAACCTGCTACCTTCCGATTGTGAGAGCCGCCACTCTCTGCCCATGGTTACATTCCTGAAAGTGAATCAACCCAATAATCAGACTGCACGTCAATTACAAGAAGGCAATCGTGAGTACAATCGAGGAATAGAATTACTCCACATAAGGGTAATCGCACAACATTGAATACGGGATCTTGTTATCGTAAATGTTGAAAACTGCGAGCAATGCGTTGTTATGAATGGTGAGTCGGTAGATATGTTTAAGTCTGCTTTGAAAACCCATCTCGTTAAAGTGGCCTTCCCTCTTTAGTTTGGTCGGTTGCCCCTTGTTCTGTTATGTATCCTGCTCTCCATGTATTGCGCATTGAGATCCTAGGATGGGATGAGCAGTGCGGTCTTCATTGTGCAGATGATGGCGCTGGCGAATGTTGATGTCATGGGCCAAAGGCACGCACTCGGGGTCCTGAAGGTCCAGGGGGGCCATCTTTTCCATCAAGGCCATCCTTTCCATCAAGACCCGGTTGCCCCCTCTCTCCCTGAACAACAACAACAACAATGTACCAATAAATAGTCGCCACCACTACCATCAACAACAACCGCCACCATCACCACCACCATCATCATTATCCTCGTAAGAATAATCTGACGTGACTGCTCTCATCATTATTACCATCATCTTCATCATCATTAGATTTCCAGTAAATAATCAAATCTTAGATTATAAATACGAATCAACATAATCGAAAACATATTACATAATTGCCTTGATTATTATTTTAATCATTTTCTGATTGCCATTAAATGATCAAATCTTCCAAAATAAATACGAATAAACAGAATCATAAAAACATATTATGAAGAAGGAAGCAGAGATTCAGTCATCACAATAAACACATGTAATGATATCATTAACATTTCATTGAAAAATATTAATCATCGCTGTCATCACCGTTAAAGAAATAATCATCATCATCACCACCATCATCATCATCCAAGTATTTTAACATTCACATTATTGTCATTTCCGTTATTAAAACGTTCATCATCAACACAATCACGATCCAATTACCATAATAACCATAAGATAATAATGACTTTCCATTATACAAAGGATCAGCATGAAAATAATTATCATAGGGAAAAAATGTAATACGTAACTTTAATCATAATCATCACTTTTATATAAAAACCCATCAGCCTAATTGTCATAATAGAAAATATTTCATGACCACAGTCAGGAAATGTAATATTTCATCAACACCATAGGTCATTCACCGTCATCAACACCACACCAGTGTGTGCCGGTGTATGACTGTGTGTGCGTGAGTGTCCATGGGGAGCGGTGGTGGAGCGGTTAGCGCTACGCTGCGCTACGAACCCGGCGACTCGAGTTCAATTCCCGCTCACGGCCAACACCAGTGACGATTATCTGAACCGGTCCTTGGCCTCCCCTCGGTCGACTCAGCCTCAAATGAGTACCTGGTGCGGTGTGTCTTGTGTGAGTGTGCATGCATTGCAGTGACTGTGTATGTGTTTGCATGCATTACTGTGAGTGTGTGACAGAGTGTGTTTGCACCACTGTGCATGGGCATGCGTGCCTATGAAACTGTGTCTGTGCATTAATTAACTGAGAAAAAAAGCATGCATTACTATGGAGCGTACGTGTGAATGTATGTACGAGCGTATGTATTACTTTTAGAGAGAACGTGTGTGTGGGTATGTGTGTGGGGAGCGGTGGTGTAGTGGTTAACGCACTGTGATACGAACATGGCAACACGAGTTAAATTTCCACTCATGGCCAACACCCAGTGACGATTATCTGAACCGGTCCTGGGCCTTCTCTAGGTCGACTCAGCATCAAATGAGTACCTGGTGCGATGTGTAAACATTGCCACTGGGAGACAAAGGCGGCCGGGCGTGGTGGTGGTGGCAACCCACCCCCTCGTGTGCCATGTCGGCCTTCATAGGTGCTCGCTAGCAGCACTTGCCCCAACAGTCCGTCCAAGGCTATACGGGGGATCTTTGTCTTTGTGGCTGTGTTGGGTGGGTGCACTGGCATAGTGATTAGCGTCCTGTGCTACGAACCCGACGACCTAAGGTCGATTAAGGCCCACTGATAACATCTCAATCATTCCTAGGCCTCTCCTCAGTTGACTCAGCCGAACACATGTACCTGTTGCACTGGTGGCTGTCCATGGTGCTGGCCACACCACCAGCGCTAACAGGTGCTCGCGAACACCGCTTCTACCCAGCAGTCTGTTGGAAGCAATATGGGGAATTTATATGCCTTCTGTCTGCTTATGCGCATATGCGTAACTTTTAAATAAAGGTGGCCATGCTTAATGTTGGCCGCGCAGTCCCCTCCGTGCACTTTTCCGGGCCCTTAACAGCTGCTGGCCAAGATAATTTCCCCCAACAGTCCGTTCAAGATGGGGATGTTTGTCTCTGCGCGACCGTTCGACGTGCGAGTGCACGCGGGTGCACTCGCCAAAAAAGAAGCGTCGTCCGCATCACCACCTCCATACAAATGAAGCGAACGTCCCAGACACATCCGCCAAGCACGGGCTCAAATACTTAAGCAAGTTTCAGCTCCCACACGCCTGACAGTAATATTGATTAAATGAAAGTAATTGTGTAAGATCTATATTTTATATTTCTCTCCCTTTCCTCGCAAGAGCCGTTATTACCTTCTCGCCTTGAGTTCCTCGCTCCCCCGGGTCACCCTGCAGGCACGCAAAAAAAAGGAAGATTTATTATCACTGCGGATAAAACTGGTCCCCACCATGGAAAGGTGGAGTTCGCACGGCTATGGGTTACCAGTAGAGATGATAGTCAACCTCAACGCTCCTTGAAGTAGGCAGACACGAGTATGATTTAACACGTAGGCTTTTGCAACTAATATTATCGATGAGGGATTTTTTTGGGGTTAGATCACATAAATATAAATGTCGTGTCATTAAACCCGCCACCACCCAATGAGTAAGGTTTGTCACGTAAACAAAATATGGAAATTAGTTATTAGTTCGGCACACCAGTGTGTTGGAGAGTAAACTCACAACATTTCCAATTACTTAATAGTTCAGCACACCGGTGTGTTGCCGGGTAAACCCACAACATTCACAGACATAGAGCATAATTGTCCATTTGAATAAATGTCAAATTCTGTGGCTGTGGTTCCAAAGCGGGGGAGGAAGCGAATTAAGTGCACGAGCAATTTGAACAACTGCATGCAGAGTGTCTGATGCAAAGTTCCAGAGTAAAAAATAAATTCCGGGACAGAGCTGAGTGGAAGGGAGAGGCCATGACCGCCGAAGCATTTGAGAAAGAACATGGCGCAGACAAACAGAAAGAGAGAGAGAGAGAGGTTACAGCACTGAAACTGACATTCGGAAAAAAATTGTCCGGGGTAAACTCAAAAAAACACCATCACGATCATTGTGATCACCATCATAAGTATCATCCTCGTAGGGGTCTACATTATGAGCATAGTACTGATCTTTGTATAACAATTGTATGCCAATTTTGAATAGATTTGCTCCCACCATGATAATGTGGAATTTCCCACCAATTGCTCAAGGCCGCTGCCAATGGCGATGAGCGTACTTCCACTTGTTCGTCTGGAGCAGTCAGCGCCAGTGAGGCGACCTCTATTTGAGTCGCATCTTCAAGAATTTGACTTTCGTTACCAACAGCCATGGTTCAATGCACTGCTGGATGAAGGTCTCACCCAAACCACCACCACCGCCACCACCTCCTCTCTGGAAATGTACGCGGGCTGTAACGTTATAAGTCTTGTGTCCCGTAGAGGTACGAATGAGGAATCATTGATTGTTCCATGGCCTGAGTAGGAATGAATAAATCAGATGCAATTGTAATGTTTCTCTAAGGTTTGCGCCATCAGTGGTTCTAAGGTTGTGGTGCTCATACATCGCTCATACACACAATACAATGGCCACTACCACAGCTTCGTCGTCGTGGAGGTAGCCCAGCTCTCCGATCTGACATTTACATGCAAATTTCATCACTAGCCCCGCTCACTTCGCTTATGACCCTTGAGTTACACACATATCAAACCTTTATACCATCCTGCCTCAGCAGCTCTCTCGCGATTGCGATCGAAACGTCGTCATCTCTTTTTTTTCTATCTACGTGACTTTACCGAAAGACCTACAGAATATTTTTTATTCTATTTTATTTAGCAGGTAATGTTCAGAGGAGTCCTGGCCACACGTGTTGATAGCTGACCATAGAGGTGGCTTTTATCATCATCATGATCATCACATGTGGGAATTTATAGTCGTGGACAAATAATCTCAATGCGTGTTGAGTCTAAATGTGGAGGGTAAAACCGGAGGAACCCGGATAAAAAACCACGTGACCACCACGGGGAGAGAGAGAGAAAACACGCGGACTCCAAATATACAACAAGCATCGTCAGGGTCTGGGATTGAACCCACGACCTCCTGCGTGCCAGGCGAGAGAGATAACATCTTCTCACCACGTTTGGAAATCTGTTCTGCCAAGTATGGGTTTTTTTCCAGTTTCCTCTGGATTTTCTAAAATCATTCATTTCCAGATGTCACTCACTTAAGTCACAAACAAAATGATGTCACCCACCTGTAAAAAAAAACCCAATCATTTTCTACCTCCGTCGAGATGACATTTAGATTTTTATTCACCATTAACTGGAGCACATTTTATGTCAGGCCATGGACTTTTCCCACCATCCCTCGTGTGTCGCGGTAATTACCCTGACTCCAGGAGGCCCAGCTACACCTTCTGGTCCCTGTGAAAGGAAAAAAAGATTACATTTAAATTAGCAAAGCCGTGACATTTGGCAGTGTGGCAGTTTTACCATTAACAATTTCATTCTCGGCTGATATAATTTTTAATCTCAGGCGCATTTGAATCAATAATCATTCTTCATACAAATCCATTGCTAGCTTGTTTAAACTTAAATTTTTTTCGTGTTTGCCTAATTGTGGGTGTCACAGTGTTCTCACTCACTGCACTATGAACCCAGTGACCTGGGTTCGACTCCTTGAAATATGTATTTAGTTCCTGTAATTATCCCCACATTTAATCCCAAATACGCTCTCAGCATCACTTCCCAAGATTAAATATCCCTTCGGATTTCTCGCAGAGCATTGCTTAATTCTCGATTTAGAAAATGGCCCACAGAACCGGATGTCACAGAGCAACCTCGGAGAACCCTTCCAGTAACCTCTAGACCACACACAGGACAAAGCAGCACTTTCCTACTTACGCTACGTACGAGAGTAATGTTTATTACCGGACAGTCAATGCGTTATTTTAATTCTCAGAGCTGGAATTTAAGTGCAGGACCATTTATGCGGTATCCTTTATTTCCTGCAGTCATTTGGTCACTGGGCTGAGACCATCAATCAACTCAATTCACTTTAGGACCCAGTTTAATCACAGGCAACTGCCTGGATTCGAAATCCAGGAAACTCAGTGGTGCCAGCTCATAATCCCTCTGGGATTGATAAAATGAGTACCACTTTAGGAGGGAAGTCAACGGTGGTTGTTCTATGGAGACACTTGCTCTTGCCATATGAATGTGGAATCTCCTCCACAGGTTCAGGGCTGCAGACAGGACATGAGCACCACCTCAAAGCTCATTGAGCCAGAAATCACTTGAAGACTTCTTCATATGCAGCGTGATGCTTTAATGCCTCAATGTAAACCTTCACGGTGAAGCATTACTGGCGATTCCGTACGGCCAATGAAGGAGGCACTATTAGAGATGCAATTCTAAGTGATTTAGGCATTCAATTGCCTTGTCGGAAAGTCGATGGATTGGATATTTACCAACCCACCCACTCACCCGCCCATCGCATTCAAATTTATATACTGGGCGAGCGCGAAGTTACATGGTCCACTGCTCTCTTCGTGAATTGCCAAGCTGCTCTTACGTTTGTGTGGGTTGGTCTCACAGAGACTCGCTGAACGTTGTTTCAATCCGCTAATGAATTCCCTTGCAGCGAAGGTATTTATTTTTAAAATGTTCCTGAGGTTCTTCCCGAGCTATTTTTAAAAGTTAATGATCTCTATTTGCGGCAATTTTTTTAAAATGTAAAATTCACATTCATATATTTATTTATATTCCTATTGGGCAGAAAGCGGCGGCGCAGCCCTTAAGGTTAAGAGCACTGCGCTACGAACCCGCAACCTGAGTTCGATGCCAAGCCACGGCCAACATCAGTGGCCAGGGATATTTCAACTGGCGCCATGCCTACCTTCACTAACCAACTCTGACCGGCACGGTGAAGTGTAATACATTAATACCCACGACCGAAACAGCATGGGGAGGCCTTTATCCAGCAGTGGATTGAGAAAAGCCTGTGCATTCTTGAAAAATGGTTTTACTTTACGTTCTTATTGCACTATCAGTGTTGTGACGTCTTGAGGCAATGATGTTCCCATGCAGACAACTCACAGTGAGTGAGGCGTGTCACATGACATCAGAATCAGAATCTCTATTTAGAGAGGTCCAGTACATCGTATTGGTTAACTGGCCCTGAAAGTAGACGCCACAGAACTACTTCTGGAGTCACTTCAGTAGTTGGTCCCGCGTACATTTAGCAAACTTTTGTCGAATTGCAATTGTATCAAATTGTCTCGAGAGCTAAAATACACTAAATTACCAATAGACGCAAATGTAATATTGTATTACTTGTTTTGTGTAGTTATTGGTGACCGGGCCGAGACCATGATCTCAATGTACCAGTTTAATCACGTGTGAACCCAATTTGATGATCAGTGGCTCAAACCCGAATTCAAACCCAGGATTTCAGCCGAGCTGGTGTCCCTGACATGCCCACTGTGAGCCACCCTGAGCCAACTTACCACCTCTGGGTTTTTTTGTATTTTCATTTTCTGTTGGACATAACAGTCAACATCTACAACGGTCTCAACATCCCTCGTGTAACTTCGAGGTCGTCCTACGGAAACAATTGCCCCGGCAATGAGAATGCAACATTTAAAGACCAATCTCGATTTGAAGTTTTTAATGACTGCAGGGATCCATACTTTTTGGTTCTTTACCGAAAGAACAAAAGAGTATTTAAATACCACCAACGGAGATAAGTGAGGCCTACATTCTAATTCCAGGCAGAGACACACTTTACATTCAACTACACAAACCACCGAGGTGCTTTATTTAACCACGTCACTGCACGCAAAAAAACGAAGTAGGAGGCTTTGTAAAAAAATGCAATGGCCCGCTTATCGAAGAGGCTTGCACAGCTTGCTTAGCCTACTCCCATTGTTTTACTTCGCAATGAATCTCCCGACTGACGCATTGCCTTATCTGCATTAACACTCAACAGAATCTATGACAAATGCATGATTTATCAACGAGACGCCGGCGACGACAGCCACGTGTGGTGGGAGTTTCCGCGGGTCATCTTGCGCGATCAATGGGAAACAAATAAAACGCACAAAGTGGCTTCCGTTATTATCCCCGCGGGAGGCAACGGTTTGCTACGAGTGATTTTGACGCGATTTGGCAACACGCGCGTGTTTTTTCGTTGTCGCGCGGAATAATCCCGAAATCACAGTTTGCCGAGCACGAACCTAAAGGCCCATAGTGTCAGGTGGCCCAGGAAGAAAGTGTAATGGATTACAAGCTCATAAGTTTATCGAATTGAGCAAGGTTAATGTAATGACTTGGGAAATATGACGATGGGAGAATGTGCAAACTCCAAATATATAGCAGGCGTCAGGGTCGGGATAGAACCCACGACCTCCTGCATACCGGGCGAGGAAGAAGTTAACATCTCGCCACCATGAAGTGAAATGTGCGGACATCACACCGAGGAAGACGCTCTGCACACTCAGCGGACGAAGCCCTGCGCCGCGACAGGTAGCAGTGGCGGTCCGCAGACGAGAGACTGAGCCTTGCCATGAGACAATGGAATTTCACCCCCCCCAACCCCCACCCTCAATATTTGAGTGCCCAAATGAAAGTGAGCACTACCCACCCTTTCGCGCGTACGAAGTGGGGAAAAATAGGCGGTGCCTTGTCAATTCGATTTGTAGCCCTGCGCCACCCGACCAGAGCCACGCGAAGTCAGCTGTCGTGTGGGAGAAAAATGTGCCACGTCGATTTCGTTTCCCATAAAAAAAATCGGCAATTTTTTTTTTGAGAAGCAGGCAAAACGTTGACAATTTTGCACAAAATTCGAGGTTGCATCTCTATCTGATGTGATGCCCACACGACGATCCCACCCAAAAGGAATCTCAATCGCGAAGCATCATCTTGGTTGTTAAAGCCTACGTATGAAATGAAGGAAAACTATTTTTTACTGGACTTGCGAATGACATTCATAGGGTTTGTAATGTCTATCTTCTTGGTTCTTTCGGTAAAGTCACGTAGAAGGGAAATAATAAAATATTAAAAATAAAACATAATACAATTATTTTATTATATTATTATATTTTTACATTATATTATTTTATTATATTCTTTTATTATTTTAATATTTCCCTTCTACGTGACTTTACCGAAAGAACCAAGAAGATGAATAATTGCAAACATGAAAGCTTTAAATCGAAATTTTTAATTTTTACTTTAGCCGGCTGAAATTAATTCACGAAGTGCTCTGCACAGTGCCATCGAGCTGCGCTATGAACCTGGTGACCCGCGATCACCACCCTTCACCAACCTGCCCTGACCAGTGTGGTGAAGTATGGCCAGAGAACCCCCACGACTGACATGGCATTGGTGGATTGCTCTTCATCCATTGGTGGATTGAGAATGGATGGAATTTATCTTATAATTTTTTTTTCATAAAACGAAATACAATTTGGGTTCACGAGATATCTAAATGGCAGTGGCATCTCAAGCTGCTCAAAACAACATTTGCCAGTTGCTCCTTTCCATTCATGGACGTGACCACGTGGTGGCACTTCCACATTCCTATTTCTGGGACGAGTCTGGCTTCTGTAGGATGAACACTGCTGATTTAGCTCAATTCAGCTCGCGTGATTTTATCCTGGACATCTGCGAAAAGAGCTTCCTAACTCATCGGATTCTTCCAGTGTAAATTGAAGGATTCTGATCTATCCTGGAGACACGATGATGACCGTGCCGAGCCAACCCCCTTGTGACTGGGAATTGAACTTGTACCAGCACTACCTGGCCAGAGAGAATTGTACTGTCAGTGCAAGTTGCGTTATAGGTAAAGATCAGTTTAACACGTGGGATTTCGCGACCAACATCATCCTAAATAGAGGTTTCTTGGGTCAGATCACATAAATATATAAATGTGTCTTTAAACCCGCCACCACCCGACACAGCCAACTAGTAAGGTTTGTCACATAAACAGAACGTGGCAATTCGTCATTAGTACAGCACACCGGTGTGTTGGAGAGCCAAGCCACAACAACTGGCTTCATCAGGCGACAGTTCACACGGAGGACATGCAAACGTTAATGAAAAGTGACAATCTCTAAGATGATTATGGGCCATAATGGAAGATGCGTATGTGTGGAGGCATGCTGCGAATATTTGCACGCCGCTTTCATCTGTTTCCACTCATTTGTTTTCATTTAAAGCTAACAAATATTCGGTGACATTTTTTCACGTTGACTTATTCGTCGACGCCGAGTCTGGAACTTAATTCAATGACCTCCGAACAGGAGGTGGCATGTGGTTGGCTTAGGGCACCAACGCTGCTTCACGACGTTCAGCCGGCATCGCCTGGAGCCTCGGTTTTACTCCAGGTTTCAGGAGTGCGTGATTGACCCTGCGGTTTGGTG